TGATAATATATTTCGTCATCAAGTTGACACAGTGATAGCTTGATCTTGTTGTATTGTTGTTGTGTCCCATTTTTTTCTTCTCTCTTTCTGCAGGTCTAGAAGCAGACTCTTGTTCATTGTTGTTTATTTTATGTGGACCTCCCCCCCCCCCCACACACACACACACACCTTTTGTCTCTTCCTTTCTCTTTCACCTCTGTCTCCGTGTCTGGTCGGAATTACAAAGCATTCAAAAAACAATAACAAATAAAGGTTTAAGTATCAGGCGTGACATTAAAAGCAGACGCTTTGATGCTCCACCTGAGAGTAAATCTGTAAGGCTTGTCACCAGCATTCAGACATCAATTCTGTTTGCTTCACAGCCAGACAGGACACAGGGGGAAAAAAAAAAGTTAGTTGTTGTGGCCATCTTGGATCAAATGGACTCCAAAAGTCAATCAGCTCCAGGTATTATTCCAGGGAAGATTTAATTAAAATCACCACGTAGTTCATGAAATGTTTTGCTATCAAGCACACAGGCAAAAGGAATATTTACTTCTTTTTGGTCTTTTTTGGCAATGAACACAGACAGCCTGTTTAGTGTAAACATAACCTGATGATTTCTACAGCTTGTTTTACACTTGCCTCCCTCTTGCTGGCTGTTTTTCCCTGGAAAAAATCTTCTATTATAATAACACAAAACCCGGAAAATATCCAGGTATTCATAAATAAATGAATTAGTGTCTGTAAGAGCCCAGACTTGAATCTTTAGACATGCTTTGGTGTGAAACCATGTCACATGTTAAAGTGATAATGTGTAGTTTTTACTGTTAAACTCTAGAAATATCCATAGAAATGTTGAAAATGAATGAAATGATTCCCAGGTTTTGAAAAATATTGGCGGCTTCGTAACATATAACCATAAAAATCACGTCTAAAATACATGATAGCAGGTCTAAGGCCCAATCCCAATACTCGCTCTTCCACACTTGCGGATTCCCGTCCAGGGGTGTGAGTGTAGGGTGTCCCAATTCTCAAGTGCGGAAGTTGATCACGCCCCTTTTGCACCCTTGTTCCACAATTGACCCAAGTCCGCATCGATGTGGACTTGGGTGAAGGGTATTACCCACAATCCATTGGTGCGTAAGAAAAGGCTCGAGTGCCATTTCTGAAAATATGAAGTTGTTCATTTTAGGATGAGTAGTTGATGTGCAGAATGTTTTAGACAAAGCAGCAATTAATGTAAATTTATTTCAAATAATTGTTTGGCCAGCTGAAGTGGCTTGGGCATCTGGTTAGAATGCCGCCTGTAGTTTTTTGGGCACATCCAACCAGGAGAAGGCACATAGGAAAACCCAGGACACGCTGGAGGTACTATGTCTCTCAGCTGGCCAGGGAACGCCTTGGGATTCCCCCAGAAGATCTGGCTCAAGTGGCAGGGAGAGGGAAGTCTGGACCTCCCTGCTTAGGCTGCTGCCCCCGTGACCCGACCCCGGATAAGCAGCCCAAAATGGATGGATAATTGTTTGGTTGTTTGTTTGAAAGTTGTTAATAAAGTTTGTTTAAAAAAAAGTAGCACAGCGAGCAGCATCCTGGCATGCGTTGCGGTCGACGACGCAATGCTCCCTGTCCCAGTTCGGCAATTATTTGCACACTTGTGTACCACACACTCAAAGCCTTACTGCACACTTCCCTCCAAGTGCACTTTACAGAAGACCATAAGGTGCAGTGCAAGTATTGGGATTGGACCTCAGTCTCTGGGCAACGCCATGTTTCCTTCTAAGGGAGCCCATGAGGACAAAATGCATTTACTGATTTGGAACTTAAGGTTGCAAAATATTTTGCCATTCATGAACATTTTTGTTGTGTTTTACACCATTACCTCTTCACTCATTGCCAGTGGTGAAAGGGAGTCTGATGTGCATGTCATTTTGCTGGAGGTTGCACTCCCAGGTAAATGGTTATCTGTTGGTAAGATCTTACTCGAACACAAATTACTGCTTGCTTGCAATGATTTAGGCATGTACTGCCCCCTATCGCCAGGGAAACTACACATTGACACTTTAAACATCAACACATCTGTTAAGTGACAGTCGGCTCTCATTTTGTTCTTTTCAGCCTAATTAATTACATAGATTTCTCCACTATTATGAGTCTAATTGTTTATTAGTGGAAGGTGTGTGTGTGTCCCACTAACAAATCCTCCCTCTTCTTGTGCAAACTATATCATTTCTGCATTTTGATGTTTTGCAGTAAGTCTGTTAGCTTGGAAAAAAATCAAAACGTGTCAATATTAAGTGATTTTTCTTTACAACGGATGCTTTCCTGTTTAGCGGTTATACCTTGTCTCTGTTTTTAGGATTACAAGCGGAACATGTTCAGAGTAGGTAGCGTGTTTCTGATTTGGAGGGATGGGAGGAGCAGGTCTGGCCTCTTGGTAATGCACTTACATAAAAGGCAGACAGGGAATAGACAAGCCAATGAGCCATGAAGGATATCTTCTCTACCAACAGAATTAAACCTTCAACATGGTCAGATAAAACCATATCCATGCTCAGTGGGATTTATTCAGAAGATAAAAATTGTAGTGAGGTCTCGTGCAAACAAATTTACTTTTGTCTAAATCTCTCCTGGATTTGTTTTTGTAATAATCCCCCTTTTTTAATCCGTGCAAAAAGAAAACCTTTTATAATTTATCCAATATACAAACCGTTAAGACATTCAAGTTCCATCCAGGAGAGCAAACCGAGACCGCACTGTTCCTTCTCCACGAAGTCTGCGGCCACATTAATCAGAGCAAACAAGATCAGAAGGTGAAAGCTTTGTTCGTTAGTCATAAATTAGCCTGAAAATAATTGTGTAAAAGGAAAAATAATTCTTTGAGGTTGAGTCAATAAGTGATTATTTATAACACACCAAGCAACAGTTTTAAATGTGAGTGAAGCCATTCGTTGATGTTTTCTTCAGAAGGATTCACTGTTAGTCAGAGGAAGGTCCAGATGTGCTCCAACCTGAACCCACTTTAGGACGCTTTAGGCGTTTTTATGACGTAGGCTTTCTGAGACACTGTTGGGACTGAATCTGTGAACCGGGAAAGGCAAATGCATAAATCGTCAATGCCAAGGTCTAGGCTCCAGCTACAAACACGTGAACTAGAATACGGTTTGAAACGAAACCACAGAGTTATAAACAATCCAAACACAAACACATTTCAGATGCTGAGACCTTTTTGTGATTTCATGCATGCAAATAAATGGATAAAATGTCTCTCAAATGTCGCAAAAAAAAAAAACCAACAAATCATTTCCAAGACAAGTGGGGTTTGCAGCCCAACCTCCATAAAGGACATCGCAACTGCAGCTTTACAAAAGCAGCAGCTAAAAACATACTTTTTAAGTAGATATAACGCAAGTGAAATATTATTAGCTGCAACGCTCCATTTTACACGTCAGCTGGCATCAGCGTAGCAGCACAGCTACAGGAAGCTAGCAGTTTGAAACTCCCATGAGTCATTGCTGCAAAAGTAAAGCAATGACACATTTATTGTCACATGTCAGTGTTGCTGAGAATAATCACTGTTGATCAAGATACCCATGACTTTCTGGTGCTGCGTAACCATAACAACGCTTTAAACACTGGTTGCAGTGGGCTGATGTGTGAAGTAATAAACCACAGAAATGTCCAGCCTAATAAATTGAAATAAATAAACAGGTCTTTGTGACATTCTTTTGTACTTAAGAGTGTTTTTGAAGCCATTTTCTTGATATTTTTTCAAATTATTCATGTAAAAATATTCTGTAGCAACAAGGAAAGCATGTTTTAAATGGTCAGATCTTTAAACCAGACTTTATGTTTTTAGCCTTGATGTTCAAGATATTTGATGTGTTTACAATTTACAATGGATTCTAAAAATCTACTCAGTTATGTGATGTTTAAAAAACTTAGATTTTTTAATAATCTCCCTTATCATAACTAACTTCTCAGAAAAGTGCTTTGTAACCCGGCCAAAAATGTTGACAAAAACAAAAAGTCACACACTCAATATTTCGTTGGACCGCCTTTAGCTTTGATTACGGCACACATTCGCTGTGGCCTTGTTTTAATAAGCTTCTGCAATGTCCCCAGATTTATCTCCATCCAGTGTTGCATTAATGTTTCACCAAGATCTTGCATTGATGATGGTAGAGTCTGACCACTGCACAAAGCCTTCTCCAGCACATCCCAAAGATTCTCACTGGGGTTAAGGTCTGGACTCTGTGGTGGCCCATCCATGTGTGAAAATGATGTCTCGTGCTCCCTGAACCACTCTTTCATTATTTGAGCCCGATGAATCCTGGCATTGTCATCTTGGAATATGCCCGTGTCATCAGGTAAGATGGAATAACCTGGTCATTCAGGATATTCAGGTAGTCAGCTGACCTCATTCTTGGAGCACATCCTGTTTCTGAACCTAGACCTGACCCACTGCAGCAACCCCAGGTCATAACACTGCCCCCACAGGATTGTACAGTACTAGGCATGATGGGTGCACCACTTAATCTGCCTCTCTTCTTACCCTGATGCACCATCACTCTGGAACAGAGTCCATCTGGCCACATCAGACTAATGACCATCTTCCACTGCTCCAGAGTCCAATCTTAATGCTCCATAGCAAACTGAATCATTTTGTCCAGTCTGCACCTGCCTAATTTTGTTTAAACAATTATTGCACACTTCCTGTAGATCCTACAAAATTCATTTCCCTTCTCAAACATCTTAAATAAACAGTTGTCACAATCTGCTCACTCCCTCCATCTGTGACACTCCCCTGCCTCCTGATTAGTTTTTATTTGTCTCACCTGCCCCTTGTTAACCTGCCCATGTGTTCATGATTTTCCCCTGTGTATTTATACCTCCCTTCTTGTATCAGTCATTGTCTGATCATTGTTGTTTGTCGTGTTGTTCCTGCCGTATCTTGTCATTAAACCCATTTTTACTTTATCCTTGCCTGCATTCCTGCCTCCTGGTCAGCTCCACCACACATGGTCCACCAACTCCCACAGCTCAACGTGACAGAACGATCCAACCAACCTGGACCTGTGGTGAGCTATAACATCTGCCTGGAGGATTTTAATTTTTTTTGCTTTGTCTCCGTCCAGCGGAAGGAGATTCCGACTCGAGGGGTTTCGGCGCATCCTACCTGTTTCCGGGGTAGTTGGACCCATTGAGGGGGTTTCGGCGCATCCTATTTGTTCCCGGGGTGGTCAAACCCATTCTCCTCTCCTGCTGTCCGCCCCGTCCTGTTTTTTCCCAACGGAAGCAGCGGATCCTGGGGTTTTGGTGGAGTAAAACCCCCTACGCACGCCATCATTCTCCAGGGTGGTAGGGCTGGTCTCCCCGCTCCTCTTCTGCTTCCTTTCACCCGAGCCTCCGCCCGTGGACCCAGCAGATCCTGATGCGCACCTGCTCTGACCGTTTGAGTACCTGCCGCCGATCCTGGTTTCCTCGCGTCGCTCCTTCAATTCAGGAACTTCCTGGTCCACGCCTGCGGGGTCTACACCTGCAGGTCCTCCATGCGGCAGCCTCTTCAGGGTCCCACGCCTGCTGCATCAGTCTCTTCAGGGTCCAGTTCCCGAGTGTTCCAGTTCCCGTGTCCCAGTGTCCCAAGGTCCCGAGTTCCCAGTCTCCCTAGTCTTCAGTGTCCCGAGTCTCCCGAGTTATGTGGGTTTGGTGGGCGTCTGGTATCCGCCCTTAAGGGGGGGTACTGTCACTATCTGCTCCTGCCTCCCTCCGTCTGTGACACTCCCCTGCCTCCTGTTTAGTTATTAGTCTCACCTGCCCCTTGTTAACCTGCCCATGTGTTCCTGATTTTCCCCTGTGTATTTATACCTCCCTTCTTGTATCAGTCATTGTCGGATCATTGTTGTTCTCGTTGTTCCTGCCGTATCCTGTCATTAAACCCATTTTTACTTTATCCTTGCCTGCATTCCTGCCTCCTGGTCAGCTCCACCACACATGGTCCACCAACTCCTACAGCTCAACGGGACAACAGTACTTGTATTGCGCCTCTCTGAGTCAAAAGACTCAAGAGCTTCACACTATAGTGTATAATTCATCCATTCAAACCCCGGTGGTGATGAGCTACATTGTAGCCACAGCTGCCCTCGTGTTCAGTAACAAAGGCGAGGCTTTCCAAGCACAGACGCCATCAGTCCCTCCGACCACCACCAGCCAGTCACGTGGATTAAGTGTCTTGCTCAAAGACACAACAGCAGCATTTTCATGTCAGAGCTGGCATCAAACCTACAACTTTCCAATTACTGGACAACCTGCTCTACCTCCTGAGCTACTGCTGCCCCTCTGTGTTTATCGTAACACCAACAATGTATATAGGAAAATCATGAAGATTAACAAGGCCGCCCAAACTTTTGCACCCCACTGTGCAAAGTTGCTCATTTCAAACCAAGAAGTCTCATTACTTTTATACTTTTTCCCGTTCATTTAATTATCTGCTTTTGATTAATTATCAGCGAAGACCCTGTTGGATGTATTTTGTGACATATCTAGGTCAGGATTTGCATAAATGATAAAGTGCATAAAATTATTACCCCCGAAAAAAGATTGATATGATTTTTTTAAACAGCGCAGTGTGTCCACAAGGCAGACATTACTATTGCCTCAAAACCCCAAACGGTGTACCATGAGCACTGTTCTGCAACTGTAGGTCTCTTTAATGGTTCATCAGTGAATAGACTTGCAGCGGCATGCATCACCACCTCCACATTGTGAGAGGATGTGCTTCAGATGGAGTCACAGGTCCCTCGGTCAGCATCACCCCACGGTGAGCCTGTAATGAGTTGCTGAGCATAATAAGAGCTAATGTTGCCACGGCCATTGAGCCCCTCTTGCCATGAGGCCATAATGTCGCTCCTGCTGCGTTGTGTTAAACGCCACGTGTAAAACAGACTGGTGCCAGCGAGCTTGATGGGAGGCCTGCTGCAGCGTCGGCTCAGCAGCAGATGGAATAGGAAGAGGAAGGACAAAAGCCTGTGGAGATCGTAATAACAGTGTTTGGCTGCGGTTCCAATCAAAACTTAGGGCACCTGAATTAACGGGGTAAATAATTCCTCCTCTCTCTGCTGACCACAAATAGTTCAGACCGAGCTTGAACTTTACCAGTTTCCTTTTTTCTCCCATTACTTGAAGATGAAATGTCATGGTTACAGGAGTAAACACTAACATTTCTAAAAAAATAACCCTCGGACTTCTATAATTCAGCATCACCAGGCTATTAGTTTAGATGCACCATTAAAAAAAAAACCTCATCCTGAGTCAGGTAAACAAGCTTGAACTCTGAGCAGGAAAACTTTGTTTTTAATTCCCTTTCTTAGAAAAAACAAAGCCTGAGCCTGACCCGGCTCATTAAGGAGGACTCTTCTGCCGCAGGGCATTTGAGAAGAGGAAGAGAGAAATTAAGAAAATTAGGAAATTAGCAACAAAATGATGCGTGAAAGTGATACTTGCTCCAAATCAAGACACTTGTAAAAACTTACAATGAAGGTGCTACATTTGGAAAAGCTTGAAGGAGCTACAGCTTTAATCCTAAATCCCAGAATCATTATTGTTAAACATTGAGGAGATCTTATATTTGTCACTTTAACTGTATATTTGTAACAAGGTATTTTAGTGAGTCTGAGAGCTGCAGACAGAATATGGAAGCAAAAGAGCGTTGAGAGGACGTCTGTGCTCCTAAGAGCGTTTTGTGGGATTTGCTGACATAAAGAGATTAAGCACAATAAACCAGACTTATTTTTTGAACGCTGCCGTTAACAACTTTATAAGCCCTCTGCCTCGGTACATAGACAGCTGAGTGTATTTCACAATTGTGTGGTCACAAGTGCACTTCATTGATTTTTCCTCCCTGGGTTTTCTCACCGGGTTCCTCCTGCAGGGAACGTTCTGTTTTCAAAGCGACTAAACGTCTTTCGCTGAAATAATCATTGGCGCTGCCGCCTTAAAGAGGGAAGCTAAGGTGTTTGGGATGCTAAAGTGTGTTAAGTGTGTTCTCAGCTGAGCTGTAAACTCAGAGGACAGTCAGCATGTGTGTCGTCTGACGGCCCCTCCACCACCATGCTGGATAAAGGTATTAGCCGGGCAATGTTGACACTGCATCCAGACTCGTAATGGCCTCATAAATTTTGCTGATGTGAAAGAGAGAAAAGGAAGAAAGAACCAAACTCATTGGCAGTCCACTCGTTTCCTGCTTTCCTTCAGCCTGCATTTAACAGACTCAGCAAATAGTCCCAAAAGGGAAGCATCCAGGGAGCAGACATTGATCGTGGACTCTTACAAGTACCTGGGTGTCTACCTGAACAACCAGCTGGGCTGGAGCCACATCACTGATGCTCCTTTTTTTTATCTTGAGAGGCGCTGTGGAAAAGATTTCTTCTTCTTCTTCTTCTTCTTCTTCTTCTTCCTGCTGAGGAGATGGAAGCCTGTTTCACACCAAGGGCAGAAAGGATGCGGTCCGGTTTCCCTACAACTTGTGGACCCACTGCCATTCACACTGTGTGCTGAGCTTTCTCAGAATGTCTATATCTACAGTATTTTGAAAACTTAAAGTATTTCTGTGTAGTGTTTTTTTATTTACCCTTTAAGACTTACTTTCTGACTTTTTTGTGTTTTGAACATGTTTAATTTGTCTCAACAAATATCCTCTCGCAGTATGGTGATGGTCTAGAAGTCATCTAGAACTTCTGTTTCTGAGTCAGAAGTATGAGAGGGAGCCTCGGTGAACAAACAGCAAATAAAATGATAGTAAATTAAAAGCCAAATGAAACCTAAATAATACACACTGTAAAACTGTTACATAATTCTCACAATAACATCAAAGGCCCCATGTAATCTGGTCAAATTTAAAATATCATGTTGGTTCAGGTTGATGAAAATGATACTGTTAAGTGTGTCTCTAACTGCAGCCCAGATATTGGCTTTAAATCACCATTTAATACTGAACCAAGCAAAAATTGCTGCACACTCCAGCACACTGGTTTTTTTTTCATATCCAGTTGTATATTATTTAATCTTGAGCATGACACGTCACCCTGTACGATGTATAACTTAGTAAATGTCAGACTGCCACATCAGAATAGCATCACACACATTTGGCGGACAAATCAGTCAAACGCTAACTTGTAAACCATCACTGGTGTATAATTATTACTAAGACTCAAAAGATCCTAGTCTTTGTGAAAGTTACAGGTGAAACCAAAAAATCTGAAAATGGTACAAAAGTTCACTAACTTCAGTAACTGAACTTAAATGGTGAAACTAATATGTGAGATAGACTAATTACACGCAAAGCTAGATAAGTTAATTTGTTATAATTGTGATGATTCTGGCTTACAGCTTGTGAAAACCCCACATTCAAAATTTCACACAGTTAGAATATAACAAAAAGCTTCAATATTCTAGACTCAAAGTATCACATTCTAATCAGCTAATGGATCCAGAACACCCGTGAATGGTTCCTGGGCCTTTAGATGGTCTCTCAGTCTAAAATGAATTACTGACATAAATGGACTTTTGCACCATGTTCTAAGTTTTTGGAGTTTCACCACCACACACTGACAATTTTCACTTCTTCATTTCAAAATACTTTATCCAAGATGGTTGGAAAGTGCACAATGTGAACCTGGATGCAGAAAAATTACTCCATGCATTAAGTTTAAAGCATCAAGATGTTCAAAAGATTCTCTCAGAGTCTCTAATTGATCCAGGTCCAGATGGTTACTGGTTCTGCTGGTGGTTTGTTTCTGTTGAAAGGGAATTTTCCTTCCCACTGTCGCTCTCAGGCTGTGCTTTTTCAGACAGAGGATTGCAGTCAAGTGATGCTTCAATCCGATTTCCTGTTTCCTCGGTCCAGGGTAACATTGATCAGTTGGTATGTTGCAGGGACTTTATTATTACTATGTAATATTTGAGCAGGAATCTGATGCTTTATCAAAAAATGAACAGAAATTAACTGAAAAGTGGAGCTGACGATCAAACAACGATGAACTTGGACTAGACAGATGCTGAGACATGAGAAGCAGAAAAAGCACCAGTGAATAGAAGAACTGAGGTTTTAAATCACAAACGTTGTGATTTTTATGTCTTGTTATTGAATAATGTGCCCTTTAAAAAATTTAGAGTAAAAAAAAAAGGTCAGTTTGATAAAATTGCTAGCAGGATCTGGGGTGAGTCTGCACATTCTGATAATCAGCCTCAAGTCGTTGCAGGTGGGAGCGGCCAGCTGCTGTGCTTTTCCCCATCACCTGCCAGCGTTTATAAGGAGCTGGAGATCACTTCACCTCGCCGGAAGATTACTCACTTTGGGAACTCTCACCATGGACCATTCTGCAATAACCTGGAATTTACCTCCGAGCCTGATCTCCCTCCACACCTGGACCGACCCGCTCTCCCACCGCTCACCTCCCTTGGATTTCGGATTACCACAGACGCTGCTCACCCCAGTCCTGTCTACCCTCCCAAGCTCTTGCATTTCCGCCCCACAGTAAGAACCACAGAAACCGAGTCCTCCTAGTTCTGTTCCACTCTGTCCAAACCCTGACCAGCATTTGTCTCAGCAGACCCAGCACCGGAGCTGTGCTCAGCATCACCGCCACGTCTGGTGGTGCATCTTTAGTTTCCTTCAAAATAAAACATTTATTTTCTTCTTACCTACGTCTCCTAGTGTGATTCTGCATGTCTTGGGTCAGGAAACTCTCCACAGTTGTGACAAACTTACGTCCCACCAGTCGCTGCAGTGTCAAACACCTCAATGGGAGAAAATAAGGAAAACCAAACACTAAGATACCACAAGGTAGTTAAAACAAAGGATAAACGATGGGTAATTATGACAGAAACCACTTGTTTTTATTTGTAGGTCTTGCGACTTTTGTCACTCAGTTGCATTAAATAAAGAAATCAACATTTACGATGTGCTCGGTGTTCTGAGGTAAAGTTCATAAGTGACAGTCAGTGATTTTGTTTAAATTAGATGTTATAAAAACAGGAAGTAGTTTGATGGCAGCAGAAATGTCACCCCCCTCTCAGCAGTACCCTACAGCCAGTATTGATTGTTAGATCTCAGGGCTGTTAAGGGACTGCTTGCATCTAAATGTGTCTTTTGGTAGAAGATTAATGCAGCAGCTAAAAACACACTCCATCGCCTCCTTTTTCTCTTTCCATTATTAATGAAACTTAAATGGCATTTTAACAAATCAATGTAAACTCCTGCATTAAAATGAACAGCAGTTAAAAGGTGGTAGAACAACCAAAACGAGTGCAAACACCTTAAGAGGTGGAGGAGTATTTTAAACAATGTGGTAATTTATTCTTTACCATCCTGCTGATGTGAAAAGCGTGCAGAGAAAAATACCAGAAACATAAATGTTACAAGGGAAAAAACTCAAAGCACATATGATCATAGCAGCAGCAGGACTGTATTCATGATGAAAATGGTTTCCCAAATTTGTTGCGAAATATCCACAATCTAACGTGAAAGTGTTGTCGTGTTTTTATCTTGAAAGATGGAACCCCGTAATTTACATTGTATAGTTTCATAATCTGAATATTTTGAGTTTAAAAAAGGAACTCAGCCCGGTCTGTCGTGTTGAAGAGAGAGCTGAGCCAAAAGGAGAAGATCTTGATTTATTAGTCGATACGTTCCTTCCCTCACCTATGGTTACAAGCTTTGGGTAGTGATCAAAAGAATGAGATCATGGATAGAAGCAGCTGAAAGGGATTTCCTCTTTAGGGTGTCTGGGTTCAGATGGATGGAGAAGCTCAATCAAATGGGAGGGGCTCGGAGTAGATCCGCTGATTGATGGATGGATGGATGGACGGACGGACGGATGGATAGATAGAGAGAGAGATAGATAAATAGATAGATGGTAGGAAGATTGGATGGATGGATGGATGGATGGTAGGAAGATTGGATGGATGGATGGATGGATGGATGGATGGTAGGAAGATTGGATGGATGGATGGATGGATGGTAGGAAGATTGAATGGAAAGATGGATGGATGGATGGACAGAAGTTTGGTTTGATGAATGAATGGACAGATGGATGGATAGATAGATGGATGGATGGTAAGAAGATTGGATGGTTGGAAATATGGATGGATGGATGGATGGATGGATGGATGGATGAATGGATGGATGGTGGATAGATGGATGGTTGGATATAAGGACGGATGGATGGATGGATGGATGGATGGTAGGGAGATTGGATGGACGGACGGACGGACGGACACACATATATATATATAATATATATATAGACATATACATGGATGGATGGATGGTTGGATATATGGATGGATGGATGGATGGATGGATGGACGGACATTTAGATGGATGGTTGGATATATGAATGGATGGATGGACGGACGGACGGACGGACGGACGGATGGATAGATAGATAGATAGATAGATAGATAGATAGATAGATAGATAGATAGATAGATAGATAGATAGATAGATAGATAGATAGATAGATGGTAGGAAGATTGGATGGATGGATGGATGGATGGTAGGAAGATTGAATGGAAAGATGGATGGATGGATGGACAGAAGTTTGGTTTGATGAATGAATGGACAGATGGATGGATAGATAGATGGATGGATGGTAAGAAGATTGGATGGTTGGAAATATGGATGGATGGATGGATGGATGGATGGATGGATGGATGAATGGATGGATGGTGGATAGATGGATGGTTGGATATAAGGACGGATGGATGGATGGATGGATGGATGGATGGATGGTGGATAGATGGATGGTTGGATATAAGGACGGATGGTGGATAGATGGATGGTTGGATATAAGGACGGATGGATGGATGGATGGATGGTAGGGAGATTGGATGGACGGACGGACGGACGGACGGACACACATATATATATAATATATATATAGACATATACATGGATGGATGGATGGTTGGATATATGGATGGATGGATGGATGGATGGATGGATGGACGGACATTTAGATGGATGGTTGGATATATGAATGGATGGATGGATGGACGGACGGACGGACGGACGGACGGACGGACGGATGGATGGATGGATAGATAGATAGATAGATAGATAGATAGATAGATAGATAGATAGATAGATAGATAGATAGATAGATAGATAGATGGTAGGAAGATTGGATGGATGGATGGATGGATGGATGGATGGATGGTAGAAAGATTGAATGGAAAGATGGATGGATGGATGGACAGAAGTTTGGTTTGATGAATGAATGGACAGATGGATGGATAGATAGATGGATGGATGGTAAGAAGATTGGATGGTTGGAAATATGGATGGATGGATGGATGAATGGATGGATGGTGGATAGATGGATGGTTGGATATAAGGACGGATGGATGGATGGATGGATGGATGGATGGATGGTAGGGAGATTGGATGGACGGACGGACGGACGGACACACACATATATATATATAATATATATAGACATATACATGGATGGATGGATGGATGGATGGATGGATGGACGGACCTTTAGATGGATGGTTGGATATATGAATGGATGGATTGATGGATGGATGGATGGATGGATGGATGGATGGATGGATGGATGGATGGACGGACATTTAGATGGATGGTTGGATAGATGGATGGATGGATGGATAGAGGGATGGATGGATGGATGGTAGACAGAAGATAGATTTAGCTAGCAACACTTACATTAGTGTCATAGAAGACAACATTCAACAAGAAAAATGTTTGGTTTGTACCATTTACCATTTGTAGTTGTAGTTGTAAATCTGTATACAACTGATGTATTTTCCTTTTGGAACAAAAATCATGCTCACTGGGAGAGTGACTGCATGATCATGCATCACCACAGCTGCTTCATATGCTGTGTCATCAAAAACAGTCAAACTGTGTTTCAAAACAACAATAATAATAATAATCTTGGAAAAATATCAAACCTACCTGTGGAAAAATGAACTTTTGGTCATTCCAGTGGCATACACACTGGTGAAAGACGCCATGCTGATATTGAAAACTAACACACAACGCTCATCATATGGGGTCAACTCAGGATAATCCTCTGTGGTTTTAGTGACGTGATATCCATGCTTGAATAAAGATCATTGAGTTTGCCCTCCTGAGGCAGGACCATGATGGATGCATTGCTTGTTTTTAATTAATATTTAAATAGCTTTCATTAACCCACAGGTGGAGCTAATATCTACAGTTTTTTCATGTACACGTTATCTTACAGGGAAAAGGATGAAGTACATTGTTTATTATTCTAATTTTGAACTGAGTGACGCAATAGTTGACTTTTTAAAGCCAATTGAATCACACCTGATACTTGTAATCCCAAATTTCTCAGACCTCTATGTTGTTAACTGGATTTGTACATTCTTCATACTCATGTCCCATTGAAGACCTAGGTTCTGCTGGAGGCAAGTGCCAATTTTATTTCGTTATTGCTGTTCTATTACTGTAGAAGATGTAATTATTTCATTGACACTAGCATATAAATAGATCATCCATCCATTTTCGGGGTCAGGCTGCAGGGGCAGCACCCTAAGCAGAGAGGCCCAGACTTCCCTCTCCCAAGCCACTTGGGCCAGCTCCTCTGGGGGAATCACAAGGTGTTCCCTGGCCAGCCAACAGACATAGACCCTACAGAATGTTTTGGGTCTTCCTATGGCTCTCTTACTAGTTGGATGTGCCCGGAAAACCTCACCAGGTAATTATGCAGGAGGCATCCTGACCAGATGCCCAAGCCACCTCAACTGGCTCCTCTCGAAGTGGAGGAGCAGCAGATCTGCTCCAAGCCCCTCCCGGATGACCAAGCTTTTCCCCCTATCTTTAAGGTAGAGCTCAGAAAACTCATTTTGGCCGCTTGTATCTGCGATCTCATTCTTCGTCACTACCCTCTCCCTATTCTGCTCTTTCTACCAATTCCATCTTTCCCGGGATCCACTGATTTCCTTTCTTATTAATTTTCTTTTCCACTTTCCTTCCAATTTTTAATCACAGTTTTTATTTCTAATTTTTTATGATTTTCATTCATATTTGAAATAGTTTTTAATTTTTTTTTAGATTATTGTTCTTTAGAAGTGCCTCATAATTTTTATCTTGAAAGGCGCCATAAAAGATGGCTTTCTTTCCTTCTTTCTTTTTGTCCCTGACCTGGAGAAGGCATTCTACCCTTTCATGACTAAAGACCAAGATCTTGGATTCGAGGAAGAGATAAATAGATCAATCTTTTTAAAAATAATAGTTTTTTTATGCATCAGGCCTTAAAAGATTAAGTGCACAACATGTTAAAACTCAATTAATGTCTAAAGCAACAAAACATTAACCCTGGTTTTACTGCAGTGCTTCCTGTTATACTCCTCCTGTTTGTTACAGTAAAAACATTCTCACAGAAGAACAAAAACAGCCCTCCAGCTGTGTTTTCTTCCTCATTGTAACGTGATGGGAGCCTAAACTTAGACTTCCACGACACTCGAGTTTGTTCCTGCATCCAGTCCAATAACTTCACAGTTTCAGTTTGTCAAAGACTAATGACAATGAAGAAAAATTCCCCAAGAACTGGATGTTTATCTGCATCTTGTTTACAAGACTGTAGGTGAGTGGAAATGTTTACGTGTTCCAAAGGAATGATAACATCTTCCTAACTGGTCTTTTCTAAAACAGTACTAGTACACAGCGACTAAATGAGTAAAAACAACTTTAAATCAGCTGAATATTATGTGAAGAAAGTGACATTTTCCTCCCCTATAAAAACGTTGATGATGTAAAACAGCTGGACAATGAGGCCCAGGCTGACAATAACTGGAATTATCCATAAGACCTGTTGACTACACCCTCTGGGTTCCAGTTTAGCTGAAAGACTAGAAAACAGTCACAGGAAGGACTATATCAAGATGGAGTTCCTTTTTTAAGTCTCAGTCTTATTGTTTCACCTCAGAGCAGGAGAGACAAGCAGACACACACTTTCCTCGCCTGACGCAAACAGGAGACCCGTGAACAGAGCGAGACCTCGGGGGTCAAACCTTTCAAAAGCGTTTCCTGGTTCTCTACCTGTTGCTGCGTAAATACAATAAGCAGTCAAGTCTGAAAACGTTTGCACGTTTACATTTATCTTTATTTTGTCCGTCCATCAGCTGGAAGCAAAGCTTTTAAATGTGTCAGACTGGCTTTTTACATGAGGTGAGATTTTACATGTGAAACTGCGTCAAATATCAGTAAAATGAACTTATTTGCTGTCCGTTGAGTTTTCCCTTCTCCTGTTTTCACGAATTCCAAATGGCTCTTAGCAACATATAGTTAATGGTCAAGTACTTCAGCTTGTATAGCGCCTTCTTAGGGTTCCACAACCCCCCCAAGGCGCTTCACAACACAATCAGTCATCCATTCATTCACACACACATTCACACGCTGATGAGCTGCAATGTAGCCACAGCTGCCCTGGGGCGTAGCGACACAGGTGAGGATCGAACCTGCAACTTTCTGGACAACCTCTCTTCCTCCTGAGCTACTGCTTTCCCTCAGTGTTAATTTTGTTGACGAAATATTTTTATTTTTTTCATGACAAAAGAATTTTTGCGAACTAAAACGAAACAAAAACATACACACCAATAAAGACTAAATAATGACAAATGTTGGATCGACATTTTCGTTGACGATTAGGAAACGACAACAGTCATCATCACACGGGTGAAATGTATCTCCACATTTGGCCCATCCCTGTAGGGAGTGGTGAGCTGCAGCTGTGGCTGCGCTCGGGAACTTTTTGGTGGTATGATGTCATTTCATGTCATGTGTACAAATATTGCAGCACATTATGCAGATTATTTTATTTTATTAATAGTGAGAGGCACAATTTCAAACTGTCAGTGTTCATCTTTGGTATTTTTCAATACTGATAGTTATAGAAAGAGTTATAAATATAGAGTTTTATTGATCCAAAGTGCAAAATGTGAATTTTTCATATTTCTTTACAGTTTCAAGTAGGTGTAGCTAACATTTTCTTTACACAAGTTGAAAATTATTGCATCAGAAGAGAAACACACGTTTTAGTCGACTAAAATAAAAACAAATCGGACAACTAAATCATGACTAAAACTAAATAAATTTCTTGTCAAAATTAACACTGATATCATTCCTGAAACCAAAACCTGACAGAAAACTTAGAGATGTCTTTTATTCACATTTGGGGTGCTTGTAGAGGCAGTAAAACCCCACATGACAACACAAAGGAAAGCAGAAGGTGAGTTTTGCATAATAGATGCCCAATAAAATGGCATTAATGCATTCTGATATTAGTTGTATGCTGTCTAGCCGTTAGCAATGTAAAGTCTATTTCTCAAAACTGAGGCCATTCTTGAAGTATTTTACATTGAATGGATGGAAAATATTGTTTTTATACAGGAACACGTGTAGAAATGGACATAAATATTGAGCTAAGCTGATTGTTTATGTAATAACAGTAACAAAATAATGAGTTTACAAAAGATAGAGTGGTGCAACAGCTCAACTGTCCTAATCCAAAAAACATTCAAATTGTGTAGAAACAGTTTCCCCCTTCCCTTTACAATATTAGGACGTCATCAACCTTTGCAGGCAGTGAGAGGTTTAATGTACTTGAGGACTAAGTAATACATTGTTTTCATAAGTACAAGTGATACCCTACAGGCTTTTTGGTGTGAATGTGTGTGTTTTCATCTAACAACATGCTTTCGTATCCATGCTTCTTGGCGGACCTGTCATTTTGCTGTTTGCTGCCACACAACACAATTTATCTTCCTCCCCTTTATTGACTTGAGATGAAAACACAATAAATGCACCGACAAAAACGGGGCCAGAGGTGCAGCCACATAATGTTTTTAAATGAGCTGGACATCCACTTAGTCTCAGCACATATGCAGCGCATTTAGCTCATTGCTGAAGCTGAATGTTGCTGTTTTTGTTGGATGTATTTAAGATTTTAGGTGCTGCATCGTGTGAAACTAGTATTGCAGTGAGTTCTTTAAAGAAACGTGCTGCACACTGATGTAGAAGGGGATTAACTTTTGATCTTTAAGTGTGATTCAATCATCACTAGGTTGTAGGTCAGCTTAGAGCTTTAGAGATACTATGTTTACCGTTTTTTATCATCACTTAAATGCATTGTCTATACGGTGCTGTCAAATATTCAGTAATAGGAGAAACAAGGGTGTGTCTGTGGCATTTACTGAACCAACATCATTTTATAGATGTGAAAACTACTGTTGCATGACTCCACTGCTGACAACGATAATGCAAACGGATGATGTTCAGTAACTGTGAAATTAAAACAGGCAGAGAATAAAAGGACAATAGGAGTACTTTAGACACAGATTTGTAATGTTTACAATGTTTATGGGAACATCTAATCATTTCTACACATCAGATCAGGCAAAAACAGGTGTTGCTGAATTTGAATCATGTACCGCCTCTGAAGTTTCAGTTTTCTCCCTTCTGCTGCAGCCGATCAGCCACACAGTCACCGCCCTTATTAATGCAGCTGTTTGCTGCTGTGGTCGGCTGCTGCACACATGGTTTTAATGTCATAAATCTTCACCAGCTGACCACAGCTCCAGAGTAAAAATACCCCTCTTTACTTCACTGGTGAATGCACTGAGAGGGGTTAAATAGTATTCACGAGCTGCTAAGGATGTGAAGTTGGGCTGAGCAGGAAACAGGGAGAGCAGTTTCCTGTTTTGTATTTTTAAAAAAGCCTGTTGCGGAGCAATCAAACAGGCAGATGGAACGTGGAGAGATTATCCCCACCCTAAAATACTTTTACTTTAATTAGAAATAGGAGTTCATGCTGATCAAATGAATCACAGCCAGCTGGAATCTGACTGCTGCTGACTCATAATTATAATTTAATCACCTATAAATAAGATATTTTACATTTTATGCCCAATACAACACTATACTGATGGGTAATAGATTAATTGCCTATAATAGTGCAATAAGACCATTTTTATTATACTTCATAATCAATTAAGTGTTTCTTGCTCTTGATTTTTAAGGATTGGATCTGAAATAAAAAATTGTCACTAGTGGATGAATTAAGGTCATTTTAATTAGATGATTTTAAACATGATGCATAGTGGTCACTACAGTGGACAGGTACTAAAAATTGTTATTTTATTAATTTGTTTGCTATTAAGCACAGCTGTTGATGACTTTATTGCATTTGAGCCCCTCCATTTGGACTTAATGAAGTCAAGCCAACATATTTCATGCTCAGAATGCACGCTGTCCAGTGAGGTGGACATGTAACAAATTATTAGTAAATTAATAAATGCTACAAACATATTTGTTGAAATTTGTTTCATTCACACCTAAAGATGAATGAAAATATTGTTAAAAATCATGGTTGAAGATTTCATAATTCATGCATCAAAGGGATAAGTATCTCAGCATCATCAGTGCAACATAAATTTGCTTCCCCCTCAAACCCGGCCTTTCCACTGGAGGGGAGCGTAACGTGATTGTCGTGTTTAGCCCATGAGCTCCCTTCCCACCAGGAGCATTTCAGATGTGAAACGGCAGTGAAAGCCTTCTACGCACCGGAGAATTGCAACACCATGCGTGATTTCAGCAACTCACACGATAACAAGCAAGAAGAAATATGGCAGCATGGTTCTGAAAAGCTCTGTGGTTTATTTTCTGTTTTGGTTGCTTCGGCTACAGAGGTGTCACAGGTATTGGCGTCCATTATTGTAATTTTTTTTGCCAGACAGGCACCTGGAAATCTGCACTTGAATTTCATTTTGAAAGTTTCCAGATGTTTTATACAGCTTTCGTGTTTGACTTCCTGTTTGGCCCAGTCTGAACTGCTGAACTTAACACATTCTGGAAGCGTAGCATGTAAAATATTGTAAATTTATCAGAGCAATGCACTAATACGGTTCTGGCTCACATCCCGAATGTGACATGGCCTGTGGAAACACAACAATCCACTAGCGTTGGGTAATTACTGCGTAATACGCTTGCTGATATGCAACAATTTTGCATCCAGTGGAAAGGCCTGGTTACGGCCCTGAACTGATTAGATGGGGGCAGATTGGGTTGCTAATTCAGCACTGGAAAATCTCCTTTTGTCTGCCTGTGTGCATTAGGGGGGCGGGTCCTGTCGGGAATCTGCCTCCAACGCTGTTGGAAGATTGTTGTGTATCAACTTCTACAAGCGGGTAGAAGGCGGATCGTTGCTGCAGCCTGTTCAACCCCTTTGACAAAGATGTCCGATGACGACCTGAAGCACACCCACCAGCTCTAGAGCACACCTGCAGCTATCAGATTCTCCAGAACTCACAGATTTTCAGCCCATCCCTGATTAGAGATCAGCATATGTACTATTTATGGAGTTCAAAGAGGAGAGGACAATCACCAACAAAATGCAACACTCATTTATTCTTCTGTAATTTATTTGGCAGCTTTATTTGTTTATTTACATTTTTAAATGTTTAAACATTTAAGTAATTTCAATCAATTTAAAGTGTGGGTAATGGACATAATTTTCACTTTAGAAGTGGGGGGGGGGGGGGACACGGGGGGGGGGGGTATCTTTACAGTATGCTCTAATGGGAAACAGGCTTTCACACAAATGGTTGTTCACTGCTTGGTCCTAGAGCTCAACCAGTGTCAATTTAATATAGTATAATATTGTTGGTAAAAAGTGCAGGGGTCAAAACTTGTCTTTGGGGAGGGGGGGGAGGGGGGGGACGTCTCCCCCACCCCCACCCACCCCCCAATTACGTCCAAGGTGTGGGTTGACAGTGGCTGACAACAGTACAGTCACATTTCTAAAGTTTCTGGTAACTTTTTGGACGCCATTGGGGCTCCCCTGGAAACTTTCTGGACGCCCCTGCATCTTGGGACAAGTCTCACTAATCAATCCTCGGTTTACTCGAGGGATGAGAATGTGTTTTTGCACATGTCTGGACCTGCAGCTGCTGTAAACGAATGCCGGTGCGTGCGTGTTTATCCAGCCTCTGCATCTAGTTTTCAGTCGCGTCCCGCGCGCGCAGTCGGACGCACAGGCGATTAGCTGAGCAGCGTGTGGCTCTCAGAGACAATCACACCGAGTCGTGTTCGGTGGTTGTCGCTCCCTCTCAGTTTGAATCAGAACAGCTGAGTTTTCCGAGAGGATCGGGAGTCTTGGCTGTTTGTGTCACCGCAGCGTTTTATTGGACGGGATGCTGGAGGAGGTCGCGTCGCCAAAATGAACACAGGTGAGATCATTCATTTTAAACTGGAAGCTTGTTTCAGACATCAACATTTTATTTCTAGAAGAAGAAAAAAGCTGGGAATCTGGTCATATTGGTGATATTTGTAAATGTTTTGTGATCTCTTTTCCATTAAATAGTGAGATATTAAACCAAATTATTACAACTAAATTACAGAAATGCCAATGAGACAGAACGTTAAAACGTTATTTAATTGTATTAAATAGCTGCATGTAATAATAATAATAATAATAATAATAATAATAAGGTTAAATTGAAAGAGATGAGATCAACTTGTGTTATATGACTTGATTTTATAATAATATCTGTAATCTGTGAGGGTTTCTGCTTTTATCCTTTGTTCCAAGACTTATTCTTACAGCATAAAGGCATCCTGACAGGGGTCTCTCTCACTTGAATCACAGGAAGTGAGTCAGGGAAATCCCTCAGACTTCTTTGTATTCTGTTTTTGAACTGAGTTAAAGTGTGCATTACTCATTAGTCCTTTATCAGGTTAGTAGCACCAGATTTTAAATAGCTTCATCGGTTTTTTTTATATGAAGCTAATCTTAGGCTCTGCCCAGGACGTCAAGTGTGTGTGTGTGTGTGTGTGTGTGTGTGTGTGTGTGTGTGTGTGTGTGTGTGTGTGTGTGTATGTGTGTGTGTGTGTGTGTGTGTGTGTGTGTGTGTGTGTGTGTGTGTGTGTGTGTGTGTGTGTGTGTGTGTGTGTGTGTGTGTTCTGGCAGCAAATTAACCCAGCCTGCCCTGACCCTGAGGGCTACATGATTTGGTATGGTTGTGTGTGTTTATGGATCCAGACCTTCTTGGGGCTTTTATGGGAACTTTATTCCCATTTAGAACAACCAGAGTTTGTTTTAAAATTCTTCAGTTCCCAGACTTGAGCCAACACACACGGGTTAAAAAATGGGCCATTATTTCTAAACGTACCTGAGCCATATGTATATTTTGGCTTGCTGGTAGGCTGAAACATTTAGGCCTACTTGCTTGTTTGAAACAGCAAATTGTTTCACAGAAATTAGTTGTGAAGAAACTCGTAATAGTGCGATTTTTGATAATATTTTGAAAAGATTCTGGTAAGTTTTTCTTACCATCTGTAAAACTTGGAGTTGTTTTAGGTTACAGGAACGCAGCACAAATGACCCTGTAAGCTATTTTAAAACACAGAATCTTACAGTTTCCTTTTCCTGTTGATCTTTTAGACTGCACACAGCCTTCAGTTGCTCCAAAGCCAAGATTTGTTTGTCACGCCAGCCTGAAGTTGCCTTCCCCTCTTCTATCTGCAGCCAGAGGCCCCAAACCCTTCATAGCCCCGAAACCCAAAGTCACAGTTCTGCTAAACGGCAACCAGGGAGAATTCAGCAATGGCAGCGCAGTCACTTCAAATGATGAGGCTGCTGAGCAGCACGAGACACAGAACGGTAAAGGGGATAGAAACACATTGCCTGGGGGGAAACAATTAAACGGCAGCACACTCGAGACCCCAAACATTGATTTAGAGGTTGCGTCAAAGGGGATGCTGGACAGAGGGGGAGGGGGGGAGGAGGAAGAGGAAGCCGGTGGTCAGCGAATGGACGAGAACTGGATGGAAGAGTCAGGCTCTCTGAAAGCACTTTGGGTCAGCGATGACAGGCTCACAGCTGACTCGGAGGAGATGATTGACACTGATGTGACGGAGGACATGGATGCCGATGGTTGTGATGCAGGGGAGGCACTGGCTGACACAGACGGTCTCTCAATGGGGGACATTTCTGTCAATAGCGCAGATGAGGAAGCTGGCTGGTGTTCTGGTGTCAGTCGGGACAGGAAGGGGGAGGATGGAAGTACAGGGGATGACTTATCAGAGTCTACTGTGGATGAAGGTGAACTTCTTCAAGAAAAAACATCATTTGTTGACGCCAAACATGACCTGAAGTTTAAGTGTGCCCATAAAACGAAGGAAAAAGACCATTGCTGTTATGACTTAGTGCCAAAGATGCAGGATCGTGATACAACGAGGAGACCTGTTGCTAATCTAGTCCGTGAGCCTTTTTACGTCTGCTCAGAGGACATTATTAACGGCGATCTACTGCTGGAGAGTACACGCTCAGTGTTGCCTGGGAAGTTCGAGAAAACAGCAGAAGATGGACAAACAGAGGACTGCTTGGACTCGGGTAGCAGCGATGAGTTTGGAAGTGATGACAGCCATGACAACAAAGCGAGGACATTTCAGAAAAAGACGTCTTTTCAAAGCAAAACATATAAACTGGAGGATGCATTGAAAGTTTTGGACGGCCAGCCAAGATTCAAGCAGGTAACAATCTCAGTGCCACACACCTCGCTGACTTCTTCTGTCTCTGAGAGCCAACTGATGTCCCCCGCTGACTCGGATGTCTTCAGAGGCGAGAGAGATGTTGAAGGTCACATTGTGCCCTTCCTAGATGAGACCACTGACACAGAGCACGACGTCAGTGATGAGCATGTTTACGACGAGCCAGGGAAAGCTTCACGAGTTGTAAATGTGTTTACTTTTGATAGCAAGGCCGCTGGGTTTCGGTCACACTCTCTGTCACACCGAGTTACCAACTCTGTGGAGGACAGAGGAGTGCAGCTTTTACAGAAGACGTGCACCAGTGGATTTGGACAGCCGGCATTAAGCAGCAGCCCGATGATGAGCTCATCGCGCTACAAGAGTTATGCCAAACCCCAGTATCTGTCCCTCTATCGCCGATCCATCTCCATGGAGGGACAGGACACACCTCTGTGTGTCTACAGGGATGGCTCTCAGAGACACAGAGATGCCATTTGCTCATCTGAAAACTTCTCCAGGTGCTCCCCTCTGTCATCAAGTGCCCTGTCCACACCAACATCTCTGTCGGATATTCCTCCCCCCTTTGAGCTCTCCTACATCACCAAGAAGCCTATAACAAAGAGCTCTCCCTCTCTTCTCACCGAGGGGGACTTGTCAGAGAAAAACAGCAAGAAGAAGTCTTCAATTAAGCGCTTCCTAATGCTCAAATTTGGGTGGAAGACAGAACACAAATCCGCAGCAGACGTCAAGCCTTCCTCTTTAAAATTTTCAACCGAGTCAAGCCATCGCTCACCCAGCCGTCGGCTGGATTTAGATAGACACAGCATCAGCAGCTCTCCACAAATAAACTCACGCACAGCTAGCAAGCCTCTAGCTTCATCTGAGACGGCGCCCACCCTCCTGCTGTACAATGACAGCAAGAGGAGAGGAAACTCTGTGGCCTTCCTGAGTCGTAGTGTTGTCCGAGTGGAGTCCTTTGAGGACCGCTCCAGAGTGCCTTTCATACCTCTCCCTCTGACCAAACCTCGTTCCATCTCCGTCCCCAACACAGATACCTCAGATTACGAGAACATTCCCCCCATCAGCTCAGACTATGAGAACGTTCAGGTGCCGCAACGGAGGCCGGTTCCTCAGGCACCGTTCACAGACTTCTTTGATCGTCCCAGTCGAGTCATGTCATCTGCCAATGAAACAGATGGCTATGTGGACATGAGCAGCCTCCCTGGGTTTGACAAGAAAATTCAGATGATGGAGGAAACGGAAAGGTTAGTACACACACGTCTGCTGCACACTGCCCTTTATTGGGAACTCTGCTATTGTAATGTGGAGATGATGCTTTAAAGAGGAAGTTCACTGAGAAACACTTTTTATTTGTTATTTTTGAAATATGACTGAAGGTGAAAATAGTCTTCTACCCCTATTTCCTGCATTAGCCGCTTTTAGAATGCTCGGATTAGAAAAGCCACTTAGCTCTACGTCACACTGAAAATGAACATTCATGGACTCACGCATCTTGGCTGGCACGGAAGGCTGTTTTTTTATTTATCGACTAGGAGAGAGCAGAGCACATCTCAGCCAGTAGAAGCTAACCGTTAGCATTAACAAACCCACCACAGGACTCCTCCAGACTTGTGTTATTTGTGGAGATAAAACATCAATGCTGCAAAGCAAACAGAGTCAGTAGATTTGCTTTGCTATTAGCCAATCAGAAGTGAGATATCCAAATATCAGGAAACAAGACTCCAAATTCTGCTGTATTCTGCACCCTACTACTAAGACTCACTTCTACTTCCTGAAACAGGAGCACCAGAGGTTTATGCCCATGGAGATTGACTCACAAAGCATTCATTTATGTTAGAAACCACTACAAGTGATTCTAAAAGTATTTTGACACACACACACACACACACACACACACACACACACACACACACACACACACACACACACACACACACACACACACATATATATACATACATATATATATATATATATATATATATATATATATATATATATATATATATATATATATATATATATATATATACATACATATATATACATACATGTATATATATGTATATATATATATATATACATATACATATATATGTATGTATATATATATATATATATATATATATATATATATATATATATATATGTTTATATATACATATACATATATATATACATATACATACACATATACATATACATACACATATATATATATATATCTATATCTATATCTATATCTATCTATCTATCTATCTATCTATCTATATAGATAGATATAGACATAGATATATATACATATATCTATCTATCTATCTATATATGTATATATATATATATATATATATATATATATAGATATATATACATACATATATATATATATATATATATATACATGTATATGAGATGCTGGTGCAGGGGGGTCTTTTCACAACATCAGTGAAACAGGCAGGTTTTATTCATAAATTTGAAAGACGCTTCTCTCTCTGGGTCTGACGGCACTGCCTCTTGTGTCTCTGCGTCACTGTTACTTGTTGGTATGATCAAATATGTTGTGTTGACATGAACCACCTCCCTCCTGCATTCCTGCCTGCTTCTCCCCATATCATAGAGACCACTCAAGATGAATAATAGAGCTTTTTAGAGTCATTGCTCTTCGGCAGCCACTCTGGAACAACAGGCAGAGATACAATCTCAGTGTGCTCTGCAGTCTGCAGATGTTCTCAGCAGAGCTTCATACTTCACAGTTTATTACAGCGTGTGCAAGGGAATACCACAACATGGGCATGGAAACATTAGTTCAGAGTAAAAAACTACTGAAATTTTATTAACATAAAGAACTGTGTGTGTAATGATAACTGAACATGCTTGTCGGGTAATGGGATGGTCGTAGGCCTGGGACGATAACAAATTTTGCCCAACGATATATTGTCCAACAAAAATTGATGATAAACGATATTATCAACATTATCCAGATAATAATAAGCATTTATGTAATAACAATATATCATAATAATGCAAGTACACCCTTTAAAATGCAACAATTAAACATTTAAATTGGAATGTCAAGTTTACATGCATAGCCAGATGTTTCGAGTCTTTAGTTGTTATAACTGTGATGATTATGGCTTATATAAATCGAGTATTTTGAAAAATTTTCACTCAGTGACACACTCTAATGCAAAGGGTTCCTGAGCCTTTAGATGGTCTCTCATTCACAGCTGGATTACTGACATAAATGGACTTTTGTACCATATTCTCATTTTTCCAGATTCACCTGTATGTGAGCATCAGCCAGAAGTCCCTCCCAACTGTGTGAATCTGTGGTCTGTTTTTATTGTAGCTCCCAGAAAGAGCCTCTAATCATGGTGGTATCTGAGCAGACCTGAGAGGTGGATGAGGTGGTTAATTTAACACCAGCCTGAGGAGACCATATTAGCAGATATAGACTGGAGATCATTGTCCCATCTACTCTCTGGAAAGTTGGCCCGAGGAGACGCCAAAGTATTCTTTTATCCTCTCTTGTAATTTATCTCTGCAGCTTCTGCCTTGAGCTTTCCGACAGGGTGGCAGCTGGGTGAGAAGTGGCGGCAGCGGTTTCTTTGGGAGCGATGAAGTCCTAATATAGAAACTGTAGCTCCTTGGTGTTTTAGAAACCCCTGGCATCTCCTTCAAAGTTTGATCCAATAAGCAGTAATGGGCCATGCAGCTGTAATGTGTCCGACACAGAGATCACATATGTTCCTCATATGTTGCTAATTTGCATCTCAGTGGGGTTAAATCCAATGATTCGGGGACTAAAACATGTCAGGGAGGTTGTAGAGGGCCATTATATGCCATGGCTATGAGTTGATTTCATACGTGTTCAGCAGCAGCTGTTAGCATATTCATTTAGACTCCCTGCAGAAGAAAACTCTGTAGCATATAACACGGATGCGTTTCCCTCGATGGGTGTCGCCAGAGGCCTTTTGGGACCAGTTTATTGCTTTTACACAGCAGCAATCTTTTATTTAGTCACAATTTCTTTTCATGCGGAATACGTTTATTATAGTGATAATTCAACAAAGGACTGTAAAGAATATTTTGATGGTTAAATGAGATTCTACTGATTTACTCTCACATAAACGAAGACGTGAGTGTTGTGATCGGATTTGGAGACCAGTACGGACAACCAGACACAGTAAGCACGTTAAGTCTTTTATTTACAGAGATGTAGCATTACCAGAGACTGATGGGGCTGAAGCTGAGGCAGGGTGGTGAGGAGGCGTGGGTCAGAGCCAGCGAGATCCGTAATAAATCCAAGGGGAAAGGCGAGAGGCAAAATACAGAGACGGGTCGGCGTTCGGTAAACCAGCTAGACTGAGAGGCACAGTCGCAGACAAGAGGCGAGGTCGAGAAGCAGATCCAAGGTCCGTATACCAGGCAGGCTTGTAATCAAAGCAAGAAGATCCAAACAGGGGCGAGACAGGGTGGAAGGTCTGTGAGACAAAACAAGGTCAGGATACGTGGTTCAGGCAAATCTAGAAATGCTGGAGAATTTACTTGCTTTAGGTGTTCAATAATCTGGCGCTGGCTTGGTGTTGGCCCAGGTGTTTTACAGAGTGCGTTGCAGGTGGAGCTGATGAGGAGTTAATGTGAGACAGGTGGTTTGGATGACTTTGGACTCGACTTGGACTTGGTTGTCTTTGACTTGGACTTGACTCGAGACTTGACTGGAAAGACTTGTGACTTACGTGTGACTTGCAAAGCAGTGACTTGGTCAGACCTCTGATAATTACATATACTATTGATTATTTTGAAAGTTCAGAGCGTTACACTGAATTTCACAAACATGAATCCATCTGAAATAACAGATCAGACCCATGGGAGTCAGAACAGCTGAGCGTGGCCTGGTTCTGGTAGCTGACTGTGGATCCTGTGGCTCATGTGGGTTTTAGACAACACAGTTATTTCCAATCAGAGCCATGTTTTTGTTCTGCAGCAGCTACACAAAAAACATCCACATGAGATCATATTTAAGCTTCCTGCCTGTGATGATTAGCTTATATTTTTATAGAATGAGGAGTAAAAACAAAACAAAACTCGGTTTTGTAGATTTAACCAGAGAAAGATGGATGTGAACTTCCTGAAGAAAAGTTTAGACTCTTCAAAGATTAAACTGTGGCATCACGATCACGATAATTTCATAAACTTTTCATGCTCCTTTTCTGTTTCAGGATTTCGCGGAACATCCCCTTTATAAGATTTAAACTTTAAATGTAGACATGTTGACTATTAAAGGAATGGAACAGAGAAAATGAACATAAAGAACACTAAAAAAGCCCTAAATCTTCTGATTAAACCTAAATACTGATTATGTGTACTTCACAATAATAATTCCTTCAACTAGTGTTGTGCATTAGTGATACATATGTCACTATAATAACTATTTTTTGTTATTTTTTAAAGCTGAGTGAAACTTTTCCATAGTGTTTAATCTAATTTTTCTTCTACGCCCGTGCATATCCTCATTTTACGACACACTCCACTCTTTTTGTTTGAACTTTCATTGACAGTGCCTACACAGAAGCCTACACGGTGTGTTCAGTAGCTGCCGGTCCACAGATCGGGTCTGTGGGTGACGGTCAGAAACAGGAAGACCACGGTCGCACCTCAGAGGAGGAGGACGGAGGGACAGACACCAACTACGACAGACAGGTTGGCTCTCACAGAAGCTGAGAACGTTTTCCTGCCTGCACACTTTTACGTTTTACTGAACAACATGTGACAGCAGCACATTGTGTTGTCTCATCTGTGTGTGTCTGCTGCTCTGAGATGCTGTGAGACTGTAACATAGACCAAAATGGTGACAGGTGAATGTTCTTTCAGCCTGACGGTCGATCCAGAGCCTTTTACATTGTGAAAGAGCTGGTGGACTCGGAGAGATTGTGAGTATATTTTTGCCATTTTTATTTCGAAGTGCATATTTGTGTGAAAAAGAACCATGTTTCTACTTCTACTCAGACTAAACGTGTTTTATTTTTTCTCCTCAGACATGTGAAGGCCCTCAAACTCCTGCAGATAGTGAGTGATATAAAACTCCACTCTGTATGCAACAAATACAAAAGGAACATTGATTTTAGGTGTTTTGATGCCAACATAACTAAACATGCACATCAGAGGCTTTTATGACAGAAATGTAGTTTTAGCATCGCATCGTCCTTCCGTTTGATCGTTTCAACGCACTTTCAAACTTCTTTTTCTCCACACTCAATACTGGCATCAAAGCTTGAATTTTTCACATTAAAATGCACTAATGGAGATAACAACCTTGCTCAGGGGTTCCCCAGCGTTGAGAGTGAAGACAGCAAATCCCGCTCTTTAATTTTCTTGCAGTGTGTGAAACAAACGAGCCGTCTAGACCTCTGCAGCTCCAGCGCTCACAGAGATGATGAGATTTCTTTGCACAATGCTTCATGTACTCCCTGCTGTCCGATCTTATCATTTAGTCTTTCGTGGAGACAAACAGGGAGAAGATGCAGACTGTAGGGAAACAATAAGACCTTGGCGTTAGATTTGAACTTAAACTGTAAATTAAATTCCTCTATGCTCGTCCATGTTCCAGGACTTCAGGGATGCAGTGGGTTCCGTGGTTGGGGACGATGGACAGCCTGTGTTGGACGATGAGAGACTCGGAGAGATTCTAAATGAGCTGCCCGATGTTTACAGTCTGCACCGCAAGATCTTCGCTGAGCTGGAGAGTCGGATCCGACACTGGTGGGCCACAAACACTCACACATCTTATGAACTGAGTATTCATGTCTGAAATCTGCTGCATCTGCTTCACAACCTAAATCCCTGCCTGTTCAGGGACGACGGACAAAGAATAGCAGACATATTCGTGTCCAGGAAAGCAGAATTCCTGGTCTTCACCACTTACATCGGCCACTATGATCGAAGTGTGGGTTTACTGGAGGACAGCTGCAGAACTGCACCTGCTTTTGCAGCCATTGTTCAAAAGTTTGAAGTGAGTTGTTTTTATTTTTTTTATTCTTAAAGAGAAACACGTCAACAAACATTTGTGCTTTTATATTTATTATATAAATAAATAAATAGTGAATGACCTGCAGAGAGCTGGGACCAAAGTTAAAAAGGCTACCTGTCACGAACTCCTCCCGCTGACTTCATTCCAATCATTCCTGCCACCAACGTGGCGGCTGACGTCATCACGCCGACACTACTTAAGGAAGTGCCGGCGTTTCATTCATTGCTCAGTCATCGTTCTCACCAGACTTTGTTCCGAGTCTCCAGGCTTACCAGCCCTCTAAACCTTCAAACTAAACCTTCAAGAGATAACCACGCTGGTTATTTCCATCACTCCGCGTCTGGGCAACAGATCCTCTCAGTCACGCTTCAGATCTGCCAACGAACCTGACACTACCATCAGTAACACACTACAGCGCCAGGTACTCGAATCCTGCAGTGCCAGATGTGTCCCCCTGCTTAAGCCAGTACATGTGCAGGTCCGTCTGAAGTTTGCTAGAAAGCATTTGGATGATCCAGAAGAGGACTAGGAGAATGTCAAATGGCCTATATTTGATATAGCGCCTTCTAGAGTCCTGGAACCCCTCAAAGCGCTTTACAACACAATCAGTCATTCACCCATTCACACACACATTCACACACTGGTGGTGATGAGCTACGATGTAGCCACAGCTGCCCTGGGGCGCACTGACAGAGGCGAGGCTGCCGAGCACTGGTGCCACCGGTCCCTCCGACCACTACCAGCAGGCAACGTGGGTTACGTGTCTTGCCCAAGGACACAACGACAGCGACAGACTGAGCGGGGCTCGAACCTGCAACCTCCCGATTACGGGGCGAGCACTTAACTCCTGTGCCACCGTTGCAGAAACCACAACAGAACATTTTGGTAAAAACTCTACTTGTTGTGTTTGGAGGAGAAAGAATGCCGAGTTGCATCTAAAGTGCACCATACCTACTGTAAAGCATGGGGTGGAAACATCATGCTTTGGGGTTGTTTTTCTGCAAAGGGACAAGGACGACTGATCCGGTCAAAGGAAAGAATGAATGAGGCCATGTATCATCAGATTTTGAGTGAAAACTTCCTCCCATCAGCAAGGGCACTGAAGATGAAACATGACTAGGCCTTTCAGCATGATAAATATCCCAAACACATCACCTGGGTAACAAAGGAATGGCTTCATAAGAAGCATCCCAATGTACTAGAGTGGCCTAGCCGTTCTCCAGATCTCAACCCCATAGAAAATCTTTGGAGGGAGTTGAAAGTCCGTGTTGCCTAGCGACAGCCCCAACACATTACTGCTCTAGAGGAGATCTGCATGGAAGAATGGGCCAAAATACCTGCAGCAGTGTGTGAAAACCTTGTGAAGACTTGCAGAAAAAATTTGACCTCTGTCATTGCCAACAAAGGGTGTATAACAAAGTATTGAGATGGTCTTTCGTTACTGACGAAAAACATACTTTCCACCATAATTTGCGAAACAATTCTTTAAATATCAGACAGTGTGATTTTCTGGATTCTTTTTTCATTTTGTCTCTCATAGTTGAGGTACACCTATGATGAAAATTACAGACCGCTCTCATCTTTTTAAGTGGGAGAACGTGCACCATTGGAGGCTGACTAAACATGTTTTTGCCCCACTGTGTGTTATGATCTTTGATTTTCAGAGTGATGGTGATGTCTGCTTGTGAAACGGATTCAAACCCTTCCAACTCTTGAACAACTAAGAAAAATATTAACTTTAATACTTAAATGCATCATACTCTAGCAGAAAAGCATTATGCATTAGCATAAGCAAGGTTAGACATACGCAATGTTTCAATAAAAATGTTAGTGTCTGTTCACCATCCAGCTTTCTTTACGTGTTCAGACTCTATCAGAGATCAATAATAGGGTGTTTATGTCCTGGGGGGGGGGGGGGGGGGGGTGCCACCACCCATCACTTCCTTTGTAATAATACAGCAGGTTTGTGGATGAATGTCCAGCAGGTCTGTCTAAACGTCTCTCATTTATGAGCGGAGATTTTAGTGTTTTGCCTACATCTTATCGACCACCAAAGACTCAAGTCCTTTGCAGAGCTTCGCAGTTTTCTGTCAGATTTAAGAGCTCTAATGTTGAAAATGTCCTCTGATTCCCCTCAGCTCTTTGTTTATTGATGCCTGGGGCTCTTTTATGTTTGCCCTTTAAACGGGAGGCTGCTGACAGAATAGTTTTTAAATCTGGTCGTTGTTTCCGTGGGGCTGCTTTTGTGAACTAAATCACTTGAGTTTTATATGTCTGATGTTGTTAAAACATTCTGTGGCCTCTGCTAGAGGCGTTACGATGTCATCAGCGCTCATTTTCAGTCTCCTCTCTTGTGTCTATTTTTCTCTTAATTCAGTGATTGATTTTATTTTTCACTGAATAAGAAATATAAGGAGCTTAACTTCTCCTAAAGTGTTTGGCTGTATGCTCTGCCCCGGCATTTTCTTAGGGTTGAGGTTGTTCATCATAGTATTTCAATGAGCCACAAGAAGAAAAAAATAGATACAAATAAAGATATAATAAAGATACAGAAATATAAAATAAAGTTTACTGTGAGTTTAAAGTGTTTTGAAAACATGTCAAATACAAATAGATATATTTAGATTAGTTTTTTTTATTTTAGAGGAATTTGAGTTTTTATTCGCTTGAAAGTTTACATGAAATATTTTATATCCTCACAATAAATTCTTCTTCTTCTTCTTCTTCTTCTTCTTCTTCTTCTTCTTCTTCTTCTTCTTCTTCTTCTTCTTCTTCTTCTTCTTATTATTATTATTATTATTATTATTATTATTATTATTATTATTATTATTATTATTATTATTATCATCATCATCATCATTTGCATGTAACTAAGTTCATTTTAGTAACTTATTCTTTCACCAAAATTCTCTTTTGATTATGAGGCATACTATCCTCCTCCTCCCTTGTGGTTAATAATGATTAAAAGCGGGAGTTTAAATGTATTTATCTTGTCTCAGGAGCAGAGCTCAGGTGCAGACAGAGTTCCCTTTAAACAGCAGCTCCTGCAGGTCATCGTTCGCGTGGCTCAGTATCGTATGATCCTCACCGGTGAGTAAAAAGATCAAATTTAATTAAACACGGCGTGTCCTTCCTGATCAATATACAGCTGGAGCGCGGGCCGTGTCTCCGAACAAACTCCCTTTTCTTGCTCCTCTCACAGATTATCTGAACAACCTCTCCCCTGATTCTAAAGAATATGAAGACACCCAAGGTACAGTAAACACGATCCAAGAACAAACCGCAGTGGGTTCAGCTCAGTTCACGCTCTTCTTTCAGTACCAAGAGAGCTGTCCTGCCTCTGTGTGTATGCTTGTGTTCACTTGGCTTCTTTGTTTGTGGCTAGAAGCCACCAGACAGCCGTTCAAGCTGTTTTGTTCTGTCTGAAGACAGTAAGGTGTTAATCAGAAGGCAAGCTGCAGCAGCACTATCTCACCCTGCATCTCTGAGACCTGAGCCTAAACATGCACACACACCCAGACTCCTCTCTCAGGATTATAAAGAACATCTCCTTGGTCAGGAATATTTGTTGTGACTGTTTGGTTCCTGATCCTTATGTCTGTTTGTCTCATCCAGCCGCTGTAGCGATCGTGTCTGACATTGCAGACCAAGTCAGAGACAGCTTAAAAAACGGGGTAAGTTTAACTCCGGAGCTCATCTTTTAACATCACGTGAAATACAGAAAAAATGGCAACATATTCTACTACACGTGGATTAGTGAATGAATATTACCCATCGGGTTTCATTTCAGCTTTAAACTTGTTTATGTTTAGAAATGATGGAGTTTTAGCCATAATAACATTAATGTTACACACAGTTTCAGGCAGATTTTGCCATCAGTTAGAATTGATGAATGGATGATTTACAGATTATAAAGAATGAAACCCCGCAACCGAGAAGCCAGTCCTTCAGGCCTTTTTTCCTCTACTCGGAGCTGCAGCCTCCAGGGTCCTCCTTGTTTCTGCACGATGAACTTAGTGACTTGCACACGTTTCAACCGTTGCATTTTAAAGAGCAGAATAATCTGTCTTAGCCATGAGCGATTGCATTATATCATTGTGATGTGTACTGAGTGGGTTATTAGAAATTTGCCACAATTTAGGTTTTATGAACTCATGACCATTACCTATACCAATTTTGCTGATAATGTGTGGGGTTATATGGCTGCATGACAAATCAAACATCTGCATTTAGAATTGTTTTCACCCACATTTAAGTCTATAATGCAAGCAGAGAACTTCGCATGACCCTTTGCAGCCTGATTCAGGCGATAACATCTGCAGATTTGTGTCTGACAGAATCACTCTCGTTCGTCTGTTCTCCCTCATTTTGGCTCTTGTGTTTTTCACTATCTTACCGTTGTTTTGTCTGCATTGCTCAGGAGAACCTGTTGCGTCTGATCAACATAGCGTACAGCGTCCGAGGCCAGCGGGACCTGCTTCAACCTGACAGGGTAGGACTCTGATAAGAGCATTGTTCCTGTCTGAGCCATGCCAGCCCACCCTGTCTGCCCTTGTTGGTCTTTTTTAAGTTCCCAGACAGGCGCAGACTACTCAGCCAGGCTGTTGTAAAACAACACTGATGACTCCAGATGTGCCAGATGTGTCAGGCACAGAAATGCTTATTAATTATGGTTCTTATTTGGTTTTAATTTGTCAGGTTTTTGTGAAGGAGGGAACGTTGATGAAGGTCAGCAGGAAGTGTCACCAGCCTCGACATTTGTTTTTGGTAATTTCTGCTTCCTGTTTGTTAAATCTTGGTCCACAGACACGTTTACTAACGTTTAATCTGACGACTTTAGATTTACAGAGTTTGCTTCATCGTAATTAGGTCAATTTAACAAATAGATGTAAAATCTAACGTCGGGAACCCGCCTGACTTATTTGAGTCCAGACTGAGTTATTAAGAGCAGAGTTTCCTGGCAGGATGTTTCTGAATGTGAAGTTCCTGAACCAGACGTATGCTGACAGCAGAGGGAAGGTCAGCTCCCTGAGATCTAAATGAGCCTTAAAGAGCTGTTTCCATGCTGGATGATTATAGACTGTTTTGCAAAAATATGAGCTTAATTCATTAAATTCCTGAAAGACGGTCACAACAAAAACAACGAGTAACCATCAAAGTTTTAGGTGTGGATGAGAAACTCTTCCCTGAGCTGTGTTTTAATTAAAAATAGACATCTGTCAGATATTATCCTTTATTTTTTTAACATCTCTTAATAATCTATGCTGTATTTGTGGAAGCCTGCTAGCGTAAAGCTAGTTGTGATGCATCTGTTTTACCTAAAAGTGTTTAAGTTATGTGTTATTTGTTTTAGAAAAAAGATAAAACAAGTATAACTTTATAAACACTGAACTAAGAAATAGATTTTGTGTTGAACTACACTGACATCTACAGGTAGATTTCAACGTTACATGAATAAATTACTCAATTTCCTTTTTTAGATGTCCTCATACCTGAAACAGCTCAGGAATGTGCAGCTGTGAATATTTACACTTTGTTGTCTTCTGTCAGATGAACGATGTGCTGCTCTACACCTACCCTCAGCAGGATGGGAAATACAGACTGAAGAACACTTTGCCTCTCACTGGGTTGAAGGTAAGTCCACCATTACAGACACCTGTTTTTATTTTAACATCATTTAAAGCTGATGTGTGCTTGTTTATTTGTATTAGTAATTAAAACGATCAGATAAAGCTTGAATATTTACCACCAGGATGGACTTTTTCTCCCTTTTTTCTCGTTTTTTTTTTTTAGCTGTATGATATTTAATGTCTGATATTTCTCAGGTCAGTAAACCCAATTTACAAAATGTTCAAAACGCTTTGAAAATTGAAGGGACAGACATCTCCATCGTTTTATCTGCCAGGTGAGTCACGCTGTTTGGTTAAAAAATGACAATCAAATTCCTCATTCTGACTTTATCTCCACAGTTGGTCCACAGTTTAACTGAGTTTGTATGCACTTTTTGCAGCTCCTTTCTTGAGAGAGAGGATTGGTTTTACACTCTTAACCGCTCTGTGACTGGACACACAAGAGGCTCTGCAGCTCTGAGCAGCTGTCCAGTAGAGGTGAGTAAATCCTGCAGCGTACCTCAACTCACAGCAGTCAAGCTGAGTGTGATAATCTGTGTGTGTGTGTGTGTGTGTGTGTGTGTGTGTGTGTGTGTGTGTGTGTGTGTGTGTGTGTGTGTGTGTGTGTGTGTGTGTGTGTGTGTGTGTGTGTGTGTGTGTGTGTGTGTGTGTGTGTGTGTGTGTGTGTACCAGGTCCGAGATCGTCTCAGGCTGACCCTGGGAGACAAAGCTCCCACACTTGTTCCCGTCTCACAGGTGATGATGTGCATGAACTGCACAGCAGATTTCAGCCTAACTCTTCGAAGGCACCACTGTCACAGCTGTGGAAGAGTAAGTCACCCACCCAAAAAACCTAGATACCTTGAAATATTGTAAAACACCGTTGGTTAAATTGAGGAGTGTGATAATAAACAATGTGGACACGGATGTTTTGATGACATTTGACACAACGACTGAAATTGTCTATTTTACCATAAAGTTATGCACCTGTAAGGTGCTTATAGTTTTGGTTTTGTGGTGTGACACAGATTGTCTGTCGGAGTTGCTCCAGGAACCGGTATCCACTGAAATACATGAAAGACCGACCGGCCAAAGTGTGTGATCACTGTTACAACGAGCTGAAAAAGAGAGGTAACTCAATAGGGATGTGAATCTCAGAGCAACTCACAATTTGATTCGATTCATGTTCTCGGGGTGCCGATTCGATTCAGAATCGATTCTCGATTTAAATCGATTCACAATCAATGTTAACAAAGAGTGTCAGTTCCAGGATTAACTACTTTGCTGTGCAAGTTAGTTAAAGCTTTGGGAAATTTTATTTTACTTTAAACTGGTCACGCTAAAAAAAGCTGATTTACAAGGTAAAATAAAGTGATTCTAAAACTGTAAACGGAAACAATCTTTTGACCAAAAGGCAACATTTATTTTTGCTTACGTTGTAAAATATAACAAATCTTTAGTTACGTAACTGTAGCTTTGAAAGCAATACGGTCAAATACTTTTCAAATATCTGTGGAAGCAGTTTGACATCTGAGTCCTCAACCTGTTTAAAAAAAAGGAAAACGTGCTCTCTCGTTTATCAATAACTTAAAATAAATACATGAGTAATCCTGAGTACTCACTTATGAACTTAGAAAATAAATATGTGAATATCTCAAATTTCTGAGTATGGAAAAACATTACACTCTAGTCCCCTCTTATCAGCAGATTCAAAAATAAATCATCCCAATTTATGGGACCACAAAAGTAAACGGAGTACTAACTCTCCTAACAAAGACCAAAAAACATACATCTCAAACCTGTAACATGCCAAACATTTGAGTTCCTGGAATCGATTCTGAACCTTTGTGAATCGATTCTGATTCTTTATAAATAAGAATCCCGATTCAGACTTGAATCGATTTTTTTCAGCACCTCTATAAAGCAACCTTTCTTTGTTGTACAATAGAACAGCCAGGTTACATACCACCAGAATGTTTTTACATGGATTAAAGCTGCTGATAGACTATTTTTATGTGATATTGTTTGTTTAATTATGTTTAATTTATTTAATTTTGTCAGTGCGGAAACTTCAGCTGAAGGAGAAAGTAGCATCAGACGACAGGATTTTGACTCTTATTTCCTGATATTACAACATTTAGCCTCAGATTGGATAATAGCAACAAGACTCTCCCACTAATTCCATTTACTTTGCAATGCTGATGTTTTATCTTCACAAATATCACAAGCCTGGAGGAGTTCTGCTGTGTGGTGGAGTTGCTAATGCTAACAGTTAGCTTCTACTAGCCAAGATGTTGTCTGTTGTTTCCTGGACGCTAAACCAACAACAGCCTTCCCCGTTGAGTCAACATGAGTGAGTGCATGAATGTTAAGAGACAGTGTGATGTAGATCTGCCAGGGTTTTCAAATTCTTAGATTTTCACCGTCTAAGAGCTGGATGCAGGAAATAGGTGTAGGAGACCATTGTCATGTTCAGCCTGCGTGAAAGCCTCTGAGTTATAATCAGAAATAATCATTAAAAATGTTTTTCAGTATTCCACACTTAAAAAAGGCCTATGCATCCAACACAGTAACCTAACATTTGATAAAGTCAAACATTTAAAGAGAACTTCACATCAAAATCAACTTTTTTTTTAGCTGATAACTATAAATGAGTGTCTAATAGTGTGGTAGACATGTGTAGTTATGATGCATTTTCTTTGAAAACTCTAAATTCTGTCTGAAAACGTCAGTCTAGCGCCCTCTTCAGCTCAAAAGTATAGAACACATTTATTTTGAGTCTGTTTTGGCCAATGGCTAACAACGAAAAAGGACAAATTGCAGTCATTTTGGTTATAGTTTAAAATTTTGTTTTAGAACTTAAAAAATGTATTTGCCTGTTGCTTTTTCAACAAAAATATCCACAAAAACTGTTGGAATTTATACTGATGAGCCTCAGGGACATTTATATATAATTATATAGTGATTTATTAAATAAATCGTTTTTTAGATGTATAAAAAAACTATTAGCTTGAAATGTGTTTCTAAATAAGAGAAGATGAATGTATAGTTGCGTGAACAAGAATGTTCTTCCTTAGGTAAAGCAGTGGGGTGGCCAACAATTTTCTAGATGTGGTCATGGCCCCCTGGCCACCCCTTGGGGGCGCCACAGGGACCTTTGCAAGTTAAACTGAACAAGCAAACATGTGCAAGTTAATTAGTAAAATCTGTGCAAGAAATGTGAATGACCTTTGTTCCGAGAAAGAGAATTTTTGTTCAAGGGTCATGAGCTGATGAGCTGATGAGTGCAGCCAGGAACAAAGTGATTCCTGTCATCTTAAAATAGTCCGGTTCCAAAAGATTTGATAGCATTTAATCTGTTGTAAAACTGTTTTCAGTTTCACCTTACACAGTTACTCACAGGAACTTCTGTGGTTAGTTGCAATCGTAAATACCCTCAGCAGCAACAACCACAAGAGGTTCCCCCTCTGGTTCATCCAGGAGTCACACTCAGCAGAAATGTTTAAATATTCATTATGAAATTATCTTTCATTCTAAAAATGAACAGCAATTTAAGGAAAACAAATGAGTGTTGCATTAGCTGTTGTGACACTTTGGAGCTGTTTTTAAATGGCATCACTCTAAGTCAGTCTGGATAAACCTTCTTTTAGCTCATCATTACAGTTTAAAAGGGACTCAGACTAGCCGTTAGCTCATCAGCCCTGGTGATCATAAACTGAATAGAGGCTGGTCCTAATTCTCTACACATACAAGACTAATTATTTGAAATCCTTTTTAAAGTTCCTTTAAAATCAGGGTAAGATACTTTGCCACCTGGGAACAAGTCCTACAGAAATGTTACACCATCAGTCACTTCTCCATATCTTCTTTCTCTCCGAGTTAAAGAAAGTTTATTTTTCATCCCAGGAGGAGGAGATGCCACACTCTCAGGAAACAGTAGCCCTCAGGTGACCCGCTCCAGCCGTCCTCTCTCCACTGTGTTCCAAAACATCCATCCTCCCAATATTTGGAGGCATCGGAAAGGCATGGCCACTTTCACTCAGGTATATTCTCTAAATGCATCACAAAATGTGCCATAGCCAGTGGCTGATTTAGCAATTTGGGGGCCCAAGGCAAACACAGACATGGGGCCTCTTTACACAAAATTTTAAACAATCTTACCTTTAACTGGATTTGTGAAACCCTACCCTCTTCTGACATGAGGTTTTTTTTTTCCATTTTTATTAGTCCTCCTCTTTTTTCCTGACTTTCTCTCCCTTTGAGTGCCTTTAGTATTTGCTCTGCTTTCCTCTTCCTGTCAGTGCTCTTGTGCTTTTGCCTTTCTGTTATTTTTCTTCTATTTTCCATTTTGGTCTATGTTTTCCTCCCCTTAAACATCTTCCATTTTCTTTCCTTTTCTGCTTCCTTTTGATGTTTGCATTGAAAAATGATGTCACTTTTGAGAAGTGAAGATAAAATCTTTTTTAAAGCATGCTGCTTCTTTCTCTGATTGGAGCCACTAGGATAACTCCATTTCATGCCTAATGTTTTGACTACTGCTTCGAGTATGTTACAAATGCTCCTGCCTCTCTTCTTCTTCTTATTTGTGGTCTTATGGCACTTGGCAAACAACAATTTGGTGCATTACTGCCACCAACTGGATTGGACTGGAATGACTGCCAATCACTTCCTTTTTGTGCATCGGAGTCTTAAAGGAATAGTCCATTGTGGCATTAACAGAGGGGTGCCAGCAGTCAGGGTTAGGGGGCCCCCCAACATAAGGGGGCCCCAGACAGCCGCCGACCTATGCCTAATGATAAAACCGCCACTGGTCATAGCTGTACTGGTTTGGTATATAAAGTTGCTTTTGGCATGCAGGTGACTGTGTCAGAAGAAGGCTCCATCAGCGGCACTTTACAGCGAAGCAAGAAGAGCAAAAGGAACTGGAAAAGGCTGTGGTTCCTCCTAAAAGACAAGGTGCTTTACACCTACAGGGCCCAAGAGGTGAGGGGAAACATGCAGTCCCCTTTAACCTGAAGAAAGTTTAATTCTCTTAAAAACACACATACAACAGCAGATAGGCATCAGTTGACAGAGTACTTAACCCCCTGGAGGCAGGCGTTGCAGATTTGCAACAGTTAAAAACCTACCTGGTTACTCCACACACGTATTTCATTAGCATTTTTTTAACTCAGAAGTACCCCAGAAGGACTGAGTTGTTCATCCTTTTGTCAAAACTTATTTTGAGCCTGAGAGGGTTAAAATCCATCTTTTATATTTGATTTATTTACCTGAGTTATGTATTTTTAATCTGCAGGAGAAAGTAGCATCAGAGAGTTTGCCTCTGCTGGGATTCACAGTGAAGCTGCCGGACAAGCAGGGGGCAGACGAGGCGGCCAACGTCTTCCAGCTTTACCACCAAAACACGCTGTATTACTCCTTTAGAGCTGAAGACAACGTCACAGCTCAGAGGTGAGAAGCACGTTCAACTCTGAGCTAAACAACAACTAGCAGCGGTGACATTTAGAAATCTTGAGTTACAACTTAATTAGACGCCTGATTCAAAATCTTTTTTCTGCACAGGTGGGTAAATGCAATGGAAGAAGCTACAAATTTATAGAAACGACCACTTCGCTGCTGCCGTCCTCCAAACTCCTGTCTCTAAAAATAAAGACTGTGAAACCAAACTGGAAAGACGAGGAGTTTTGCTGTGATGTCTGCATGCGGTAACCCGCCCTGGCGCAGCTGCAGAGACAAAGACATTGTGTTCTTTTAAAGGAGGACACCATCTCCTACTTTTGTCGACCTCCAGCGTCTTATCCCTGCTGTTGCAGCAGGTGTGATGCTGAGAGCTATAAGTGATATTGGCCCAGATACCTGCTAATGTGGAGCATTTCATTGATGTGACCTGTAATTATCCACCCACTGGCTGAACAGCGATATTTATCTAGTCACTCATCAGAAAACACATAAATCACCATATAATTTATTAATTTTTTTTTGAGCAAGTGTAATTTATGATGCTGTTTAAGAAAATTAGTAAAAATTTAATTTTAAAGGTAAAATATTTGCATTTTACTATCTTTAAAAAAATATATACTTGGCCTCATCTTTATTCTGAATGATATTAATGCCTTATTTTCAAAGCATCCCCATAAATCCTTAGAAAAGTTATCAAAAAATAAACATAAATGTTTGGAGAGACTTTTTCTCATCATTTTCCTCATTGTTGGAGATTAATTCAGTCGTTTTTATCTCTGTATTTGCACTGATGTAAAAGAACAGGAACAGAATAAGGATTTATTGTACTTTGACCAAATGGTTCAGCCGCTGCACTTAATTTTATTCACTACTGAACAAAAGTGTGGACGTTATTCTAATTTGTTACAGGAAGTGCAATGTATGTTTGTGTATGTGATTGTGCTGAGCCACATCATCAGTGTCTTGAACCTTCAACTGATTTATGAAATTTATTTACAACGTATTCTTTTAAATCTAAGTAAAAGAGGTTAAATTTATAGAAAATGTGTGTTTTCCTTTTATTCCCAATGTGGCCTGTAGATGGCATGTGAAGTTAGGATTTCAAAGTGCAGAGGGGTGTTACCCACTTCCTGTCTCTATACTTTTGCAGCACAGACACCAAAACACACCGCTTGTGGGATCTTTTAAATTCTGTGTCTGTGCTAACATGGAAGTCCGTGTGTGGCCCGCTCCGATTAAACATCAAGCTGGCAAAGGTTTCAGATCCCACTCTGAGGTGATGGAGGTGACGCAGGAGGAGACAAGACCGGTGCGGCGGTGTGGCCAATGAAAGGCCAGGCATGCCCTGCTTCTCAGCTCCCCCTGAGGCTGCCTGACCCAGAATAGTATCAGGCACAAAGTTTGCTTTCTGGGGCTGCTGAGAAGTTGTAGACACCCCGTCCTTTTAAAAGGACACACCATCTATCACTCTGCACTCTCTTTCTAAATCCATTTGGTATTCTGTACTATCCCTTCCATCATTGTGCCTCTTTTACTCTCTTTTTGTGCTGCTATTTGTTATCGCACAGTGAACAAGTTAATGCTTGTGATTCTCTCCCAGGTGATGATCTAAATTTAATAATTAATTGTGCGTTTTGCAAATGCAACCAACATGGCAGTTAAAGGGGACATATTATGACTTCTTCTTTAGTTATAATAGTTCCATAGTTGATACCAGACATGTTTATGAAGTTCTTTGCAGTAAATCCCTCTCACATAAAGATATTTCAGCAGTTTAATTCTTGAAAAATTTCAGTACCTTCCAGAATGAGCCTATTCAGGGCTCTGCCACTCTAAGAAAAAAAGCAGGGGCTAGCCACGCCCAGCCATCCTCCGCTCAGGCTGCTATAGGCTGAGTGGCTCCGATATCTGGGAGGGGTTTGGAGCCCCTTCAGCAGCAGCAGCTGTTTCTTGCTGGTTAGAGGTGGTTCTATTCTACTTTCCCTGTTTGTGACATCACAGTTTTTGAAACGACTTGTTTTGGACACATAATGCCAAAAACTAAGGACCAACAGAGAACGAATGAATGTTTTTCTTTTCAAAGATGGTGTTTATAGAGGCTGTAGAGATCCACATGATAGCAAAAAAGACACTAATGGTAAGTTTTGCATAATCTGTCCCTTTTATGTGAGACACAAATATTATGAAAGTTCTCTTGCAAAATGATTGGTTTTTTTCCTGTTTACATTTTTATTCAAACACAGGAAAAGTACAAGTGATGATGAAGCATCGAGATGAAAATACACCACGAACCTAGAGTAGAGATTAAGTATTTCTTAATGATTTTATCATGAAAACCAACGATGGAGTCTTGCTGTGTGCTCGACGGGGAAGGATGCATTTCACAGAGCAAAATCATGAGCCAGTTTCTCTTCCATACTGCAGACAGGAGCAACACAGAGAAGCAAATAATCAATGGTTCATGTCAAACAAACTCAGCTTAGACAGCAACAGCAGCTCCTGCAAAAATATCTTCAGAGCTGATCGCTCTCATTTTGTGGCGTTGGGGCCAAGTTGTAGTGAACTTTAATCTTGACACCATCTGCCTATGACTTTATGTCCTCAAAAAGCATCACTGTGTTTGTCTTGAGCTACAGCAAGATGGCTTCTCATCTTTCATACTGCCGTGTGGGCTGCACGGCATCAGGGGAACAGAAAAAGAGCTCATTACACAATCGCTGGATATTTTGTATTCACCAAGGCAAAGAAGTTGCTTCGTCCACTCGACTTTGTCTTGACATTTCTGGGTTTGTGCTTTATCTTGTGCTTGGGAGAAAGGGATGGCTGAAAAGAAAAGCAGAGTGGCTGGAAGAACAGAGGGACACTACTCTGTCCCACTTTGCAAACTCTGCAGCCCACACTGTCAAGTCAATGTTACACCTATTCCACCTCCCCTGAAGCTTTAAATAGCCCTCTCTCACTCAGTAGGACAAACAGAGAAAACACACACAGCCTTCAGCACATCGTGCACCTCAGACTCAATGATTATTATCTGCACCTAAAGAAAAGGAGTCTGTAGTCCTGAGCTATAATCAACCATCTGCAGAAAGGTCTGCTCAGCAGCAGACACTGGAAGAAGTAAAACTGGTTCAGTTGGTTTTATATTCATGCATTTACAGCAATTTCTAGAGTTCTTATTCTTGCACAAGCGTCACATATCGACCTGTTTGGAGCTTAAAATAAAACTTGTGAGAAGCAAAAAACATGCAGACCCGACTTCATCCTGAGCTAATAAATCTGACCTTACAACAGCCCCTGCAGCCCCCTGAGGACCATCTCATTAAACCTGTTCAAAAACTAAACCATTAAAGCATCAACTTGTGGGTTATTGGTGGTTTTATGCAATAGACTCAGGCGGTGGTTGCCTGGTAACGCCCAAAGAATTTGAGAAGTCACAGCTTGAGCCAAAAAACATTCAGGGGGAACGCCTTTTGAGAAAGACCTAAATTGGTGCTTTTTAAGTTTTGTTATTTGCACAAATCTGCTCAGATGTTTATTGAATACTATTTGTTAACTTTTCCTGCAAAGGACCAAGAATAAAAATGTGTTCAGTGTTTCCTGAATATAAATGTCTAGAAATCAGTAGACATTTGGTCTTAAACTGAAGCAGATAAAGAGAATCAATTCAGTGAATTATATATTTATTTTAGGGGTGGGGCTTGATTAAAAATGTATCTCATTAATCAGAGGCTTTGTAGTTAATTAATCTTAATTAATTGCATTTTAATCGCTGAAGAAAATAATGAGGCAGAGAATCAAATAATAAACATGGACGTTATTATTGCAAACTCAAGCTGTTTTAATTTCTAAAAATTGCTTTTAAATTGTACTTTAATTCAAAACATCCATCCATCCATCTTCTGAACCCGCTTTGTCCACGCAGGGTCGCGGGGGAGCCGGTGCCTATCTCCAGCAGTCAATGGGCAAGTAGGCGGGGTACAACCTGGACAGAGAGCCAGTCCATCGCAGGCAACACAGAGACACACAGGACAAACAACCATGCACACACACTCACGCCTAAGGACAATTTAGACAGACCAGTTAACCTGTGGGAGGAAGCCGGAGGACCCGGAGATAACCCACGCATGCACAGGGAGAACATGCTAACTCCATGCAGAAAGATCCCAGGCCGGGAGTCGAACCCAGGACCTTCTCGCTGCAAGGCAACAGCTCTAACCACTGCGTCACTGCGCAGCCCTAATTCAAAACAGTAAAATAAAATTGTTTTGAACTGCTGCTGTGTGTCATGCATAAAAAACGCTGCTGGCATAGGCTGGAGCTATTCCAGAAGCCTTCTACCTCCACGACTGATTGGGCAATTTGGATGACTGACACCTTCTTTGTATCATTAGGGCCAATAGAATGAAGCATTACTCACCAAAGTAGATTGACAGCTAGTCAGCCAATGAGAATTGTCGCAATAAGGACATACACAGACCAAGAAAGACAAAAGTTCTACTGGATGTTTGAGTTCTAAGCATGTTTATTTATTTATTTATTTATTTATTTATTTATTTATTTATTTATTTCAAAATGTCTTCGTTTTTGCCTAAACTGTTTTCAGTGTGACAAAAGAGGTAGGGCTAATAGTAAACACTCACACGTGAAGAGGAATTTCCGATCACTCATTTGATTGTAGTTTTAGTTGTTTGGAGCAAACAAAACGGCTTGCATGATCTTGTAGGTTCTGATGCATTTTAGAGGTGCAACTTGACAATATTTATTGCTATTTAGAGCATGTATTTTACTGTAGAACTTCAATGCCCCCCAATTGGAGGGCCTTGAATGTGTTTGTTTTTATTAATTCATAGTTTTATTCCCACCCCTAATTTATTTATAAGAGACAGTCTGGGGCTGACAAAAATATGTGCATTTGGTTTAACCTGTTTGGTCAACTCCAGCCTCAGTTAGAAAAAACCCAGATAACCATTCAAAACCATGACACAACCACCACCGTGTTTCAGAGATATGATGAGTTTTGTGCAGGCTGGGTGGTAGTATTTTATTTTCTCTAAAATTAATTTGTTCCTATTGCTCTAAAAACGCATCTACAAATGTGACTCTAACATGTCCGTGTGTTAGTGAGAAAACTGTGGCTGGGCAGCGCTGCTCTTTTTGGAGACAAAGGTTTTCCCCCTGCAGCCCTGCTGACCTGATCATCACCATCACTGATGTTGAGTGTTCTCCTAAGTGCTAAACATTAACGTGAGCCAAATAAAGAAACATTTTGACATTCATTGATGTTTTATTTATTTAGTTGTAATGAATTGTGACATTCTCTTCATCTTAGCCTTTATTCCCTTCTCCTGTGAGGGATTTCCTACATTTTTGTTCATTTGTTGGTTGTTGTCTGGTTATCGAGGTAGCCGGGTCAGCATCCCCCGGCCCAAGCTGCTTGCACCGGTTCCACCAGTGGGATGCTAAGGCATATCCTGACCAGCTTGGGGAAATATCTCCTCCAGCATATCCTGAGTCAACCCAGAGGCATCCTGCTGGCAGGACATGCCTGAAACATCTCCCCCAGGAGGCATCCTGATCAAACGCCTGCACCACATCAGCTGGTTCCTCTCAACGGGAAGGAGCAGCAGCTCTACTACAGGCCTCTCTCAGAAGTGTCAGCTCCTCACTCTGTCTCTGTGAAGGAAACTAATTTCAGTTGCCTATATTTGTGAACATTTTCTTTCGGTGATTACCCAACGCTCATGATCATTAGGTGAGGATTGGAATGAAGACCGACCAGTGAATTAAGAGTTTTGCTTTCTGGCTTTGCTCCTTCTTCGCCACGACAGACCAGTTCAGCGTCCTCATTACTGCATTTTTATTTGTGGGTAATCTAAATGTGGATTAGTGTAGGTTACTCAAACATTGTGTTGAACCTTGTCAAGTCTGATGAGAATATTGAAGTCCTGAAAGAACAATTTCATTCAGATCATGATGCCCTCCCACAAGCCTGATTTGTGAAGCTTGTGAAGTATTTCTTAAAATAAAACTGGACTCCCACTCACACCTTAATGTCATCTTATACACTGAAAATGTCTCGACCAAAGTTACCTTCAAAACTGCTGCTTACAGTCTTGTACCACTTCCACACCCTGGCCGTCAAACAAATTTGGTTTTACAATAAAACGAAATTTAGGTGATTTGAAATTGTTTAAACAGGAATCCTTAAAAGTAGAAAACCATATTTAAAACGAATTAAACTTGATGTCCAGTGAACTGCGTAAAGTCCCATAAAAAGAAAAATTTGATTTTTTTTTTAAATGAACTGACCCTAAAATACACTCATATAGCACAAGTACATAAACACACACTTCTTTACAGGTATCTCGATGTTTGGGGAGATTTTCAGATCATCAGGCTGTTTTCAATCCTTGCGAGCTGCATTTAACATCCGCCCGTTCATCCCATAGTGCATCATGACAGCTGTTGTGTGTGGAAGGGTGTGTGGGCGTATGCTAGAAGAAGAAAAGAAGAACCAGGTTTCTTGAGCCTGAAAGGCGTGTCTGTGAGTGCCAGCATCAAATGCTCGTACAAACCCAGACTCCTCTGAAGACTTCCTGTGTCTGCCATGAGTCAGAATCAGCTCGTTAAGTAAGTCTTCAGATAGAGGAGAGACCAGTGACACATCTGTGTCCTCCTGGCCTGTCCACACAGGTCCAGGCTTGTATTTACTTTACAGCAGCAGGCGGTTCCATATAAAAATGTGCCTTTAATTGTGACTCATCCTGGGGGACTTTATCCGTGCTTATTTAGGTCTCTTTTCACTGCAGCCAACATTTCTTTAATATAATGAGATCAGAATAGCTCTCTTGGCACAAATCAGTTATTTCTCATGATCATTTGTACACACAAATCTCTCTGTGTGTGTGTGTGTGTGTGTGTGTGTGTGTGTGTGTGAGAGAGAGAGAGAGAGAGAGAGAGAGAGAGAGAGAGAGAGAGAGAGAGAGAGAGAGAGAGAGAGAGAGAGAGAGAGAGTGAGAGAGAGAGTGGGTGGACAGAGGCAGTGGGAATATAAAAAGAATATGGAGAATTTGGAGTATGTTTCACCATAGAGCAAACGTATATGTGTTTGGGTTGCCGAAGCAAAAATCTGCCACCTCCACACCTGCAAAATCGTGCAGCTCAAACCTCAAAACTACCCCTGCAGCCCACAGTCTCAGCCACGTGACTCCAGCCCCTTCCACACAATCACTCCCCCCACATACCGAACTGCAATCTAGGGCAAATTCAGAGCATATGCAGAGCTGCTCAGACATGTTTGGTTGTTCCAGGTCCAGGTGCTCAACAGGTCCGTGGTGATGAACCTACACCACCACCCAGGGGGTGAAATGGAAAACTACATGTGTGACTGAAATAAACACATGTGTTAAACCCAGCTGAGAATTTCAGGAATGTACTATAATGTCTGAAATGACCTTGATTAACTTCAGTCAGGGCAACTATATGGCAACTCAATTTCTCATATAAGAGCCATAGTTGAGCTATCCAGAAAACCAATAGTTTTACAAAATCAAAATTTCAGATGTAATAATTAATTCTGGGACAAATGTCATCACCTTTTGCATTCATGTGTATTTAGGTTTCAGCCCTGGACATTGGGTGAATTTGTCCTGTTTGGAGTAAATGTTGTGGATATACGAAACATGCTTTAATGGAAACAAACTTTGCATGTCCACTGCGTAATTGGTACAAGTGATATTTTAATTTAACCTATTTTACATTGAACTGGCCTCCTACAAAATACTTAATCAATATCCAAAAAGTATTCGTAGTAATTTGGTGTTTGCATTTTGCTGACTAGTCTTATTATAAATACTGGTTATTCCTAATGATGTTTAGACAGAATTTACTTTATGTTCAAAAATACATCAAAATACCTAAAACAGCATTTCATTGTAAATATGTAAACTTACAAGTAACCATTTTAGTGGGAGTTTCCTGATTCCTAGATGCTTCTCAAAATGAAAGTTACAAAATATGCATCAAAACACTGTCAGGAAATAATGCAGTTTGCAACAGCACAGTATATAATGTGAACTACCCATAATTCCTTACTCGTGGATTTTTCTGATAGCAACAGCGACATAAATTTGCATCATTAAGGAAGAATAAAAGCATCAGCATGATGCCACATGATTGGTAATAAAACAAACAAACAAAAACAGTTAAACAGTCCCTTTTTTGTACTTTTTGCATCTCAGCAAATTTTTGGCATTTGTTTTCATTTTTTTGATGTTGCAAAGAAAGAAAAAAAAGAAAGACTTGCAGCACAATCAATTTGTTTGTTTTTGAAGGATATTTTGCCTCTTATCCTAGGTAGGATAAGAGGCAAAATATCTTCAACATAACCAGAAAAGTCCAGGGGCTTCATTTATCAAGCTTGCTTACGCACAAAACGGGGTCGGAAAACTGCGTGAGCAACTTTCCACGAAAACTTTGGGATTTATGAAAGAAAACTTAGCGGGAAAATGTGCACAACTTTAAGTTGACTAAGGACCTGGCTTACGCACATTTTGGACATGGAGAGCACCTGCAGTGCTGCTGCTGAGGAGGATACAATTATGAAATCCTGCAGCATTATCACTTGTACTGCTTCGCTTCGTACGCACACAGAACAAGACCCCCCCAACACACACACACACACAGCCTGAAGCGCAGAATACGGAATGCAGAATATCAGCAGGGGGACAGATTGAGACATAATGTCATACGTCTGTGACAGTGTGTGTCCTGTCACTGTGACCCAATTGATTATGTGCACTGGCTACTTGTACAGGGGAGATCTCTGTTTGGGTGACTGGCTAGCACGTGTGACTTTCACCTGGGAGTCTGGGGATTGAATCCTGATTGGATCATTTTTTTATATCCGCCACAGATCTCTCTGAAGAACTCAGCATTGACGGCTTCAGCAACGCTGTGCCTCTCTGTGGGTTTTCTCTTATTTGTTTAGCAAAAGTACTTCCTTTCATTTCCCCACCTCACCCACAAACACCTGAATTTCTGCTTGTGAAATAGCACTTCCTTGATCTGTGGTCGTGATCGAAATGCTGCAACAAGCCCGCTTAAGCATGCATGAGGTCCACAAGGCACTTTGCATTGACTGTTTATGGCAGTAAGTGGGCGTGGTGAGGGTGGGTTGTGACTAAAAAGCAGCTGAGAAACTTTCTAGATAGTTTCTGATTTATGAAGCGGAGAATGCGTGCAGCTGTGCTTACTCCATGTTTGATAGATCACAAAGCTGCTTGGTGTGAGTCCATTTTTTTTGTTGAGCTTAAGTACGGTTTTAGTAAGGATTCTACGCAATGTTTGATAAATGAGACCCCAGCTGTTTTCAACTAATAGCAATCGAGGCTCGATGCCCAACTCTACACTTGAGGTAGGAGCTCTTCCCTGACCTGGAGTAGGCGTTCTACCCTTTTCTGACTCCAGACCATGGGCTCAGATTTAAAGGAGCCCCATCCCCCTCCTCAGCTCCACATGATGTTCTTACACCATGCACCTATATACTCCGATTTGTTATAGTTCAAAAGACTGGATTCTGCACACAACAAAAACTTTGTGCGTCAAATTACAGCTCTGAATTAGCTCGCTTGAAAAGGGTTAGGGAACCCTGGTCTAGACAAAAATATTTTCAAATACAATTTTAATTGTGGAGATTTTATTTATATTTACATTTATGTTATGGTTTAATTATATGTTTTACTCAAATTAGAATAGTAAACATGCAACATTCACAAAGAAGAAGAATACTGAGGAACGTTTGATTATATGTTACAACGGCTTGCCACCATTGTCACACGGAAGCGCCCCGCGTGTGTGCGTGCGTGTGCGCACCCCCAGGTGAACGTCACAACCGTCACAACTTGCAGAGCGCTAGCGACCGGGCGCGCGCCACACTTCCTCATTCGACAGAATCACAGAGTGAAAAAAGGAGCGAGGAGGAAAAAAAGGAGCAACTTTCGTCGAGCTGCGGTGAAAAAGAGCCAACGCTGAGTGTGCAGGACGAGGTGAGAGCGCTTTTGTTCTGTTCCGTCGGAACTTTTTCAGAGTTCGACTCTTTCGGGTTGACAGTGGTCAGAAAAGTTGCTTTAATTGCTCTTTTTTTCTTTTTACTTCATCGTCTTCATCTGTTGAGGAACAGGCGTTCGCGTTCCTAACGGCGGTTGCTAAAGTTTGCCGATTTATGACCCACCATAAGCGTTGTTGTCACATCATAGTAACAAGTCTGTCGCTTTGTTTGTGTGTGACAAAGCGGTAAGTCACAACAGATCATTTTAATTCACATTGGTGTCACCTTCTATTGTGATATGTAATCTGCGATAGCCGGTGCTGCAGACCCTCTGGATATTCTCACGAGGTCGAATCTGGTCAAATAGATTTAAAGAAAATGAATGGAGCGATTGAAAGATAAGAGCAACTGAACTCACACATCCTTTCTGACCGCGCATTTACATAATCTAAACATGTGGTGGACGATGTGCTCATTCGTAACTCAACGGAGCTACTATTTTGTGGTTTTCATAGTTGAGCCACATAATCTCATGGGTCACGGGTAGCAAACATGATTTACGGGGGTGTAGCTGTCACAAAGACAATCTGGCTGCAAACTGCTGCTTGAGTCAGACGAGACATGACATCTGTGTTCTACAAAGTGACAACCAACCACATCCGTTGTTACATAAAGAAAATTAGGTGCATGGACCGACATGCTCGCCTTAAAAAAGCATCACGACCAGGAGTCGGGTCTTGCTCAGATTTAAAGCTGCCATGCTCTTGTTATTTGTGTGTGAGTTATCCACCATGACCTGCTTGTGCACTTTAATGCAGATAAGCTCTAAAATAGCTGAAGGACTAATTGTATTTAGCTCCTAATTAATGTTCATGGTCCATGTTATTTCTTCCTTTTCCTGTTTCATTTTCCCCATATTGTCAATTACCAAGCTTTGATGAAATTGTTACAAATCCATGAACCCAAATATTATCTCCTAATTATAGAGAACAACGCTGCGTACAAGAGACACAATTTATTACTAAACACACATGGTCACAGTGTGGAATGCAGTAGTAACACATGCCACTTCTCTTATTTAGTCCTTTGATGAATCTCTTATTTAGATCAACACAAGGAAGTAGATTTTTGTAAATTTGACTAAAGTTTACATGATGCTGATGCACTCAACTCAACTTGTGAACCTACCAGATGGGACAAATCGAAAAAGCACATGAAGCAGACAGTCGATCACTTACTGCCCTCGATCACACAGTGTGCCTGCTATTGATTAACTCCAGAAACCCCTGACATCACAGCTAAAGGCAGAAACACGGTTTTTCGCGACTCTCTGCCGCTCTCTGCACATTCTTTTTTTTTCCTCACCAATTTTTTTTTGTCTTACTGTTCCAGTCTTCGTGTTGGCAGCTATAGCTTTTAGGATATGACTAGGCTGACTGTGGAGCACAGCGTGCTCATATTTAGATCAGCGACATGTTCAGGCCCGTTGTGCCTTTGTAGCACAGGCAAACCCCTTCACAGATGAGCTGAGACATTTCTGAAACACCAAAGATTACAGAAAAGTAAATGTGAAACAGAAACATCGCCTGATGTTGTGCACTCAGGTTTAGATGTGAGGGATGAAAATAAAGTGATATTGTAAAACACCTTATGATACTTGGCGGTCATGTGAGATCATTTGGAGTCATTGTGCATACCAAAGCTGGCTGTTGCTAATGTAGCTGTCTACAGCACGGGTGAGCTTATGCAAGCAGTAAATGAGGCATGCAGTAACTAGTACACTGCACATAGGGTGATTGATTGCACACCCGAGTTTTACTATCAATATACACACACTGGCCGCTTTAGCAAGAACATCTTGCAAGAACCACACTGGATTGGAGTGCCTTCAAAACTGTCTTAGCTCCAACAAGGTTCTGGTCCACATCCCAAAGATTCTAGACTGGGACTGATATCCGGTGACTGAGGAGACCAATGGAGTCCAGAGAATTCATGGTCATGTTCTAGAAACCAGTAAAAATGATCTGATCTTTGTGACATGGTGCACGAGATGGTTCCACCGTGGTCATAAAGGGATGGACATGGTCAGCAACAATATTCTGATCCAACCATCTAAATGTTGCGGCTGAATTCTGTGTGGTTCACAGAAACTGCTTTGTCCTTGCTGACACATGTTGAGTGTGGGTGCAGGTGTTTCACCGTGGGGCGGAGACGGGATTGTCTTTTTGATTGATTTCTGAACACCAACAAAAGGAGATCTGTCTTATCGCTTAAAAAATAATTTGACATCATAGCTTGTAGCATTGTTCAGTAAAACGTTGTAAACATAAACGGCGTATGAAATGCAGTGTTGGGCAAGTTACTTCAAAACTGTAATGCATTAATTATTACTTGTTACCCTCATTTTAAAGTAATTCATTACATTACAATATTACTGATTTTAAAATGTAAGGCATTACACTACTTTTGCATTACTCTAAGTTACTTTCAACAAAACATTTTCAGTATGAGTTTGGTAATCTGATGCCTGGTGAACTCATGACACATCCGGTGGAAGGTGATGTGGTGTCTGAGCTAGGATTGCTGTTAAAAACAGTTCTTTAGAAGGACTGTTTATGAAATAAATGAAACAACAATCTGTACTCTCAACATGCTGCCATCTTAGATTAACTGAGCAGGGAGTGAGGTGGTGGGGGCTCCAAGTCTATTTAGCCTTGGTCCCCAAATTCCTTGATACGGCCCTGGATGTGGGACTGACTTCTGGTGATCTGATTCTATCACATGTATAAATATTGAATGCTTATATATTATTGCTTTTCACTGGTAAAAATATGTTTTGGGGATAAATCTACCTATTTTCTTTTCAAGCACTTTGTTTTGTTTTCTTGATTTTATTTGAATTATTTCCTGCCCTTTCTCTCTCTAACCTTCCTACATGCTGCATGTTTTCTCCGTATTCCAGAAAAAACTGTTTCCTAGACTTCCTATCAGCCAAAGGGATCTTCACATGTGCGGCGCTCCAGCAGCAATGAGTTAAAATCACCGGGGCCCAGATTAACTCAGATGAGGCAAAGCACGTCAGAAAAGTACAGAATACCAGAGAACATGCGCTGATATGAACGATCGCAGGTGAATTATTTTGTTTTAGTGGAGCGATTTTGTGGATGTTACAGCGGCCACGTGCAGGACGCAGCTGGAGTATTTGAGCCGGTACCGCTACGTCCTCTCTGCCCACAAAACTGAGTCCATAAATGACGTAATATATGTAGATACTGGATCTTTCTTCGGGTTTCCCGCAATTTGAATTTTTAAGAAACACATCTTGATTCTGGGTTTAAAATGCATTGTAATTACCGTGTTACTGACAATTGTACCGAGTAAATATTACCATTTTTTTCCCTGAAATGCCTTACATTACCACATTACAACAAAAAGCAATGCATTACAGTAATTAATTACTTCTGTACCGCATTACTCCCAACACTGATGAAATGGATACAAGGAGGAGCTGTAACTGTATTCTTAGCATTCTTGGGTGGGTTAAGACCGTCGGGGTAACAACTTGTTCTCTAATCTCACAGAACAGGAGCTCCTGGCACTCATCACCATGGCTCCTTTCTTAAGGATTGCCTTTAACTCGTACGACTTGGGTGTCTTACCTCCACCAAGTGACCCACCCTTCTGTGCCATTAAGTTGAAGGAAGCTTTAAGAACAGGTGAGAAAATCATGTGTATCATGGGTGTTCTTGTTTTCGCAGAAGTTACCTTTTCTGTGAACATCTCTCTTCTTCAATTTTTTTCTTCCTTTTTTTATGTTTCCGTCTTCTGTTTAGAACGAGGTAAAACACTGGTTCAGAGGAAACCAACCATGTACCCGGCCTGGAAGGCATGTTTTGATGCACACATCTATGAGGGTCGTGTGCTCGAGGTGCTGCTGATGAAGACGGCAGAGGAGCCACTGGCCGAGGTCAGTGTGGGCGTGTCTGTCCTTGCTGAGCGCTGCAAGAAAGCTAACGGACGTGCTGAATTCTGGGTAGGATTTGAAGCATTGCATCACCATCTCTCCTCTGAAGCAGAGTTTGAGGGTTTTGTTAAACTGAAGGTTGTTTCCTCTTTAGGTGGATCTCCATCCTTCAGGGAAAGTGATGATGGCTGTGCAGTATTTTCTGGAGGGTGTGGATACAGGTGGAAAAAATATATATATATTTTCTGTTTAGTTGCTTACTCAACTGTAATATTATCAAATCTTTTATAAACAGTGAGATAAATCCTTATGACATATTGTTTAAGCTGTCATGTACAATAACCGATTTGTGTCATTTTAAATTCGGTAGAGATTAGGAATCCTGCGAAGGAGGAAGAGGTTCCTACCATAAACCGTAGGCGAGGAGCCATCAAGCAGGCAAAGATCCACTTCATAAAGAACCACGAGTTCATTGCCACATTCTTCAGGCAACCGACTTTCTGCTCTGTGTGCAGAGAGTTTGTCTGGTGAGTTCAGTTTTCACTTTAGTCCTTTAAACACATCTTCAACCAAGCAGAATACCTTCACCACTGCATAAATAGGTACAGTCAGTTTGAAGTCTAATCATTCAGAAGCATGTCAAACTAAATTGTACTCAATGAACTTGTTCAAGACAAAACTATTTTTAAAATGATTATTTCTGATTATAATCATCACTCTTGAGTTTTTCATGCAGGCTGAACATGAAAATAGTCTCCTACACCTATCTCCTGCATTAGCTTCTGACAGAAAATAGATGGTGAAACTTTAGGATTAGAAAAGCCTGACAGATCCACGTCACTCTGTCACTTAATGTTCATGGACTCACCCATCTTCTCTCGTGACAGGGAAGGCTGTTGTTGGTTTAGCGTCCAGGAAAGTTGAGAACATCTCTGCTAGTAGAAGTTGACCATTAGCGTTAGCAACTCCACCACACAGCAGAACTCCTTCAGGCTTGTGTTATTTGTGGAGATAAAACATCAGTGTTGCAGAGCAAACGGAGTCAGTGGTAGAATTGTGTTGCTGTTATCCAATCGGAGGCGAAATATCCAAATATCAGGAAATAAGAGTCCAAATCCTGCTGTCTGATGCGCAGCTCTGATGTAGCTCACTTCTAGTTCCTGAAACAAGTGCATCAGTGCTTTTTTTTACCCAGAGTATGAATTACAGGGTAGTGATGCACCGATGTGAAATTGTTTGGCAGATACCGATATCCAATATTAAGATCAGTGTTATGGGCGATAACCGATATTTGCCGATACCGATATACTGACATTCATGCTTCTAAAATCAGCAGATTTTCTATAAAATGAAAATTATTAAAGCTGAATTTACATTATTATGTACACACACAACACACACATTTACGGTTCTGGGATGATTTCATTCACTGCTCACATGACTAAACAATCACACATCACCCCCCTCACCCTCTGAAACAGGCAAGCAAATGGAGACGAGATGGAGAAAACATTGGTTGTTAATATCAGCCTGGTTTTATTTATCGAACCGATACCGATATGTCAAAAAATGACTAACATCGGCCGATACCGATATTGATGCCGATATATTGTCCATCCCTATTACAGGGCATTCATTCCTACTAGAGACCATCCATCCACTATCTGTATCCGCTTGTCCATGCAGGGTCGTGGGGGCGTGGTGCCTATCTCCAGCAGTCAGCAGGCAAACATCCTCACACCAGATGTTGCTTTTATGTTCGTGTTCCATATTCAACTTGTAAACGAGTGAACTGCATCTTTAAACTGTGAATCTTCTCATACAAATTACCAATTGGAAGATGCAGAAGTGTCTTTTTCAATTAACACATTTGTATTCAGTTTTTAACAATATAAAACAAAAAATTCAGTTTTTACAATGTCCACCTTTGTTTTCATTTCAAACATATGGATATAGCTCTGCTTTTCTTAAATAATTAAAAGTAGAATATTTGTTTTTCAGCTACCATAAATAATCCATCACTTGGTTAGCATGTGAAAAACAACAGCAAACAAATGCCCATTAGCTACAGATGGCTGCACAATTTTGTACTTCAGTGCAGATTTTTAGCTCAATTATAAAAGAACGTTTGCTACGACACACTGACTCACAAATCAGCATGCTGTACGTGCTGGTGTGCAAGTGATTAATTCGTATGTTACTCACATGATCCACAAAAATCCCAAACTGACTCGTTTCTGCCTTTTGTCTCCCACAGGGGACTCAACAAGCAAGGCTATAAATGCCGACGTAAGTGTGCTAAAGCAAAAATAGCAGCCAATGTATGAAAGTTAGAGCTTTAATCGTGAATACAAATATTTTTGACATATGCTCAGATAGTTAATTGGTGTAAATAATTCTCTAAGAACTCTGTTTTCTTTCACAGAATGCAACGCAGCCATCCATAAGAAATGCATAGACAAAATCATAGGCAGATGTACTGGTACCGCTGCCAACAGTCGGGATACGATGGTATGTAACACACACACACGCGCTTGTGTGAGCCGTCTCCATATGTCTCACATTTATTGTGTGTTTAGTTGTGTTGGTTCAGAGTTGCTTTTCTCACTCCCCCTCCTTTTCTTTTCTAATATTTTTTTAGCATTTTTTTCAAACACATCATTATTGCATTACAGAGTTTAACACTTAACACCTACGTACTCCACTTATTATAAACCAGCTTTATTTATAGACAGAAATTAGAAGTGTACATTTCTTTTCTTAGACAATAAAAATCTAAATACATAAATGTAGTAAAATTAAAGTTAAACCAATTAGCAGAGTTTAATGCAGCTCAAAGCATTTGTTGTATGTGTTATTCATGCATTATGAATAAAGACAAAATAAATATTTAAATCTGTCAGTTGGTTAACCCTCCCACTGTCCTAACGGGTGTGACCCCATGAGGAAAGTTGACCATTGAGCAGGGTTGATGGTTTATCCCTTGGGTCCATGTGGCAGGAGTGAGGAGTGAGCACCACCTCACCCCTGCCCCGTGGACCTCAAGGGATAAACCATCAATCCTGCTCAATGGTCAACTTTCCTCGCGGCGTCACCCATAAAGACAGCGGGAGGGTTAAACATGAAAATTTAAGGATTAGTTTCATAAAACTTAAAAACATGCATTTTTCATTCATTTGTGTTATAAAAAGTAGTTGAAAATCTAGTTAGACTTCAGTTTCCCTGTTTAAGTCAATAATTGTGATCACTGCCCTGGTTTCTATTGTGTTGCTCAAGCCAGTGCCTCACTGGGCTGTGACTGTTGGTGAAAAACTCCAATCGGCAGCAATGGAGGGTCCAAAATAACTCCAGATGTTAGCAGATCTCTCGTGTGAATCACTGGACCTGGTTCTTGTGTTGCTGCGTTTAAAACATGTTGAAAAAATTAGCAAAACAAATTTTCTTTCAAATTACAAAGTAATTGTTGTAGTCTAAAACCCTTATCAGTTTAGTTTCTGTGAGTCCAGCATGTGGGAAATGTTAGGCTAGAGAGGGGTTTGGGACCAAATAGCAAATAAAATATGGATAAAACTACCCGAGACACTTGAGCGGTTGTTCATTTCTATCTAACTGATGCTCTGCAGACTTCTGTCCAGTGTTCCTTTCTATTAAATCAAATCCTTTAGATGTTGTGTTTAATTGCAAACCCTGCAAGTGTTGATCTTCAGTGTTTGTTTAGCTCACAAACAATAATTATGGCCAAACATGCAGCTTCCAGCGGGTTGCCCAGTGGGTTTGTGGGCTAGTATGGAGTTTAAATGATGTGTAGATGCCACTCAACATGCGCTGGTGTTGGGGTTAATCCACTCTGTTGGATCAAAGACGCTGACTTTCAAATGTTTCATCAGTCCACTTACTGGAAAGATTCGTCCCATCAAGGAATCGGCATTCTAACCTTTATCTCCCTAGCGGGGAATACAGAAGTCCAACTGACCCAGATGAAAGCTGCATAGACGTAATTAAACATGACCAGTTTTTTTATTATTAAACTAGAAACAGACACGGGAAAAATAACCTTTCTATCACCTCTGAGGACTAAACCTGAGTGAGAACACAAAGCCCCAAACAACAATGGTGGACACGTAGCATGTACAGCTCATGAAGAGAACCGCGGTGATGTTTTTACTCCCAACAGTTCCAAAAAGAGCGGTTTAAAATCGACATGCCCCATCGTTTCAAGACCAACAACTACATGAGTCCCACCTTCTGCGACCACTGTGGGAGTCTGCTGTGGGGTCTCGTCAAGCAAGGCCTGAAGTGTGCAGGTACCTTACAGATCAGACCAAACAGCAGCTAATGTGTGTGTTTCTGTGACCGACAGACATGCTTTTTTCTGTCTGTAGATTGTGCCATGAACGTTCACCACAAATGTCAAGATAAAGTCGCTAACCTTTGTGGCATCAATCAGAAACTACTCGCTGAAGCACTAACACAAGTCAGTCAGGTGAGTTTCTGGACACACCACGGAGCGTCTTGTCTAATCAGATGTCTTCAGCTGTTCAAACTCACAGCAAAGTAAAGTGGAGTACTTCTAAATGAGCTGTCTGAACTCCTGTAGCGCCCAGTTAAATATCCTGAAGACATTCAGAGGTCTGGTTAATTAAATCTGTTGCATTAGTTGGCATGTTTATCTGCCTTATTCAGGTGTTTACACTGTTTTTGTATCTTTCATGCTCATTTACTCTCATGAAATTGCACTGACATTATTTTAGAAGGTATTTGTCTAAAGCAGTGGTTCCCAATCTGGCGTATGCCCAAATTTGTCCGTGCTGAGGTTGTGAGGTTACCAAGATAATTGTTGTAAAAATGACATTTATAAACTCACAATAATACCCCCAGTAGTATAATCACAGCTCTGTATGTCTGTATGAAGTTTTTAGTAATCACTTTGAATGTGTGGAATCCGGCAGAAGTTGTGGTTGGGGGTCCTGGCTTATCTTGGACACCGGCAAGGGGGTCCCCAAGGAAAGAAGGTTGGGGGCCACTGGTCTAAAGAGATGTTTAAAGTATACATTACAATAATTTACTTGGTGTTAGATGTTTAATAAGGAGCTGAAATATTAACATCATTGTGACTTGAGCTGCATATTGCTGAATGTACCCTTGTTTATTAATACCGGAGTGTGAACCTCCTCCCTGGTCCAAGGTGTTTAGGAACTGGTTTGTTTACTTGTTGGTTCTTTAGTCTCAAGGCTGCAGAAAAGAATATTTGGGGATTTTCACATTATTGTTAAAGTCAAAATAATCAGATAAAATATGTTTGCTGCAGTTAAATCTGAAACTGGCGCTCTGAAAGAATTCAAGTTAAACTTATTTAAGTGTTGCTTCCTGTTTTGTCCCCTGGTGTTCAGAAATCCTCCACCCGTCGCTCCGACCCTAGCCTCTCTAACCTCCCTAACTTGTCTGATATTGGAATATACGATGAAGTGAATAAACTGGCTGGACTTGACATCACCGGTTAGTGAACGTTCGTGTGTTTGCTTTACAAGATAGTCATCAGAGCAAATACTCATATGTTTGGGTATTTTGTTTAGATGGTTCTCCCTACGGCCAACTGTGGGAAGGCTCCACCCCTCGACCACAGTCTCGTCTCACCCACCTGACCCGTATCAACGTGGACCACTTCATCTTCCATAAGGTGTTAGGAAAAGGCAGCTTTGGGAAGGTACCAGCCAGCTCGACACTTAAACCAGCTTTTTTAAACTATGAGGTTGATTAGCAACGTTTCTCATGCTTTCTTGTAGGTCCTCCTGGCAGAGCTGAAGGGTCATGGAGAGTATTTTGCCATAAAAGCTCTAAAGAAAGATGTTGTGCTGATGGATGATGATGTAGAGTGCACTATGATAGAGAAGAGAGTCTTGGCTTTGGCCTGGGACAACCCCTTCCTCACCCATCTTTACTCCACTTTCCAGACAAAGGTACGCCGCCTCTGTGCCTTTATTTGAAATGCACTTCACAGCACTGATGAAATGAAGTTCTAGATGCTAAAGATGAAACTTATCCACAGGAGCACCTGTTCTTTGTGATGGAGTATCTGAATGGAGGTGATTTGATGTTTCATATTCAGGAGAAAGGACGCTTTGAGCTTTACAGATCCACGTAAGTCTGAGCTCTCAGCATCAGTTCAACTATTTAGGTGGGATTTTGTTCAAAGGAAGATCATGCTTACTGGTTTTGAGTCGCGGTGTGTTTGGTACATAATGTACTGAATGCCAGATGGACTAAAGGCTGGCTGGTTTCCATTCGCTCCTGTTCAGTAGCAGACAGGCCTTGTAAAGAGTGGAAAACTCAGCGTCTGTGTACTGTTGTGTGTTCACGGGGAGGTATCGGTTACTAACACCCACCTCTCATCACACCATTGGAATCCCTCCAGAAATAACAATAGCAAGCTGCTAAACGAAAGTGTGAAAACGTCCAAAACTCTAGCTCTATAAACAAGTGAAGTCTTTAAGTCACACGTTCTTAAAGCTTTCTCAGTAGCTGCCGCTGGAAAAGTCACAAATCAAGTTTACATAAATCAAATTAAAGAGTCATGGTCCTGGGCTAGGATTCACAGAGAATTATTCTTTTGATGCATTTAAAGCCTTTGTTTAGTGGTTTCTAGATGATTGGAGCAGCTCTCCACTTAGTAAACAGTGAAATCTGATCTCACATTAACAACAGCTAAAGTTAATCACAGACTGTATTTATTCTGCTTCGTTTAGCCTCCAGGAGAAAGACCAGTAGTTTAATTATCTTATCATGAATGCAAAAAGCTCTCCCAAATGTTCATTTTTCCTCAGATTTTTGACTTCAGCTCATAGCTGTCTACACTAGGTGTTTCTCTTTATCTGCATTCCTGGTCCGTTACAGCGATTAGTTAGCCTATATGTGTTGTCAGCGGAAATGAAGTGAGCAGAAAATAAATGCAGGCCAGCAGAAACGCCACAAATCAGCCCTACGTCTGAGACTAGAACAAATAACCGTGTTGTTTCTAGACGATACAACAAACAGCCACGCCTCTCTGTCCACACTTTAGCTTCTCTGTTTGCTTCTGGATTGTTGAAAGTACAATTATATGCTATTAGTTGTTTGTACCTTTAAAGTGAAGCAAATAATCACGGTATTTAAAGTAAGGCGTTTTTCTCTTTGTGTATTTTTATCATCCTTTGATAAACTAGATGTATTGATGCATCAGTGGAGTCCTTTAAATGTTTAAATTTGGCAACGTCTTGTTTAAGTTGAACCAGACGGGACCGTCTCAACTTTTTTTGTGTTTGTCTGTTGTCTGTATGTTTTTGTGCATAAAAAAGCTTTTATGTTCCTCTCCCATCATTATCTTTTTTTTATCACTGACACATTTTACACTGTTGTGTGAAATACCGTAATTCTGCAACGGTTTGTGCCAAAAGAATATGGTAAACCTCGTTCCGTTGTTGGAGAGTCAGTCTCTCACTCACCCACAAACAGGACGTTCGTGGCAGAGACAGATGGCCAAAGTCATTTTTATATCGGCTGTAGCTAGCCTGGCAAGCCAGACTAAATAAATGTATTATTTAGTCTGGCAACGCTCCGTTGACGGCTCTCGGTTGTGGGGCGGGTTCTACCGTTGTCTTTCAAATGATTTCCTCATTCCACTGGACGATGAATGGTACATACTCTTGTTTCACGCTGTTGCATCATCCCACCCACCAGGCATATAGAGTGCCCTGATTGGCCCACAAAGCGGATAAAGCTCTGTGATTTGTTCACTAAGCAGATAGAGCACTATGATTGGCCCACCATTATGGACCAATCACAGCTCTTTATGTGTTTGAAACCCCTCTAGAGAGCTGTGATTGGCCAGCCAGAATGCTGTTGGGGCTGCAGAGGTTCCAGTGGAGCGTTCCTAGACCAAACTTTCCAAAGCAAGAATTTGGTCTAGTTCACTACGCTAGGCTGTAGCAGCACTATGTAAGGAAAAGAAAACGGGGAAATAACCTAAATGTGCAGCTCTGTACTTTGGGCTCGGCTCTGCCACCCCCTCGCTCCTGCCGCTGCAACATAGAAAAACCCCGGAGGTCTAAAATCGTTGATGCATCAAATCCTGTGTCAGTAAGGAGTGCTACAAACAACTGCAGCTTTGACAATCACGTTATGGCGTTGTTTTAACTCACAATATTGGATTAAAAAAACGATAGATCATTCAGCCCTACAACTTATTATCAGACATTTTCTGCATGTTTTTAAGGTAAAACCGCTCAGCTGTTTTTTTTTTTACAACACATCCTTCTTTGTTGGTAACAGAGTCATATGTTTAATATTCCTGCCTGTAACATCAGGTGCGTATGTTGCCTTTAAAACTTTCCATGCACCTGTTGCTGCACATCCTTCAGACGTTCTGAGTCACGTTTTCAGAAGTTAGGTATCAGTTTATGACAACGCGTGTCTGGTTTTGTTAATTGAAGCGATGTGTGTTGCTGTCCGAGCTGTCACGGTTAAACGGAGAGCTGTCATCTCTGATCATGCAGCGCTTTTCCCTCGGCTGAGACTAAACCCAAGAGCTTCAGACCTCTTAAGATGACTCCTTAAGATAGTAAATACTGCTAACCTCACACAAAATGTTATCCATCCCACATCACTGCTGGCTTAGCTGAAGCCAAGCTACTTCTGCTATATAATATCATCTATTTTTATGTTGCATTTTATGATTTTTAGGGTGTTTTGTGTACATTTTTATTGTTTTATTCACATGTGAGCACACCTATGTGTTTGAGCAACTGGATGTTTACCATCAATAATTAGTGAGACATACTGAGCTTGATGCAGACAGCTTATTTGGTCATTGTCGGTGATTCTTTTCAGGTGAGCAAACACAAGTTTGGTGGGACTAAGAGTGGCTCTGTTTGCTTCAGGCTACAGTTGTTTCTGCTAATACAAAGCAAGAGAAGCAGGCCAGCGATGGGCTAGTCTCTCAGCATACAGAAGGTTTTGGGTTTCACATTATGAGAGTGTTAGTCACATGTCTTATACTCCATACAAATGTTCTGCTCAATAATTCAGGTGCACACTGAAACAGGTTTGCCGTGACACCAGTGTTCAGCTGTCAGCGGCGTAGTGAGATGGCCTCTGAGATAGTTGCAGCTTCCCATTAGAGCTGAGGGACTGATGTCTCTCCCATCTGTTTCTGCAGGTTCTACTCCGCTGAGATCATTTGTGGTCTTCAGTTCTTGCATTCCAAAGGCATCATCTACAGGTCAGGAAAAATGTTCTCAACCTCACGTCCTACACTTAAAAACTCTGCTCTCTTTACTACCCAGATGGTCATTTAGATTGTTATTTTAGCACCACAGCTTTAAGCTGCAGGTTCAGTGTGTAAAAAAACAAAAACTCACTTAGGTAATCCCACACAAATGTTTTTTCAGAAAGTTTAAATACCATTGTGTGGTACAGCAGTCACGGGAAAAGGCTGTTAAGAAAACTGAGACACAGTTCAAGCATCTGAAGATAAAAATGAACCCATGCATCCACATTTTCACAAATGACATGACAAATACTTGATTTCATAAGCTTTCATTACTAAAAATGCACTTTTATTTTAGACATAAACCTAAATAATCATCGGTAGTTTAATGAGCAGCACCCCCTTGCCTTTTAGTTCATAATGGGGGTGCAGAGTAACAAGCGGTCAGCTGACCGTAGCGAGCGCTCAGGCACATAGGGAGAGGACAGGTCTGACAAATTCTAATTCTAATTCAAAAATATTTTATTACTCCCAGAGGGAAATTGATTGCTGTAGTAGCTCAGAATGATAATAATAATCAAGTCATCAAAGAGTTGTTGTATATTACAACGGCTGTTGGCAGGAAGGATCTCCAGTAGCGGTCAGTGTTGCAGCCAAACTGAAGAAGCCTCTGACTGAAGACACTCTTCCGTTGTCGGACAGTCTTGTGAAGACAATGCTCAGGGTTGTCCATCATTTTCTTGATTCTCTGGAGAATCCTTCTTTGCATTATCTCCTCCAGTGGTTCCACAGTCGTCCCCAGAACAGAACCAGCCTTTGTTATTAGGCTGTAGAGCCTTTTCAGGTCCCTGCTTCTGATGCTACTACCCCAACAGACGATGGCTGAAGAGATTACACTCTCAACAACAGACTTGTAGAAGATCTGCAGCATCTTGCTACAGACATTGAAGGACCTAAGCGTCCTCAAGAAGTGCAGTCTGCTGTGTCCCTTCTTGTAAACGGCTTCGCTGTTCTTTCTCCAGTCCAGTCTGTTGTCCAGGTGAACTCCAAGGTATTTGTATTCCTCAACCACCTCCACTTCTTCTCCCATGATGGAAACCGTGTTTGACTCCACCCTGTTTCTTCTGAAGTCTAAAATCATCTCCTTTGTTGTGCTCCTATGATGGTGCCAGACCATTCAATGCTTTATATACAAAAGCAGGATCTTAAATTGTACCCTAAAAGCCACATGTAGCCAATGGCGATGCTCCAAAACCGGGGTCACATGGCTACGTCTGCCTGTGTTGGTCCAAAATCTTTTATATCCTTTTACATTGTTTTGTTTCCAGAGACCTGAAGCTAGACAATGTGATGCTGGATTATGAGGGGCACATAAAGATAGCTGACTTTGGTATGTGCAAGGAGAATGTGTTTGGAGAGAATCGCGCCACAACTTTCTGTGGTACCCCTGACTACATTGCTCCAGAGGTACAGCACTGCTCTCAGACAATTCTGCTGATATATTTATATCGTCCTGACACATCTTTTGAAACCTTGTGTGTGAACTCAGATCCTGCTCGGACAGAAATACTCCTTCTCAGTGGACTGGTGGTCGTTTGGGGTCTTGTTGTATGAGATGCTGGTCGGACAGTCGCCTTTTCACGGCGATGACGAGGATGAGTTGTTTGAGTCCATTCGAATGGACACTCCTCATTATCCCCGCTGGATCAACAAAGATACTAAGGACTTGCTTGAGCGGGTCTGTACCTAATATTTCAGATTTAGTCCTCCAACACGATAAAGCATTGAGTTAATTCAAAAAGTGTCACATGATTTAATATTTAAATAAACATAATACGTTTGCACATTTCTCTAAACAACAACACACTCATTTTGCTCCACACAAAATGTTCAGTTTGCTCTTTATTTCCTGTTTTATTGTTGAAACACGAGTATTTTCTGTTGGATTACATTTACCTAAACCATAATAAAAACATTTGATCTTTCAAACTTTTCTGCAGCTGTTTGAGAGAGACCCCACACAGAGGCTAGGAGTAGTGGGTAATATCCAATCACACGACTTCTTTAAGGTCATTAACTGGGAAGCCCTGGAGAGGAGGGAGATTGAACCACCCTTCAAACCCAAAGTGGTACGCTCCATTTCTGTTAAACTATAGATAATGTGTTGTCTTCACTTATGTTTTACCATTTTAGCTGAGTTTTGTGTGACCTTGTTTACAGAAAGCACCAAATGACTGCAGCAACTTTGATCGGGAGTTCCTCAGTGAGAAGCCGCGGCTTTCCCACAGCGACAAGAACTTCATAGATTCCATGGACCAGTCTGCGTTTGCTGGTTTCTCCTTCATAAACCCCAAGATGGAGCAGCTTTTAGAAAAGTGATTATTTAACAACTCAGGAGACTCTCCTGTTGTTCATGGAACGGTTCACTTTACTCACAAACGAGATGCTCTTGAGTCAGTATTTATGTATGTTTGTTTTCTTTTGGAGCATAAGCTTTTCACCTGTGGTACACATAGAAACTGGTCGTCGTACTGTATATATGGATGCTGTACTGGTGGGCATGCTTATTAATGTACCAGGCGTTAAAAGCCTGTGTGAGTAACAATATAATGATAGGAAGCTGAAAATCCTTACAGGTCACATGACATCACCACTTCCATCTGCACGCATTTTTCTTTTTGACATGCAGCTCAATCAAGCTGGGGATGGATCGTTATGAAGGGGAAAGCGTAAACCATACGTATATTTACATCAAATCTAGATGAAGTGTGTAGATGAGGTGACTGCATGTATATGACACGAAACAACTTTAAAATATAGAGGAATTTAGAATCTTGTGCTTAGCTTGATAAATTAACGGAACAGTGTTACGATCAAATCTAAATACCAGCAGCTGCACTCTGCTGTATAGACAGACCCTACAGAGTTCGTGCTAGTTACATGACTGGGTCATCATTAAATGATGTATAGATGTATATTGTTGTACGTGTATATTGGTTCACTAAGATGTACTTTTTAAAAATCATCTCCATATTTTTCATCTGATTAAAGAAACCCATCAACTCTCAAGCCTGCCAGGATTTTTGTGTATGTAATATTTTGAAAATAGAACGCTATTAGAGATTGTGTTACAGCTCCTGAAAAGAGAAAAGCCATGCATCCATCTGACAGACAAGGTTTGCCATGGCAGTGCAACCAGCTGATTGGCTGCTTCGGATGTCCATGCCCACGCCCCTCTGTCACCATTGGTCTGGCTTTGTGCAGCCTGTCATGATCATGAGTGGAAGCAGCATAAAAGGCTGTTTGGTGCAACTCCAAAGAGATGAGACTGATCAGAGAGATCTTCTTGATAGCTCCTGCCTGTGTGGCAGCTGGTGAGGCCTTTTGGAGGCTGGTTTTAAAGTGCAAAATACTCGTATCTCCCACAGTGTGTCCAAACCTCCTCCTTATGTTGCGATCCCACAAACCAGGTCATAACAGATATATACAAAATTATCTTTATAGATTTCTAATTAGCTACTTTTTATTAATTATTTTAGCTTTGTAACATTTTTAAACCACAGTTTTAATTTTTACTTTTCTTCCTAAAAGTCTAACTAATGGAATAGATCTTTTTGCCTTCATGGGTCTTTCAAAGATTGTTTTTTCTTTTTGCGCTGCCTGCTTCGCAAGACACACTGAGGAAAATCAGGACATGAAAATGATCTACAGCAGATGCATACATGCCTGCAGGTCTTGTGTTGGGGAACAAGAAACCAAACAGGACTTGAGAGATTCATCATATTGTCTGACAAGATTTCCACTAATAGCTATCAGAATTTACCTGCGGGAGCTCAAATTCCATCTTACGTATTAAACCTTGAAACATTTGAATTTTACAAAATGATGAGAATAATGTATTTTTGGCTGTTGGTATTAAAAGGTGTAAAGTTACAGTAGTTCTACAAATCCTAAACAATGCTGGTTCTTGTCTTGATTTTAGGGTATTTTTATGCCTGGATGATTTATAAATCAAAGGATTTAACTCAACAAGCAAGAGCAATCCTTTGCAAAGGGCAAGGCATTGCATAAAAATGAGTGAGAAATCCTCAAAAGTTCAAACTTAATACATTTAAAAAAAACAATGAAAAAAATTACAGTTTAAAAAATTGCAAGAAAGCAACAAACTATTGGATGGTAACCCTAGGAACCCTGGTGGTCTGATCCTCGGCTACAGAAGCTATCTCCCGGTACACGTCACCTTTCTGGTGGGGAAAGAACCGGAGTTTGTGTGTGAGGTTCCAGCTAAATACAGTCATACCCACCTCGACGCATGGCTCTTACTCCGAAACCAGTTTCCTTGAAAGGAGTTGGACTTTCTACCACTCTGGAGTTGTTTCCAGTGAGAGGCGTCAAGCCAGGGTGGGCATACTTGTTGCCCTCCATCTTGGTGACTGTGCGTTGGAGTTTACCCCAGTGAACAAGAGGGTATCCTCCCTCTGCCTTTGTGTGGGGGGACGGGTCCTGACTGTGGTATGTGTTTATCCACCAAAATGCAGATGCGACTACCCACCCTTTTTGGAGTCCTTGGAGGGGGTGCCGAAAAGCGCTCTTTCTGGTGACTCCCTCGTTCTAGGGGACTGTAACGCTCACATGGGCAATAACAGTGAGAGAGAGAGGTGTGTTTGGGAGGAACCCTGGTCTGAATCTAAGCAGTGTTTTTTTTTTTTTACATTTTTTTATTTGACTTCTGTGCTCGTCATGGATTGTCCATAATGAACATCATGTTCAGGCATAAAGTTGTCCATATTTGCTCTTGGCACCAGGATACCTTAGGCCGCAGCTCAATGATCAACTTTGTTGTTGTTTCATCTGACCTGCAGCCGCATGTCTTGGACACTCGGATGAAGAAAGGGGCAGAGCTGTCAACTGACCACTACCTGGTGGTGAGTTGGCTTCAATGATGGGGGAGGATGCCAGTCAGACCTGGCAGACCTAAACATATAGTGAGGGTCTGCTGGGAACATCTATCAGTCTTCTGTGAGAAGGAGCTACAATTTCCACCTTAGAACAAAGTTTGCAAGCATCCTGGAGAGGCGGGATACATTGAGTCCAAGTGGGCCATGTTCCCTGACTCCATTGTCAAGGTAACTGACCACAGCTGTGACCGCAGGGTCATTGGTGCCTGTCGTGGATCAGTAGGTGACCTCCTCAATCCCACCAACACATCTTCCAGTGAGGAAGCTTAATCTGGGCACTTTGGGGTGAGCATTCAATCTCTGGGGCTGAAGTCACAAAGGTGGTCAAAAAGCTCCTTAATGGCAAGGACCCATGGGTGAAAGATCTGCCTGGACTTCCTTAAGAATCTGGATGTTGTAGGCCTGTGTTGGTTGACGCTGCTCTGCAATATCGCATGGACATCGGGGGCATAGATTGTCAGACCAGGGCAGTGGTCCCCCTATTTAAAAAGGGGGACCACGGGGTGTGTTCTAACTACAGGAGGATCACACTCCTGAGCCATAGTAAGGCCTATTCAGGGATTCTGGAGAAGAGGGTCCATTGGATTGTAAAACCTCAGAATGGAGGAGGAGTAATGTGGTTTTTGTCCTGGCCATGGAACACTGGACCAGCTCTATACACTTAGGGGGGTCCTGCAGGGTGCTTGGGAGTTCACCCAACTAATCTGCATGTGCTTTGGAGAAGGCGTTTGATTGTGTCCCTTTGGGGGACCTGTGGGGGGTACTCTGAGAGTATGGGGTACCACCAAACCCCTTGTTATGGGCTGTTAGGTCCCTGTACAACAGTGTCAGAGCTTGGTCCGCATTGTCAACAGTAAGTCGGAATCATTCTTGGTGACAGTTGGACTCCGCAAAAGCTGCCCTTTGTCACCGATTCTGTTCATAACTTTTATGGACAGGATTTCTAGGCAGAGCCAAGGTGTTGGGGAGATCCGTTTTGATGGTGTAATAATCAGGTCTTTGCCATTTGCATAGGATGTGGTCCTATTGGCTTCATCAGAGCATGATCTCCAGCTTTCACTGGAGCGGTTTGCAACCGAGTGTGGAGCAGCTGGAATGATAATCACTTCTACATCCGAGACCATGGTCTTGAGTTGGAAAAGGGTAGAATGCCTTCACTGGTTCAGGGATGAGGTCCTGCTGCAAGTGGAGGAGTTTAAGTATATCGAGGTCTTGTTCACGAGATCGAGACCAATTGGTGGATTGGTGCTGCATCTTCAGTGATGCAGCCGTTGTACTGGTCTGTGGTGGTGAAGCTGAGCCGGAAGGCAAAGCTCTCAATTTAAAGGTTGATGCATTTCACCCTCTTCAATGGTCACAAGCTTTTGGTAGTGACTGAAAGAATAAGATCGTGGATACAAATTACTTTTCTCTGCAGGGTGTCTAGGCTCTCCGGACTAGGTCATCCAGGAGGGGCTCGGAGCAGATTTGCTGATCCTCCATATCGAGAGGAGCCAGTTGAGGTGGCTCATGCATCTGGTCAGGATGCCTCCTGGACCTTTCCCTGGTGAGGTTTTCCGGACATGTCCAACCAGGAGGTGACCCAAGGGAAGACCAAGGACACGTTGGAAGGGACTATGTTTCTCAACTGGCCAGGGATTGCCGTGGGATCACCCCAGAGGAGCTGGCCCAAGTGGCTGGGGAGAGGGACGTCTGGACCTCTGTGCTCAGGCTACTGCCCCCTGTGGCCCGATCCCAGATAAGTGGATTAAAATAGATGGATGGATGGCACACACACACACACACACACACACACACACACACACACACACACACACACACACAGACACACACACACACACACACACACACATTTATTTAATTAATTATTTTTTTCTAATCATGAATGGAGACTTCTGCCCCATCATTAATTTGAATTTGCAAATTAACCACATTGAATATCCGACTTGGTAACACCCAAAGAAGAGCAATTTTAACTTGCTAGTTTTAAGAAAACAACTCTTTCAGCTTCAAAATGATTACGGTTTAAAATCATCGTCGTCGTCGTCTTCCTCCGTTTAACCGGGTCCGGGTCACGGGGGCAGCATCCCAACTAGCTCCAGACCGTCCTCTCCCCAGCCACCTCCACCAGCTCCTCCGGCAGGACCCCAAGGCGTTCCCGGACCAGATTGGAGATGTAACCTCTCCAACATGTCCTGGGTCGACCCGGGGGCCTCCTGTCGGCAGGAGATGCCTGAAACACCTCCCCAGGGAGGCGTCCAGGAGGCATCATCACCAGATGCCCAAACCACCTCAACTGACTCCTTTCAATCCGGAGGAGCGGCATCACTGCAGACGTTGAACCAATCCGCCTGTCGATCTCCCGATCCCTCCTACCCTCACTCGTGAACAAGACCCCGAGATACTTAAACTCCTCCACTTGAGGTAGGACCTCTCCCCCAACCCGGAGTTGGCAATTCACCCTTTCCCGGCAGTTTAAAATCTGTTTTGTTCATTTTAACTCACACCAGGTAAAATTCTAACAAGTAATATTGCTCATGGTTTCACATACATTTCAGTAACTACAGATGTAACTTCATTTTCAATAACATTTGTAAATTATTAGAGATCAGTTTGATTTTTTGGTTAAATATTATTTTAACATTGTTATTTAGAAATAACTTTTAGTAAATGTACCTGTACTCAGTGATTCTCAGAACAAACAAACACATTTGAGGAGATGTGTGAAAAGAGGATGCTGGGGAGCTCCATCTTGGAAAACCCCTCCCACCCACTCTATCCCACAGTGGAGGCCATGGACAGCTTCTTCTGAGGCAGACAGAGACACCCCAGAACGCTACCGTAGGTCATTCATCCCCTCTAAAGTAAGAGTGTGTAACTCCTCAGTTTAACTGGTACTGGCATTATCCTGTTAAGCAATAACATCAATGCAATATTCAGTATGTGTGCAACACTTGTGCAATAGCTTCCTTTTTATTTGTTGTTTTCAGTGGTTGAAGGTTACAATGATAGTTTACTCGCAGGCGTAGGGGACCCTGGTCCTCGAGGGCCGGTATCCTGCATGTCTTTGCTCCAACACTTCTGATTCAGTGGTTAATTCACCTGTTCTGCAGCTCATCAGGCTCTGCAGAAGCCTGCACCTGCTGATTGAAATCAGGTGTGATGATGCAGGGTTGAAACTTTAAAATATGCTGGATAGCGGCCCTCGATGAACCAGGGTTCCCCACTAGTTTACTGCCTTTGCGTGTTTGCCTGTAATCGTATTATTTTCTTCTTCCTTTTTTCTAAGTGTGTGTGCTGCTGTAGCAAGTGAATCACCCCACTGTAGGATCAATGGTCTATTCCAGGGCTATTCAGTTCCGAGCCTCGAAGGCCGGGCGGTATCCAGCATGTTTTTATTTTAACTCTGCTTCAACACACCTGATTTCAATCAGCAGATGATTAACAGGCTTCTGCAGAGCCTGATGAGCTGCTGCACAGGTGACTCGACCACTGAATCTAGTGTGTTGGAGCAGAGAAACCACTAAAACGTGCTGGATACCTGCCCTCGAGGCCCGAACTTGAATAGATCTACTCTATTCAACTATTTTACTAGGTGAAGTGCGCCATCTGGCGGTGATCACGTGGACAATGTATTACGTCACCACGCACCGTGCGTCTGTCCAATGTGTACGGAAGTACTCAGACTTCACTGCTAAACTACGTGCCTCTCAGGGCTAAAGGGCTGTTGTTTTCAATAGTTATACCTTCATAATGACTATAGAATGTTTCTATAATGTTTTTACGTTGTAGAAAACAGCTTTTTGTTGGTCAGCCTCGTTCCTGACGAACGTTTTTTTAAACTGAGTCCAACATGAGCTCTCAGGACATACTGAAGAATGCCTCCACTTTAGCTTCGTACAATGTTCTGCTGCAGGTAAATAATGACGTAAGTAGGATGTTGCACTGGTTTGTGAATGTCCTAACAGTTTTATCTGGTTTAATCCCAGGTGATGTTCCGTGTTCTCACCTTCCTTCTGAACGCGTTCACGCTGCGGTTTGTGTCCAAAGAGCTGATCGGGGTGGTCAACGTCAGGTGAAGACTGTCAGAACACCAGGAAGAGCAAACTGATGCGGGATTTCACAGCTCTGGCTGCTGTAACCAGTGTTTGTGTGTCTTTACACTACAGGCTCACACTACTGTACTCTACATTAGTGTTTTTATCCAGAGAGGCTTTCAGGAGAGCCTGTCTGAGTGGAGATTCAGGGACAAACCGCAGCTGGAGACAAATTATTAACCTCCTGTGGCTGACGTGAGAAAACAGAATGACAGTGGTTTTGTTTATGTTTATCATCAGTTCATCAGTCAGGTATTTGTGTTTGAATCCTCAGGGTGCCTCTTGGTGTGTTATGGGCCATCCTACTTGGCTGCGTGTGGCTGTGGCTCCTGGAGGTCCCAGATGTCCAGACCATCCCTTACTACGGGCCAGCCGTGGTGATGTTTGCTCTGTCAGGAGTGCAGGAGCTCCTGGCCGAGCCCCTCTGGGTCCTGGCTCAAGCACACATGTTTGTGCGGCTGAAAGTGGTGGCGGAGAGTTTGGCCATGGTGGCTAAGTGCAGCGTGACTGTGGTGCTGGTGGTGTTCGCCCGAGAATGGGGTCTTTACATCTTTTCTGCTGCTCATGTAAGAATCTGACATCTGCAAAAACTCCTCTAGATATTTAGCAACTGATGTTAAAATGTGTTCTTATTTCAGTTGGTGTACACAGGACTCCTGGTATTATCCTACGCTGTTTACTTCCTCTGTTTCTTGGGGTCTGAAGAGGCAGCGAAGACGCGTTTCCCGCTTCATGGTGCTGCGGATCTGCTGCCTCACAGAGCTGATGGAGAGGTTATAAATCTAAAAGTGTGACATGTTTTTTTTTTGGTGCATTAGTGATTTTATTAATCCTTTTGCTGTGTTTAAAGCCCCTGGTAGACTGGCCTGTCGCCCGGCTCACATGGAGCTTCTTTAAACAGTCCTTCCTGAAGCAGATCCTGACAGAAGGCGAGCGCTACGTCATGACCTTCTTGAACGTCCTCAGCTTCGGAGACCAGGGCGTTTACGACATCGTCAACAACCTGGGCTCCATGGTGGCACGCTTCATCTTTCTACCCATCGAGGAAAGCTTCTACATCTTTTTTGCCAAAGTGCTGGAGAGAGGGCGTGATGTCAGAAATCAAAAACAGGTGTGAACTTCAGGAGTAAACACGTTTTAGAAATAATATGACAATCTTTTTTTTTTTTACTTGACCTCTTGTGTATTTGCAGGAAGAAGTAGCCGTTGCAGCAGAGGTTCTGGAGTGTTTACTGAAGCTGGTGCTGGTTATTGGTCTGATTATCACAGTGTTTGGATACGCCTACTCTCACTTGGCTCTGGATATTTATGGTGGCACTCTGCTAAGCAGTGGGGCAGGTACAAGTGCAACACAGACACCAGAAGCATTGTGGCGTATGTCGTGTATGCAATCTATTTTTTTATGGCGATATTATGGCGCGGTATGGGGGCCAAAATTAAGACTACTGCCCAGCAGCAGGAGGCTATATAAATTCCGAAGCAAACTACCGACCTGATTAATGATAAGCTGGCGCCAGTAACTGAGAGGCTGGCGCTGCTTACTGAGAAATGGCACCTTTACCGGCGTTACTAATAGATATGCTAGGGACTAGCAGCCCTCGGCTGGTCATTGACTGGTTCACACACTCCCTCTGCTGTCTATTAGCATGGATAGGCTAGCGTTAGCCTGGACGGGCTGGTGTTAGCATTGGAGAGGCTAGCCATAAGCGTGCCTAGGCTGGCCACTAGCTGACTAGTGACTCTCCGAGACATGCTAATGGCTAGCCTCTTCTATGCTAATGCCAGCCTATCCATGCTTAAGGTCTGTCAAGGGCATAGGAAATCCAGCTAGTGGCATGCCTAGGCAAGCTAATGGCTAGCCTCTCCGATGCTAACGCCAGCCTATCCATGCTAATGGTCCATCAAGGAGGTAGGAAATCCATCTAGAGGCCAGCCTAGGCACGCTAATGGCAAAGCTCTCCAATGCTAGCACCAGCCCGTCCAGGCTAACGTTAGCCTATCCATGCTAATAGACAGCAGAGGGAGTGTGTGAACCAGTCAATGACCAGCCGAGGGCTGCTAGTCCCAGCGTATCTATTAGTAACGCCGGTAAAGGTGCTATTCCTCAGTAAGCAGCGCCAGACTCTCAGTTACCGGCGCCAGCTTATCATTAATCAGATCAGTAGTTTGCTTCGGAATTTATATAGCCTCCTGCTGCTGGGCAGTAGTCTTAATTTTGGCCCCCATACCGCACCATATTTTTTAACCTAGTTTTTTAAAGGGCCCAGCTTGCTGCGATGCTACAGCTGCTACGTCCTCCTGCTGGCTGTAAACGGTGTAACGGAGTGCTTCGTATTTGCTGCCATGAGCCAAGAAGAGGTGGACAAGTAAGAATGTTGAAAAGGCAGATGTGTAATCCTCACTCTGCATGTAACCTGGGATGTAACGCTGTTCTGCCCTCAGGTATAACCTGGTGATGTTGGCTCTGTCTGTGTCCTTTCTCGTCCTGTCCTACTTGCTGACCTGGTGGGCCGGCGGCGTCGGCTTCATCCTGGCAAACTGCCTCAACATGGGCCTTCGTATTTTACACAGCTGTCTTTACATCCACCGTTACTTCGAGCTGAGTCGGTGGAAACCTCTGCGAGGCCTCTTGCCTTCTCCTCTTGTAGTAGTTTCCCTCTGTGTTGCTGCAGCTGTCACAGCTGTGTCCGAGGTACCAGAAAAAATCTTTAAAGATTGAATCATTTTTACAGTTATTCATCTAAATAATTTTTTATTCTCGTTTCAGGCTCTTCTGTGCTGCGACCGTGGCTGGTTGCTCCGCGTCGTCCACGTGGGAGTGGGAGGCGTGTGTCTGCTTCTCGTCATCGCCGCTGTTCTTTTCACAGAAACTCAGCTGATTCAGTTTGTGAAGACTCAGCTGTTGCCGAGATACAGAAAGAAACATGCTTAAAATCAGAAAAACGAACACCTGACACATCTGCGGACAGAACAGCTACCGGTTAAGAGCTACCGACTATGAAAGACAGGAGAAAATTCCTGAGAAAACCTTTATTTTCATAAGGCGTTGTTGCGTGTCTGTGTGTTTGCTCTGCAACATCCCTGTGTGTTAAAATGAAAACATTCCAAACGTTTTCAGATCCTAATCCTGATTTAAAGGTGAACGTAGAAGATTTTTTGTTACAGACACAAATTGCACGAGAAAACCGAGACAAATTGGTGTAAACTGATGGTTTTTTATCAGCATCCATTAAAAATGAAGAGTCAGCTGAGTGAGTTTTTTTGACAGGTGCTTTTACCCAAAGCAGCTTATGGATGCAGTACCTAACACGCATGTGTTTGGTCTGTGGGACGAAAGCGGAGCACCTGGAGAATCCCCACTCATGCTTGGGAAGAAGCTGGGATTTGAACCAGTTTGTATTTGAGTTCTTCTTATTTAGAAAGTTTTAACATGTTTTGCTAAAATGTTTTTCTTGTAATAGGTTTTTGATAAAATCTTAGAAAAACGGGTTTTTCGTCTTTTCGAGGTCTGGGTAAGTATTAACAGAAGTGAAAGACTTTTGTTTTCTAATGCTGGGTGGTTCCAAAAATCAAATTATATCATTTTTACTGACTGACATTAGCTTGGTGCCACAAGTGTTAGCAGTTATCTGTTTACATACTCAAAATAACAGAGTGGAAGAATTTCCTTTAGAGGCCTGCCAGCCTGACGTTAAAAAAGGAAAGCTGTTCAGTGTTTGGAGCAGCTTCAGATCGTTTTTTTTTTTAATAATAATAAATCAGTCAGAATTCTGACCGGCGTGGCGCATCTAGCAGTCTCTGGAGATGTTCCTCAGGTCTGCAGGCTGGTCTCGCTGCAAAACATGTTTTTCTGATAAAAAACCTTAAATTAAACATCTGCGTGTCCAGCTCATTTGCTATATTTTCACTCCAGACGTTTCCTTGAAAAACATTTCCAAATGATCCCAAACCTTTTGAGCAGCAGCAATTCCATGCAGGTGTAAAACATCCCAGGTACACCAAATACACACCAGCTTTGCTTGGATGAGGATTTGAAACATGATTATAGAGAATCAGGAAATCAACTTATCTGTTCATCTTTGTACAGTTAGGACGTTGGAAAGATGCAGAAAATAAAACCACCAAACAACGTTGCAACATAAAAGTAATCTATGAGTTTGAAAGGAATTTCAAAATATTCTAAAAGTATTCATGAACCCAACACTGACGTCTCCCGTTTTCCAGCAGGGATTTAATTTTGATTTGTTGACATGTAGTTTTACAGTCTGTCCACTGAGCTGGTTGCTGCTGTGTTTCTAGGCTCTTAATGGCTTAAATAATGTCATCATGAGTAATAATGAGCAGGAGGAGCATTCCTCTTTTGTTGTTTGTTTAGTTCACTCTTAGCTTGTTTTTAACAGATGTTTATCAGCAAGTTTAGGGCAAAAACTCATTTTGTGTATCTAACTCCCGTGTCAGGGTTGGTTATGATCTCATCGTTTCATAAAGAAACAGCAGAAGAGTCTGAAAAAAAAGACAGAAAATAGGAGGAGTTCGTTCACAGGAACAGATTTATTGTCCACTGGGAAAATCGCTGCCAGATTGTTTATAAACGTGAGCGTCCTGAAGGGAAGCAGCTGGAGAAGACAAAAACAACCCACTGAAAGAGAAGATTACCTTCATCTACTCAGCCGTCATGTCTCAAGTAAGATCAGAGTCAAGTTGTCTTTTATATTTAGTTACAGATGTGTGGAGAATGTCTCACGTTTCTGTCCTTCAGCCGGTTCAGGAGGACGTCCACATGCAGCGTCCTGCTGTTAAAGAAGAAGATCTGACTGAAGCAAAGACCAAACTTGGTTCTTCTGAGGCTGCGAAGAGCAAAACCTTTGAAGTGATGGAGGAGTGTGGTGAGAAGGCTCATGTAGATGTAACCACTGGACACAGACTGTAGGAGATAGAGACACAGATGTTTTCTAAGAGTGGTGCACATTCAGGGTGTGTGTGTGTGTGTGTGTGTGTGTGTGTGTGTGTGTGTGTGTGTGTGTGTGTGTGTGAGAGAGAGAGAGAGAGAGAGAGAGTTTCCACACCATATAGAGGAGAGGGTTCCAGTCAGACCAGCAGTCCTTTGATGGTCTGCTGTTTCATCTCCTGATCTTTCATTCTTCTCCTCTGCAGAGAAAATGGGTAAAGCTGCTCCTTCCGTGTTCAGTGGAGCGAGGTCAGGAGCAGAGACGGTTTTCAACACTCGCTCAGCTCGACCCGTCAGGAAGTAGAGGGGAAACACCCAGAACCGGACCGAACTCCACGTTCAGATCAGCTCATGGACGTAATATTTTTGTTGGGGGGAGTCAAGTTTTGACCCCTGCACTTTTTACCATCAAAAAACAATATCACTCTATATTAAATTGACACTGGTTGAGCTCTCGGACCAAGCAGAAAACAACTGTTTGTGTTGAAGCCTGTTTCCCATTAGAGCATACTGTAAAGACCCCCCCCCCCCCCCACACACACACACACACAATTCTAAAGTGAAAATTACCAGGGGCGTGTCCAGGGGGTGGCCTGGGGTAGCACATGCCACCCTTGGAATCTAACTGGCCACCCCAGGTGCCACCACACTAATTTACCTTTAAATAGGCTTTTCATTGTCCACAAAAGGCTTGGGGGTAAAACAACAAAAAGCATAACCATTGGTGCCACCCATGCACAAAGTTGTGCCTCACCTGGGCCACCCCATTTTAAAAGATCTGGACACGCCACTGAAAATTACGTCCATGGATCAGCTTCTTCCTGGTTTCATTCAGCTTCTGTGAAATTTAGCTTGAAGGATGAAATGTGACTGAATGCGTTAAATTAGTTTTTTCCTTTATGGATTAGTTTTCATGATCTAGTCTAACGGTCTACCACGGTTCAGGTCAGGGTAAAAAGATTCCTCGCTAATCTCTAGGGTTGGGCATCGTTTGATTTTGAACGATTCCGATTCAAATTCCTCGTTTCGATTCCGATTCTTTGAAGACATGACATGCTTTACACGAGCTAGCTAACCACAGGTCCTACTTGATGAAATACTCTTAACTTCAACATGGATTCTAATTCTATGAACAATAACATCACCTTCATTTAGACAGAAACATGTTTTGGGAAAAAAAAGAAAAAGACTTGCAGCACAACCAGTGTGTTTGTTTCTGACCACAACCAAAGTCTGGAAGAAGCCTCTGGGATGAGAGGCCAAATGTCTCCAACACATCCAGAAACGTCCAGCTGTTTTCAGCTACAACTCTCAGGATGATCATGTCCAGGATGACTGAGAACTACACCTCCATGCTGCAGCAGCATTCAGTCAGAACAGGAAGTGAAACTTAAATGTAGCTGCTGTCAGTAACAATCTAACAGATTTTAAACATTAAAACTCTCAACAGAACTAGTTCAAAAAGGAAATTAAAATGTTCACAACTTTGTGTGTGATTTATTATTATTTAATGTGGCAGAAGCTGGTGTGGTCCACCACAGAGAAGCTGCTCTAGCATGATGACTTTAATTATTCTACAGGTTATTGTTCAGCCTTCTGACGCTCACGTGTCTGACTGCTGACGCTTCGTGTGTTTTTATTTCTGCAGTAAGACAAACTCACCTCACACCGTCCAGAGTTTGTTCTATGAACAGAGCTTCTATGAAATCCACCGTGTTGACGTATTTAACAAGTTTCCTCTACGCTGCAGGAATTAAAGTTTACATTACGGAGTAAAAGTTCGGCAGACACACAGACAGATGGTGTGATCAGCTCTGAAAAGCGTTGATCACAATTTGCAGATCACGTTTATTTTTCACGGAGATCGGCCGCGGATTCCTCTTCCGTCGGCATTCTAGGAATCGAAATAAAAAAACGTTGAGCGATTACACCGGTTCCAATCGATGCCCAACCCTACAACGGTAATCTCACAACTTTTTAGATTTAGTTATAATTGTGAGAATTTAAAAAATCAGGTCACGCAACAAGTGTCAAGTGTTTTATGTGAGACATATTAAAGAAACCAAGACAGTATGTGCTTTTTTGATTTTATTCCAAAAAATTTAAAAACCAAAAAAAAAAAGTAAAATTTAGCATTTATTTGAACAGAACTACAACGGTCAGTGACAAGAACTCAACGGAAACACGCCCGATCTGTGGAAGGGTCGGTAAATCTTATTTCATGAACTTGTGATGCTGGTCTTGGAGGATTTTTGCTGAAGACTTGGCGTCGTAGAACAGCTCGTTAATTTCCTCCACCTGCTCCCTCTCCACGGTTTCTTTTCCCTGAACGCGGCCCAGAAGGCTGGCTGGCGTCAGCAGCTGGACGGCGTACCTGGGAGCAAATGAGAAATATTATAAAAGTAGAAACAAACTGGGAGAAGATTCTAAGATTTGAAAAACGTGCATCATGGCGGTTATTTAGACCAGCTCCAGAACAAAGAAGGTACCTGAGGGTAGTCTTGGTTCCGATCTCGGCCAGATGTGTCAGAGCCTCCTCGCTGACGTTGATCCCCTCCGTCTGAGCTCGGATCTTAATAATCTGACAACAGCAGCCTGATTAGAGCCACCGAGCTTATGACAAGCCACCAATTCAACAGCGACTCCCAGACTCACCTGCTTCATTTCCTGCGGCGTGTACATCATGGTACGGATGATCATGACTCTATCCAGCAGGTCCAGAGGAATTCCGTGTGGAGAGCTGATGTCCTCCGTCCCCCTGGTAAAGAAATAAAAAGATTATAATCTGTAACCGTTGTTCACGTTTACATCCGCTCCTTTGACCCGTCTCACCTGATCAAACAGTTCCCTCTGTTGGAGGCAAACACAACGATGGGGGCGATGCTGCTCTCCAGGGCGCGGTGGAGATACGTGAAGCACTCAATGTCCAGCATGTGCACCTCGTCCACGAACAACACCCCGGGTACCAGCTCAGCCACGCCCTGGTCTATGTAGCGGTTGACTACCTTGTTGATCTCAGCGCGGAGCTTGTCTGGAGACAGAACCGAATGTCAGACGCCGTGATGTTCAGCTCAGGTGAACGGTCCGATTTCGCCATCCTACCTGTGATCTCTGTCTTTTTGGGCTTCATCAGCTGTCCCATCATGGAGAGAATATCCTGACCTCCCTGGGACCAGACAGTGTGATTACTCTAATATTACTTATCATTATTATTAAGGTTATAATATTAGAGCAGCCATGTACCTGCGGCCGAGCGTTTGCAACATCCAGATCGTGCAGCGTGACGTCCTGGACAATCTCCTTCTTCTTGTGGACGTCTCCTTTAGGCAGTGGAACATACTCTTCTGCTTCCAGGTCAAACTCTGTTGCAAACGTGTCACAGCGGCCTTGTCTCTGCAAAAACAACCTCATTAACCAAAAATCTTAACTCGCATCACATCAGTGAAACAAAAGGCAGGAGGCCGAGCGGGCGTGTGCTCCTGCTGCCAGCTCTCTGCAGAAGGATGAAAGGGACTGAGGAGGCAGCTCATCAGATCGCTGTCAACAGTAACAAATGTGTCAGCCAGCCCTCCTCCGCTGCCGTCTGACTACAGCCGCCCTGAGCGCCTCGGCCCACCTGCATCGATTAAAAGATTCGTCGTCACGGCCTGTCAACACGGGCCACAAGCCCTGCTGCATGACGGGAGATGTACAGATAAACGGAGCATGAATCGTTGTGAGAACGAGAGACGTTCATTCCAGAGAACAGAAGAACTGGAGAAGGATGAAAGCAGAATGCCACCATGAAGGACTGAAGAGGTCAAAAACCCTCACGTTTGATCTAATAGGAATAATTAGATTATTTACACTCAGTTTTTATGATGATCTTTTTGTCTGAGATGATCAAAGTATTTCCTGCCATTACTTTACTTTTAGTTCTCATTGTGGACAGAAAAGAAATAGAATAATAATCACAACTTTTTACAGCAAAAACCAGTGGGGTAACAGACTTCTGTTACTGTGCTGTAGTGGGGAGAAGGCATCACGTGATGCTTTTTAATAAATCAAAAAGTGCCTCTTTTATGCAAAGGGTTGATTTTTAAAAAGTGGGCAACTTAAAGTAACACTAACGAGTTTATTAAACTTGAAACTAGAACTTTAACATTGATCTCAGTGATTGTTGAGTTAGAAACTTGTCCAGTTTCATATTAGACACCACTCTGCTGCCCTCTGCTAACCAGAAACCACACTAGATAGTTTTGTGGAGCGGGTAGGTGTCCTAGGGAGCGCTCTTTACCTGCTTTATGGCTGTTAGCTGTAATGCTAGCGATTAGCATTTTCAGTTCGCCGATCATCAATAAAAAGTACAAGAAGAAGAGAAGAAGTTTGTTATTTCTGTTGGCATCATGGTGGAGCCTGGAAGTAAAAGTAAGAGAGTAATGTCGTTGAAGGTGAAGCAATGAGCTACAACCAGAGTGAACATCGGCATGGCCTATGCTAGTTTGAGGGAGCTAAAGGAAGCTACAGGATCACGGAATGATGGTGACCTGGCTCTGTTGTTACTGGACTTGTAAGTAATAATATTTTTCTCCAACAGTGTGGATCTTTATACTTTATGGTTTATTTTAGCATTAGTTGGCTCATGCTAGTGTTAGCTCATTGTTAGCGCTAGCTGCAGCAGGGTTGTTTATGACTTTTCAACCAGTAGAGCGAGGGAGCAGGAAACTGCCTGGTGTTACTTTAAGGAGGAAGTCCTCAATGTGAGATTACGGTGTTTTGGTGAAACATTTGCTTAGAATCAGATGAGTAAACTTTACCGACATAAATGTTTCTGTAATAAAGATCTAGATTTATACTCTGAAGCAGAAAACCTTCTAGACACAGGATTTACGTGCCTCAGGGCAGCTGTGGCTACATTATAGCTCATCACCAGCGTGTGAAAGTGTGTGTGAATGGATGAATGGCTGATTGTGTTGTTGTGCACCTCGGGGCGGTTGTAGAACTATAGAAGGTGCTATTTAAATAAAGGCCATTTACAATTTTTACCTAATAATTATAATAAAATGCAGACGATCAAAAAGAAAAATAAATCATTAATGTGTTGATGTGACCCAGTTTGTCACTAGCACGTGTGTATGTGTGTGTGTGTGTGTGTGTGTGTGTGTGTGTGTGTGTGTGTGTGTGTGTGTGTGTGTGTGTGTTTTAGTGCACCGGTTTTCCATGGTTATGCCATTTACCTTAACAGCTCCACTGTTAGCTTCGATGTAGATGACGTCTCCCACCTCCACCCGCTCTTTCTGAAGACTCTCATAAATGCTGGGATCCAGCTGAACAAACACAAAAGCATCATCAACATTTAATGATTTTGTTCAAAACTGATTAAATCGGACTTCTATAAGAATGTAATAACAGAACTCAAGTATGCAGCCTAATGAAAACGGATTTTTCATCTTTAACCCAGAAACCTGGAAACCACTTCTAAGTCATCTTTATCTACATTACTAATCATCATCTCACTGTTTGTACACAAAACTGTCAGCAGCAACAGGTTATTTGACTCTCGGTGATGAAAGAACTACAGATGCAGATTTGAGCCCCCAGTCTGACCTTCAGCTGCTTTGTGCCTTTGGCCGTCTTCAACCCGATGATGACGTGACTGATGGTTTTCCCGTAGCCGCCCATGGGATTCTCCGTCTCACAGGGAGTCAGCTCCGTCACCTCGCCTTCATACACCTCCTTTGTTTCTTTGATGCGCAGCCCTAAAGGAGAGCGGCGGTACAGTCGGACCCAGACACGCTTCAAAATGAGAATTCAATCAGGTCTTTATGCTCCTGCATCGGCTAAGCCTTCACATCTTTCAGACGACCAAATAATGGATTTTATTACAGGAAAGAACGTGCGTGCGTGTGTGTGTGATGCCAGTGCATCACTCAGTGTAACATGATCACACCCCCACACAGAGTGGCGTGTGAGCAGCACAGGTGCCTGCTCCTCTGTGCTGAGGGTCAGAGGGCGGTGTTTAAAGCAGACCGTGCAGCAGAGCCATTAGTGACAAGGTGATGAAAAGCTGCAGATGCTGTTGTACGGGTGGAGCAAGGGTGCTGATGACCACCTCTGCTTCTAGTTAAGCTCCATTTCCTCTCCACTCGACAGGTACTATCAGCAGTCAGACAAATCCCTTCCCTTCATCATGTCTCCCACATAAATCCCTCCCTATGAATTGGACACTACCTGCCACCTTGCAACACAACAGAACAAGTCATTCTCTTTTCATTTTCACTCAGTTCCTTAAAGCTGCAAGGAAACTTTGTTTCTGACCTCAAGCACAGCTAATGTTTAGCTAGTTGCCTTTGCTTCAAATCAAAACAGAAGTTCAACCCAATACTGAAAAAGTCCGAAAAGTCTGATCATTTCCTCCATGAACTGCATAACTAAGTTCATAAATCCGATTCCACTCACCGATTGCTCTCCTGAAATTCTCCATCAGTACTTCTGTCTTTTTAATCTCAGTGGAGTAGACCTCACTGCCCACCATGGGGCAGAAAGGCACTTTGTTTCCCAACTCCTGAGCCACAGCAAGAGCGAGGGCAGTCTGCAGGGGTCAGAAGTCACAATAACCATAATAACAATAACAACAAAAGCCATGCTTGGTGCCGTTTCAGACGGTAACTCTATACTGTTTAAACTACGGTTAGACCGATTTATCAGGACGATATTAACAATTTTTTTTATAAATGATAAATGACCCGCACTTGCATCAATCATCCATTCACTTCACACACACATTCACACTGATGGCTGTTACACCTCCTTAGTAAAGCCGGGTTAAAGTCAGGCACATCCCCGGGCAGCCTGGTGCTGCTGCACAATTTTATTTAACTGTATGTTTACATGATTGCTGAATTACATCTCCTAATAAATTCTCAAAAAATATTTTCAACTAAGATTTCTAATCTACCAGTTTTTAATATTTAAGACTTTGTCAGTTTACTAATTTGTTAGATTATTTTAGTAAGATGTCTGATTTGAACACTGAGCAGTGCACAAAATTAAGATTTAACAGCTGGTTAAACTCAGTGTTTTGTGCATCAGCTGTTGTTTTTTTTGTAACATTTAGCAAGAACATGAGGTGGAAAACGTCTAGATATCGGCTATGAAAGTCAGTCCAAAATATCGGCAGCACAAATCAGCCATCGGCTAACTGTGACATTTACCTATTGGCAATAGAAAAGCCAATATTGGTCAACCTCTACTTTAAAACGCTGCACACTAACCTTTCCTGTTCCGGGTGGGCCTGCCAGTAAAACCGCCCTTCCTGCCATCTTTTTGGAGCGAATCATCTCAACAATGATGCCACAAGCCTGGAGGGGGGGGGGGGGGGGGGGAGAGTCACTACGATGTTTATCCAGAGCTGTGTAAGGGTGTGTATAAAACAAATACAATCACATTTAAAAAGCAGATATGAAATGGGAAACAAACAAAATTTAAGTAATCTGGTGATCATTAAAGTCTGCTTTGCTGAAAACCCACAAGAATAAGGTGGTAAATGTTAAAACAAGCTAAATATCTTTTGGTGATATTCACAAACTTTTTACCAGGGACAAAAAAAAAGTTGTGTAATTTATTACATGTATTTCTAAAATGACAGGTGTTTGTTTATATTGCTGAACATCAAGAGGAACGATGGAGCGTCCTAAAACTGCACGTGTTTTCTCTGTAAACGATTGAGAATTTGTCTTTGAAATGAGGAATTATTCAGACATCAGTGTGCAGAATATAAATCTAAAACCATTTTTAATTATAGTCTTTTCCCCTCAAACCATGTTTTGGAACAAATCACACCAGTAGAAAGTTGACTTGAGTGCATTTGGTGAAATGACCGATCTGTTGTTCAATTTTATAATCATCTACAAAAATGTAGTGTACTGCGAAACAATCCAAAACAAATAAATACAACAAAAAAAATGCATACATTTTTACCAGCAGAAACCTTTCATAAAGAAAAACCGGAAATAAAAATTTGAATAATCCTAAAAACATTTATTTACTTACTGTTGCAAAGGTGGTGCAAACTTATCTAACATAACCTATTTAATGCATCAAATTTCAAAGAAGAAAATGTTGCAAACAATGGTATTTCTTTTTAAAATGTATTATTATTAAATTTGATCTGACATTGTATTAGTTTTTAATTAAGATATAAATGAAATTACAAAATGCTACAACGCTTTTAAAAACTGTGGTATTTGTTATTAAAAACAAGTCGTGGCTGTCGGTGCTAGAATATCCTGATCTTTGCTTTTTACCAACACAAAATTATATTAGAATACTACATGATGTATATAAACATGCTGGAACATTCATGTGGGATATGTTGCACTAATCATAAGCCTGCCTTTCTCTGCAAAAAGATCTATGTAACTTCTACCTGTTCAGCTGAGGAAATAAGTCATGCATTTATGAAAAAAAATCTATAAGGATCGAAAATAAGGAAATTACAGAATTCAAATTTGATCAATGAAATTAATGAATGGATGAAAAAGTGTGATCGCTGCTAACAGCTTTAGCTTACGGCGTATTAAACTGTCAACAGTGAGCTAAATAATCTATCACAAATAACTATAAGATAATTAATTTCAAACATAGACTACTAACGGCGACGCAGTGCACTTGACAGTACCTCTCTAGCAGCCTCCTGGCCCACCAGTCCACATGCTGTAGATTTAGCATTCCCGGCCTCGTCGAGCCCGAGTCCTTTGACGTGACTATGCGAGGCGATCCTTTGAGTTTTTGTGGTACTTTTTACCTCCTCGATTTTCATAGCTGTGTTATTTATATCAATGAGTAATGTAAATACCACGACCTACTCTAAAGACGCTTTAAAACTCGCTTTTACTTAAGCTAATTCCTCACTACTGTAATCGGCGCCGAAACTCAAAACACAGAGAAATCTGTTTCCATGCGGGTTACTAAGGAAAGTAAGCGGAAATGATACCCTGAGGTTCCGCCTATTTTACAGTAGTCTAGAAAATAATTGGATGTTGTGAAATTATGTAAAGATTCAATTGGCTTACTTAGGTGTCAATCATTTTTGCACACTTCCGGTTGTGTTTTGTTTAATTTGTCGTACAAGAAACAACAAGAAATTGACAAAATCCAAATAAATGTGTTTCATTTATCTTACGCGAAACAGTAAATAACACGTTATTCACACATTCAGTTATTATATAATTATAGAAACAGTAACTGAAAAAAATTCAAAATTTCTCTTTGCTCTTGCTTGCTACTGAAAGGGTTCCGCTTTAGTTTGTAGTCCTGACGATCAATAACACTGATACCAGGGACCACGATTCTTGTTAAGTCCTTTTTGTAGCTAAAACATTTAGTAAACTACTAACTTGTAAAACAAACTTTTAGTTTTAACAAAAACAACGAACCGCGTATAAACAACAAGTGACGCTTCGTGTTGAGTTCAAATTCAAGCTCAAAATTCAGGAAAATACGCATGCTATCGACAAAACTTCAGCAGATTATTGAGAAATGTCTGAGTCGCCACCTGACAGCCGGGCCAAGACGCTAAACTTTAATGTCGGGGTGCTTGGACATGTCGACAGCGGCAAGACGTCGCTCGCCAGAGCACTGAGCAGCACAGCCTCCACGGCGGCCTTTGACAAGAACCCGCAGTCCCGAGAGAGGGGCATCACTCTGGACCTCGGCTTCTCATCGTTCACGGTGGATTTTCCTGAACATCTGCGGGAAAGCGGAGGGCAGCAGCCGTATGACAGCCTTCAGTTCACCCTGGTGGATTGTCCGGGTCACGCTTCTCTCATTCGGACTATCATAGGAGGTGGGCTCTTAAAAAGTGGTGGACAAAAATACAATGAAATACATTAACAATAAATGTGTGAATGCTCCCAGACTTAATCTAGAGTGCCAGAAATTTTCTGTAAATACATTTATATTGCTTAAATAACTTAAACTGGCCATAAAAGAATACAAAACCAGCACAAAACTGTGCTAAATGAACAAAGTAACCAAATTGTAAAATTTGACTATTTTTATACAGCCACAATCAGACAAAAATAATTAAATAAAGTTTTATTGCAACGTTAAAATTAGTTTATTTTGCTGCAATCGTCCAGCAGAGGGCGCAATCTTTCTGCAAAACAACCATGAAAACAATTGATGGGGAAGAGATGCTGCAGTTTGGAGACCCCTTATAGTGGTTCCCAAATTTGGGGTCGGGACCCCACTGCAGGTCACCAAGAAGTACACAAGGGGTCATGAGATGATTTGCAATTGGTAAAGCGCATTTTCTAGGATATAAGTGAACACGGGTGGAAGCGTTTAGCTGAATCGTTTAGCTTTTTAAGCATGTTTGTGCCACCAAATCAAAGAAACCCGGGGTCACGTCTTGTTAATTCTAGAAATGTAATTTTTTTCATGCAAATTACCTGTGAAGCTCACAGTTTTATGATGGTTAGCACAAACACAGAGATTGTTATGGCTATGCAGGGTATTAAACACTACACAGTGTAGCCAACATTGTAAACAAACCCAGTAGCCAGTGGACTTGCACATGCTGTAGATTAGGGAGGAAGAAAAGAGAGTAGATTGGGGTATGTATTAAACTTCCCCTTCAGTCCCAAGTGGGAAGTGCACAGGAAAGAGAGACTGCCAAATTCAGGAAAAGAAAAGAGTAAAAAGCAAGACAACCAAGTGAACTGCAGCTCCAGTTTCAACCCTCTAGCTCTTTACACTCCCTTTGCCTCGCTGCGCCTCTTCTTACCTAATTTCTCCTCTTGTTCTTGTTATGTTTTGGGCCTCTGTGTCCATTTTTGTTAGTTTTCAGTTTTATGCATAACATCTTTGAACCGAACGTACAACATTGTCCTGCTTCAGCTCAAGTACTTTTATTATTGTCCTTTTTTTAGGTGCTCAGATTATTGATCTGATGATCCTGGTGGTGGACGTGGTCAAAGGCATCCAGACTCAGACTGCAGAGTGTCTACTGATAGGAGAGTTGACCTGTCCTCGCATGGTCGTCGTCTTGAATAAGACTGATCTGCTGCCATCTAACAAGAGACAAAGTGCCATAGAGAAAATGACCAAGAGACTGCACAAAACACTGGAGAACACCAGGTTTGCATCAGTGATTAAAGTCATTCATTAGGATTTGTAGAAGTTTCAGAAGGATAATGACGTTTATTATTTTTTTTACCTGCTTTGGATTTTGCTACTAAAATGTTCTCAGCATGAAATCAGAGTATTTTCAGCGTTATTGTTGTTCTAATGGCAGATTTAAGGATTGTCCAGTGATTGCTGTGGCAGCGAAGCCCGGGGGTCCAGACGCCGCTGACACAGAGGAGCCACAGGGAGTGCCAGACTTAATGGAGGTAATGTGTAGAAACACCCCGTCACCTGGTAACGGTTACTGATGAAGCTCAGTCGTGTGTGAGGTTTCATTCATTCAGTGTAACAAGTAGTCTGCTGGTTTTGTGAGTGTAGCCCAAAAAAATTAGTCTAATGTTTAATTTGCTGTTTCTTCTTCTGGCTTCAATGATCCACATGAAGCAGTTTGCCAAAGTAATTTATTCTTATTTCTTTTTTAAATTATACATTTCCTCAGAAATTATGGTAAAAATCGTTATTATTGCATTTGGTGGTGCCTTTTGACAAATGTGAACAATTTACTTAAATTTCACTTTATTAGGGATGCACAATATATCTGCATCAATATCGTTATCGGCCGATGTTAGTCATTTTTTAACATCGGTATCGGTCTGATAAAAAAACTGGTCCGATATTAACAACTGATACTTTTTCCATCTAGTTTCCATTTGTTTATCAGTTTCAGAGGGTGAGGGGGGTGCTGTGTATTTGTTTAGTCATGTGACAGTGATTGTAATCATCTCAGACGCGTAAATGTGTGGTGTGTGTACATAATAACATACATTTAGCTTTAATAAGTTTCATTCTATACAAAATCTGCTGAATTTAGAAGTGTTAATGTCAGAATATCGGTATCGGTGAATATCGGTTATCGGCCATAATGGTGATATCTGTATCAGTCCAAAAATTAGATGTCGTTGCATCGCTAGACTTTATGGTTTTCCACCTCATCTCCCTGTTGATTGCTGGCTGACTTATTGTCATTTTTGTTCAGTGAAAAGTAAAAACGATCTTTTAAACCTAACATTTATAGAATATGATTAGGGGTAGCCCATATTTGTCCTTAAGCCGATTTAAGATCAGGCACATCCTCGGGCAGCCCTGAGCTGTTTCAAAATTTAATTTAAATGTTTTTTACACTCACTAATAACATCTGCATAATAAATCCTCTAAATTAACTTTATTTAGGTGTCTGACTCTAACACTGAGCAGTGCACAAAGTTAAGATTTAACTGCCGGTGTCGGTACAAGATCTGCTCGGGTGCAAGATCGGCTCGGGGTCCGTCGACTGCCGGTGACGTCAAAGTAGTTGATTGGCTGAACATGAACCTTACAGTATTACGTAATCACGTTACGTTGTTATCACGTTACGTTGGTCCAGGCAAATCTTTCTGTTGGAAAGATGGACAACTTTTACAAAGAAATCCATCATTACCTCTTTGAAAATACACTTATAGCATAGAGCTGCATGTATATTAGGGCTGAACGATTAACTGCATGTGCAATTAAATTGCGATGTGACAAAAGGAGATTTTCTAATCGCAAAGGCTGCAATTTGGCAACAATTGGTTAGCGCAATGCTAATATACGTGGAAAAACCCATAGGAATGCTAATGCTAATATCACCGATTACATTATTACAAATTATGAATTAGAAACGTGCCAAATGATTACATTTGGAGTCTAATAGAAAGTAAAACTACCATCAATCAAATAAGTACAGACAGGTATTTTAGTAAAGCCAGAAAACTTTAAACTCCAGAGTTTTGGCTAGCAGCCATGAGCGTACCTGAACTACTCATGGACAAGACGTCAAAAACTAAACACAAAATACTTCAATAAACGGGACACACTTCTTTCCTGCAAATACAATTTCACAGGTGTTGCTAATACCTATGATCCTTCAAGGGATGTGCTCAAAGAGGAGTTCAACATTATGAATACAATATAGTGTTTTATTTTACAAATACCATTATAAACACAAACGTACGTCTTAAGAAACATTATTTTAATAACGAAACTGCTAAATTCTTTCCAACAGTATAGGTGTGTAGTGTATTTTGTCCGAGTGGGTTTGCCGTACTTTGACGTCATCGGCAGTCGAAGGACCCCGAGCTGATCTTGCACCCGAGCAGATCCTGTACCGACACCGGTTAAATTCAGAGTTTAAACATCCGCTTCAGAAATGTTGTGCATCAACAGATGTTATTAGTGACATTTTAGCATGAAAATAAGGAGGAAAGTGTCTAGATATCAGCTGACTGTGTCTCCAACATATCGGCGTCGGTATCGGCAATAGAAAACCCAATATCAGTCGACCTCTAGATCTGATGGCTTTTTGAAGAAAAAGTTGATGCAAATCAATCCAACGTTAGTCTGAGGGTCCACATGGTCCATCCATGGTGGATGAAACGTCTGATTTTGGTCTTCAAGAACACAAAGAGTGAAATGTGGTTGAAACCAGTTGGAGATGAATGGGAGTCTCTGCTGAGGAACACCCTAACGTCCCAACAGAACGTTTTGTTTTGAGTTGTGTGGATCTGCTGATTTAAATCATCTGCATTAAGGTTCTTTTTTGATTGATTTAACAAAAACGGGACATTGAAGGTAAAGATGGAATTTTTGCCTGAATAAATGAAACCTTCATGCTACTATTGTGTTGTTTGCAATCATATTTGTCTCATTTCCCCTCCCAGCTTTTAAAGAAACAGACCTACCTCCCCAAGAGAGACCCTAAAGGTGACCTGCTCATGGCCGTGGACCACTGCTTCTCCATCCGCGGCCAGGGAACAGTCCTGACCGGCACCATCTTACAGGGGTCACTGGCCGTTAATGACACAGTGGAAATTCCAGTGTTAAAGGTTTGGTCCAAACTCTAGATGGGAATTTGCAGTTTCCTATATTTTTTGCAAGCAGGTGACATTCCTGAGCCATGGAAATGAATTTGTAGATGCCACCGGGTTTCAGAAGTGGAGCTGTTTGTGGTCAGAGGGTGGAGCGGATGGCCGACTGGGTCCAGAGGATGTTTCAGTTTAGTGTGAGGGAGGGATGAGCGAGCGAGCAAAGGAGAATGAATAATCAAGACCACATGCACACTTAAGGCATCGTCCGCAGATCTGTCTGCAGTTATCAGTATTACCTCTTGGTGGCAGCAGAGAGCTTAATTAACACAACCTGAGCGACAGCTTTGATTATGTTTTAGATGTATGATTAAATCTAAATGATGCAGGCCACGCTTTGATGTTACATAAAAGTATTTTTGTTATTTCATTTACAGATTTTTGAGACGTGGAAAAATACATAATCTTTTCTTAGTGAAAGTGACTTTTGTTTGTTTTTGTAGTGTGCGTGTGTGTGTGTGTGTGTGTGTGTGTGTGTGTGTGTGTGTGTGTGTGTGTGTGTGTGTGTGTGTGTGTGTGTGTGTGTGTGTGTGTGTGTGTGTGTGTGCATGTTAGTCACACAGGTTTTGCTTAGTTTCCAGTTTGTTGACCTGTTTCCAGGATTTGAGTGGAAATAGAACAGACTTAAGTCGGGGGCCAGTACCCTGCATGCAGCGCCTTTAAAAACTGATACGTAGGTTTTAGGTCATTAGTCTGTGCCATGTATTTGCAGCATTTGACAACTTTAAAATAATCAAAACCAGTTGTAAGAAAATTCCAGTTCCAACCAGAAGTTTAGTCTTTCAGATAACCCGTTTTCTTACACGTGTATTTTTTCCCATTTTGACAAACACTTTATCTTCTAAGAAGACAAATTTGTTGGTTATGAACTTGTTTGTTTCTGATTCTTCTTCCTGTTATCTGTTTTTTCATCTGAGATCTGAGATTTGTGTATGAAACTGTGTTATTTGTTGTTTCTCTTTGCTCTCTGACATCAGGTGACCAAGAAAATAAAGTCTGTGCAGATGTTTCGGAAGCCGGTGTCGGGGGCCATGCAGGGGGACCGTGTGGGGGTCTGCGTCACACAGTTTGACCCCAAACTGTTGGAGCGGGGTTTGGTGTGCACTCCAGGCTCTCTGCACACCCTCTATTCGGCCGTCATCTCTGTGAGGAAGATCGGCTACTTTAAAGGCTCTCTCTCCACCCGTGCTAAGTTCCACATCACGGTGGGCCACGAGACAGTCATGGGGAAGGTGACCTTCTTCGGCCTGCCCCCCTCGGACTCGAAACCGGCTCCGTCAGAGCTGTGTTCGCTGGAAACACCCTTCTCTTTTGATAGGGAGTATTATTTCCAGGATGAGTATGTTTGTGGTCGGAGAGAAGGGAGCTCAGGACCTGACCCGGAGCAGTGGGCCTTATTAGAGTTTGAGCGGCCGGTCACATGTCCTGCCCTCTGTCTGGTAATCGGCTCCAAACTTGACACAGATATCCACGCCAACATGTGTCGGCTGGCCTTCCAAGGCCGCCTGCTGCACGGGTTTGAAGACAAAAGCTACGTGGAGACGTCTCTGCCTCTTCTGCGCATCTACAAGATCAAACACAAGGAGGGACAGGTGGAAAGGGTGAGTTCTGATCTGATCCCCGTCATCCCCGCGTCTCTGCCCTCACCGCTACCTTGTCCTCCTCCTCCTCCTCCTCGCTCCAGTTCTTTGGATGTTTCTCATTGCTGGTGGCACTGGAGCATGCCTCCAGACAGAGCCCCTATTGTAAACTCACAAACAGTCACATCCTCACAAACAACCATGCGTATGCCGCCGTGAGCCTTGTTTGAGGAGAGGGTGGCTCGCATGCCTTGACGAGTGCTATGACAGGCGTGCATGGGTGGCCGACTGACGCCAGTCGCCTGTCCCGTCTCGCTGTCGGAGTCTGGCGCTGTTTGGACACACCTGAGTGCCACAGGAATATCCACAATTTCCAGTTTGAGCGTCTCTCTGGTTTTTGTGGTCGTTCCTTCCTGATACGGTTGCTTTTACGTTTAACGCTGAGCTTCAGTTTATTACATCGCTCTAAACCTCTAATATCTTCTAAGTTATTTAGGTGCAAAATCAGCTCTGGTAGGTAGTTTCTTAGTCAACTTCTGACCCTCGTGTTTTCATTCGTGTGGCGGCGACTCTCATCAGGCTGCGGTCCATTTCCATTTCTGTGTGCGGGCCCTCATTTGGGGTCAGGTGGAGTTCAGGGGTCAAGTGTGTGAACTAGTTTCCTGCTTTAGCACCTCGGGCTGTCGACAGCTCTGCTCATACACACTCAGGAGCGGAACAGCATGTGCGTAAGGTCAGACGGTGGTCATGTGACGTTGCATTCGCCGCTCACATTCCCGTCTCCTAGAATGAGGCAGTTATGCTGAAGAATTGGCTTTCTAAAAGAGAGCACATTACTGTCATTGTTGAGACGTGACGCCCTGGTCCAGCCGTGACGCGTACGGTCTGTCAAACATGTGCAGCGACTGTATGTTTTTTTTTTTTCTTTTCACCAGCAGATCAGTCGTGCTATAGAAGGACACGGGGGTCAAATGTTCAGGAATGAATATGAGTTAGGCGGAGTGCAGAGAGGAAGAGACGGTGGCGGGGGTAGGTCTGAGACAGCGTGGTGCCTTTCACTTATCAGATTAGTTCTGGGTCAGATCTACTTAAAGAAGCAAAAAAATACAAACATACAATAAAATACGCAGAACTGTGACAGAGAAGGTATGAGACAGGCTGACGACAAACCTCCAAGAATGTGGCTGCAGTCCATAATGGTACAGAGCTTCATGCTGACAGTCGAAACATGGCAGCACGCCGCAGATACCATTAACTCATGTGGGATTATTCATGAAGCGCCTGGTCAATTATTCCGTTTGTTTACTCTTTCTTTGTCTTCAGGTGACGGACGATTACTCTCTGATCGGCCGCAGCCTGTTCAAAAAGGAGACCAACCTCCAGCTCTTTGTGGGGTTAAAGGTCATGCTGTCCACAGGCGAGAGTGGTGTCATCGAAGGCGGCTTTGGGCAGAGCGGCAAGTTCAAGATCCGCATACAAGGTAAGGGTTTAATGTCACATCTGTCTCCGTGACGACAAAACTCATGTTAAACATGCAAGAACCAGGGATCCCTGGAATGTTGTTTAATATCACACACACACACACACACACACACACACACACACACACACACACACACACACACACACACACACACACACACACACACACACACACACACACACACACACACACACACACACACACACACACACACAGCTCTCTCTGGGTTTTGGGTCTCGGCAGACGGTTTTCAGGATGTGGTCGGGGCAGCAGGCCTGACATCCCGAGCCACATTCCCAGGATTCCTCTGGGGATTGCCTTGTGTTCCGGGGGAAGTCGGATCAGTGTTTATTTTACCTTCTGTTGCTCCAAACCCACGACTCCACACCGGGAGGGAAGGGAAAACAAAAACATGTTCGAAAGAGAACCTCACCTACATCCTCCCTGCTGCCTTGTTCCTACACACTCAGAAGTCTCAGAAACACACCGACACACACATTAGGAGCCAAGAACATAATGCAGACATTCAGTCAGCCTGTCATGTTGGCTTAGTGTGTGTCGACTCTGTGTTATGCTCCTGCTTTACTCTTTTAAATTAGTCCTCGTGATAAGTAGATCTAGATGTGACCAGCTAGTATTTCAGGTGTTCAGATTCATTCACAGCTTCCATAAAGTACAACAAAGTAGTTATTTTTTTTTATAAAATCTTCTCATCTGTGTGGGAATGTGTGAGTTTGCATTATTGCTGTCTGTTATAAAGCATCTCCACCACACAGAGCTATAAATCAGCCCTAAAGAAGCGTGAAAAGCTTCACTCGCTGACCTTCTGTGGTTGTATTGATTCACTCACATGATTGTGTTACACTTTTCCTGGGAACTTAGGAGAAAGCAGTTTGATGTATCCTAAGCACTTTATCTAGGTTAGTGTGAAAATGAGTCTCTCGTCCTCCAAAGACAGTTTTTCCCCACATTTAGTGGTCATGCGGTTTCTCTTTAACTATACATCAGTACAGATGTGCACACAGACGTCTGCAGGCGTCCTTGTTGCTGCTCTTATTGGGCTGTTTGCAGCAGAGTGATGGCACACGGCTGCATGATGCATCAGCGCAGGGATCATAAAGAGCCAATAAAAATGGCCTTCTTGCCTCTGTGGAAACTTACTAACTCTGAAGGAATAAAATGTGTTTATAATGCCCCTCATGAACTAAAATAGACTCCAGTTGGTGTGGTCTCAGATCATCTGTGGCTCAAAATGAGAAGTTTCATGTTTGATTTCCATTCCATTTATTTGACAAAGCACATTTAAAAACAGCATGTGAGCTGACCAAAGTGCTGTACAGGGGTAAAAACGTATAAGGTTAAACGAATAATTTAAAAGAATAAAACAGCTAGAGCATAGCACAAAGAGCCAAACACGAGAAGTCAATAACATCAGTAAAAGAACAGTGTAGATAAACCATCGATAAAACAGCTAGGCAGTAAAAGCAAGGGAATAAAAGTAAGTCTTTAAGTGAGACTTAAAACCCCCGATGGAGGAGGAGAGTCTGATATTCAGCGGGAGATCATTCCAGAGTGTCGGAGCGCAGACAGAAAAAGCTCGTTCACCACGGGGGTTTGCAGCGTAGACGGGGAATCTGTAGTAGGTGTAGGTCACCTGAACGGAGAGTCCTGCCTGGCACATAAGGAGTGAGTAACCCGGATATGTAAGGTGGTGCTAAGCCATTCAGCGCCTTAAAAACAAACAATAACGTTTTAAAACGTATACGGTAGTGCACAGGAAGCCAGTGAAGTCTTGCTAAAATTGGAGTGATGTGCCGCCGACGGCCAGTATTGGTCAGAAATCTTGCTGTCGCGTTTTGTATCAGCTGAAGGCGAGATAATGATCTCTACTTACTCTTATTAATAATTGCTCTAATTTCTGATCTGTTTCTGGAACGTTTAGTAGGGAACCAGAACTACAAATCTAGTTAGAATTTTGGTGAAAGTGGCTTAAAAAAACACATTTACCTATAATGATCTGTTAGGAGCACTTGAGCATTTTTCTTTCATTATTGTTGTTGAAAACCAACATTTTTAGCTGATCATAGATAAGAAGAGGTGTTTTCTGGCGACGCTGCAACCATAACAACCCTCACCTTGGCACTGTGATAGCAAGAAGAATGCTGGCGCCTCTGAGCAGGAGGTCGGACAGCCAGCATGAACAGCGCTGAACCCAGAACATTTCTTACCTTCCGTGTGCAGAAAGGAGAGCACGTTTCTAAACAGAGATGAAGGCAGATATCAGCAAGAGGAGTTTTTAAAAGACAAAAGCGATTACTTTTTGTTGATCATGAATGTGAAGATGAGGAAACGGTGACTGTAAAACTGTACAAGAGGCTTCTTCTGATTGCTGATCTGGAGGCTGCACGCACGCACGCATGCACGCACGCACTCACACACACACAAGGAACAAGAGATAAATGTTATATCAGATGTTGCTGCAGTGAGGTGATTAAACTGACCCAAATGCTGCACAGGACACAATGCTTTAGATTGTGGGGGATATTCAGGATCTGACTATACTTTATGAAACCTATAAATGGGGCTGCTCAAATAAAAACACATCATAATCAGAATTATTTTGACTGAAATTGAGATCTCAAACATATAAGACGGTCTTTAGTTAATGCTGATAAAACAAATACTGACAACAAAAGAAAGATGTACAGTGCAAACATTTGTGATCTAAAAATAAATAGAAACATATAAACTCAACCCAGTCTTTAATGTTAAAGCTCCTTAGCTAAGACACCAAGGCACTTCGCAGTCATAATAAAACTGATAAAAACTGATAAACATATAACAATAAAACAGTGACACTTGTATGGTAATAACGAATAAAAGCTGACAAAATAAACACATAAAAGTAAGTCTTCAGCCTTGTTTAAAAAACCACCACAGAGGTAGAAGTTCTTATTGACAAAGGAAGCTTGATTTAGACCAAGCGACTAAAAGTAGCGGAAGAGCCTCCGAGTGGAACGTCTGAGCAGGGCCACGTGGCCGTAATAAGGCCACCAAGTAAGGTAGCGCCAACTCATTCAAGGTTTTCAAGACCAACAGAAGAATTTTAAAACTAACTCTTCGAAGCAGCGGGCAGCCAATGTAATGCAGCCAAAATAGGGGTGACATGGTAAAACTTCCACTTGTCTTCTAAATATTTGGCTACTGCGTTTTGAACGAGTTGCAACCTAGCTAGAAGGGGAGAACAAATAATCGACTCATTTCCTTTTAAAGTAATTCAAAACCCAGATTATAATTGCGATTAGAATTTAATTAATCAAGCAGCACTGCCTATCAACTTCTTACCTGTTGATGTTTTCCTCAGAGGGTCTTCTCCCAGAGACCAAGCAGCTGTTATCGTCCACATCCAAGAAGAAAGGCAAGAGTGGGAGCAAAGAAGCAGCGGCAGCCGAAGAGAAGCCCAGAACAGACTCCCAACCCATTAGCATTCACCTGCATTTCAAACGCTACGTGTTTGATCCTCATAAAAAGATGGTTCAGTCTTGACCTCTGTTCACCTCTCTGACTGGTGCTACAGTGGCAGTTAGCTGCACTAATGGCAGCATCAGAGGTCTCTGGTGAAGTATCGAGATGGCGACCGCCTGCTTGAATGAAATAATTGTTTTATTAAGCTTTAAGAAGCTGGATTTAACCCGGTTCGCTCCATCCAAATGGATTTAATTCTTTAAATCTGAAAGTCTGTGATTTTTTTTCTGATGAGCCTAAATTAGTTCTTCTGCCCAGCAACAAACTTTCTTTTAACTCCTGAGATTATTATCATCTCAGAAACGGAGCTCAGGTCTTCTCAAATGTTTGGGCACTCTTCATGACTGGTTTATATTCTTTTTGTTCCTACCTGGCTCATTTTTCTGTTTCACAATTTTTTTTTATTTCTACATAATTAGTTTAAATGTCAGATAAAGATTAAATATTGAAATATTTGCCCAGTTTGAACTGGTACTAATGTCTGAAAGACAAATAAAGTCCATATTCAGCTCTGATGTTCTTGAACTAATGTTTGATTCAGTGTCTGCAGTTTTAAATCATTTGTTTATTTACCCAAAGCAATTACAATTTTTGATTCACATTAAAAGTGAAACTCTTGGCTTGAATCGTTTTATCTTATTAGTTAAATAATATTCATATATTTTCTAATTCTTTAACCTTTTTTACAACTTCGTGATGATTAATTTTATAGATGCAAAAGGGTATCAGCATGATACTTTAACAAATATATCATATTATGCATCCCTGTCAACTGTTTGTAATGTGACATTTTTTATAAAAAGAAAAATATTGACATAAATAATCATGATTAAGTTATATTTAATTGTAATTATGTTTTATTGTTTCTTAATTGTCTTGTTTTGCTGTTTTCTTTAAAGGGATAGTTAGCAGTTTTGGTTTGCTTTTAGCACCCCCTAGTGTTTGTTTAGTAAAACCACAAATGAAGCTTGCTGATTGCCTGTGGAGATCTAATATGGACTGAGACTGTTAAATTACAAGCGGAGCGTCAGACCGCTGCGACCGTAACTGGGCACCGTGGCCTTTTACGTCAGCTCTTGCTCGGCGGTCGGAGATAAGCGGGATACTAGCTACATGCTAACCCAAAGCTATAGAGTTTTCCGGCCGTTTTCAGCAAGAAAAAAAAACACGGTAGAGCTACTCCAAAGTAAAGGCGCCTCCGGCTTGCTTAGTAACGAAATCATAACTAGGTAAGGTGACCGAGGATATCGGGCTTCGTTGGTCCACTGCGGTGGAAGATCCGTGTGTCCGCCGTTGTTGATGGTCCCCTCTCCGGGAGCTGGAGATCAGCGGGACACTAGCTACATACTAACACGAAGCTACCAGAATTTTTCTGGGTGTTTTCAGCGAGAAAAATGCAGTTGAATGTCTCAAAAGTGAAGCAGCATTAACAAAAGGAGCTGCGGTGTCATGACTACAGCCTCGCTTCGGAGTCAGCCCGGCTGCCCCGGGAGATGGGAACAGTCAGCCTCCTGCTCCAACTGTTCCCGGGCAGGAGACAGGAGAAGCTGGGCACCCGCTCAAGTTTCTTATGCAGCCCCACTAACATGGTTGACTAAGCAGTTAAATGACACAGCATCCCCCCATTCAACCAGCAAAATAAAGTACAGAAATATAATTTTACTTACTAATAAAAAGGAGCAGAAACTGATTGGATGGTTTGTTAAAAACCATAGCTTGTCCTTTTGCCCAACTAATTCCATGATTAATTTTTCCAGATAAAATTAAAATGGCCAAAGTGATCCCATGATATAAAAATGGAGATAAACAGGTTGTGTCAAATTATAGACCAGTATCTTTGCTGCCTACATTTTCAAAGAATCTTGAAAAATTATTTGAAAACAGACTAAATTCTTTCCTTGAAAAATATGATTTATTGAATGACCATCAGTATGGGTTCAGAAGAAATCGCTCAACATCTCTAGCAGTGATGGAATTTGTTGAAAATATTGCAACAGTTGTGGATAAAAAACAGATTGGAATAGGTGTGTTCATTGATTTACACAAAGCCTTCGATACGATAGATCATTCTTTACTGTTACAGAAATGTGAAAGATTTGGTTTAAGAGGTGTTGTACAACTTTTGTTAAATAGTTACTTGGAAAGAAGGTTCCAATATGTGAGTATTAATAATATGAAATCTAAACTTAGAAAAGTAACTTGTGGAGTTCCGCAAGGATCGGTGTTGGGACAAAAGCTATTTTTACTTTATATAAATGATATTTTAAAATATGTGATGTTTGCTGATGATACAAACTTATTTTTTTCTGGAGATAACAAAGGAATTACTGAAAACAGTGGAAACAGAATTGATGAAGTTAAATAGATAGTTTGTATTTAATAAACTATGAAAGTAAAACAAAATTTATGTTGTTTGGAGGTATTAAGAGTAATATTGAAGTAAAATTGAATCTAAATAATGTTGAAATTGAAAGAGTATATGGGACTAAATTTTTAGGAGTAATAATTGATGATAAACTTTGTTGGAAGTCTCACATAGATCATGTGAAACGGAAATTATCTAAGTCTGTTTCTATTCTTTACAAACCAAGAGATTTATTGCACAAGAGCTGCCTTTATTTACTGTACACTTCCCTTTGCTTGCCTTATATGAGTTATTGTGTGGAAATTTTGGGGAAAACATACAAAACATATCTGGATTCAATTTTTAAATAGCAAAAAAGAGCTATCAGAATAATAAATAAAGCTGGATATAGGGAGTCCACAAACCAATTTTTTGTAGGATCAGCTATGTCAAAATTTAAGGACATTATATATCTTAAAACTTTAGAAATGATGTATAGAATGGTGAAAAAGAATGTTCCAATTTGTATTTTAAGTATGTTTAAATTAAGAGATGGAAAATATGATTTGAGGGGGTCTTACATGTTTTAAACACCTAAAGTGAGAACTAATGCTAAGTATAGTTGTGTGTCGGTTTTGGGAGTGAAGTTATGGAATGGACTTAATGATGAACTGAAGATGTGTTATTCTTTATAATTTTTCAAGAAAAATTAAAAATTTTGCATCTTCCAAAGTTATAGAAACTTAGTTTGATGTCTAACCTTGTGTTGATTTGATTTCTTGATTTATCATTGCTTTTTCTTTAAATGTTATGCATCTTATCTATCAGCCCTACTTTTTTTCTCTTGTTTAAGGATTTGATTATCTCTGTGGGAGTTAAGGATAGGCTAATTATAAGCCACTAGGCTTCAACCTATTTCTTTTTTCAGTTGCTTGATTACTTTTATGTAAAATTGATAAATTGTTGTTGTTGACCAAATAAAAATATCTCTATCTATCTATCTATCTATCTATCTATCTATCTATCTATCTATCTATCTATCTATCTATCTATCTATCTATCTATCTATCTATCTATCTATCTATCTATCTATCTATCTATCTATCTATCTATCTATCTATCTATCTATCTATCTATCTTTCTTTCTTTCTTTCTTTCCTATCTATCTCTATCTATCTATCTATCTATCTATCTATCTATCTATCTATCTATCTATCTATCTATCTATCTATCTATCTATCTATCTATCTATCTATCTATCTATCTATCTATCTTTCTTTCTTTCTTTTTTTCTTTTTTTCTTTCTTTTTTTCTTTCTTTCTTTCTTTCTTTCTTTTTTTCTTTCTTTTTTTCTTTCTTTCTTTCTTTCTTTCTTTCTTTCTTTCTTTCTTTCTTTCTTTCTTTCTTTCTTTCTTTCTTTCTTTCTTTCTTTCTTTCTTTCTTTCTTTCTTTCTTTCTTTCTTTCTTTCTTTCTTTCTTTCTTTCTTTCTTTCTTTCTTTCTTTCTTTCTTTCTTTCTTTCTTTCTTTCTTTCTTTCTTTCTTTCAACATCCAGACACTAACACAAACGCACCGAGAGTCAAAATGGCCGAACATCTATAAACGTGAGGCTGAGGCCTTTCTTCATAGCTAGCTCTGAAGTCACGTGGGTCCGATGGTCATTAATTATTCAGATTTTTAAGCATTTAATACACTTAAACAGAAGAGTAACAAAAAAATCACCCCCTCAGAGTTATCATGAGTGTAAACTAGATATATTAAACATAAAACATGTTTTTGAACCAGGCTTAAACATGTTTATTTCTGCTGTGAAGTTTGCATTTTTAACATGGGAGTCAATGAGGATTTGCTCACTTCTGACACCAGCCCCTACTGGATGAGGGTGGAACTGCAATTGTAGCCACTTCCTTGTTTGCTTCATATTCAGAACCAAATGATGTCGTCTTGGGTTGAACTGAAACGTGACTTTGGTGTATTTTAGCCAGAATCCTGAAGTGATGTGGGCAGCACTGGTTTTGATGTTATTTTTGCTTAACAAAGAACAAACTGAGGGGGGAAATGAGAAGTTATTGTTATTTATTACAAAGAGAAGAAACAAGTGGAAAGTTCAAAATTTAATAGTTTTTATACATGAAGACAATGCTGACGCCATTTGAACCCAGACCCTGATTTTAACAGTGAAAATTATTAATGCTGAAAATGCTACTTGCAAAAGGAAGTTAGGCTGGGGCTGTGAGTTAAAAAGCAGCTAAACCTGTGATTTACCCACGGCGCTGACTTCCTGATAAAGAAGAAGTTTCTGTCTGCAGAGAGGAAGTTTGAAAGATAAAATATGGCACAAACTCTCACATGCATCCGTAAATGAAATAAATCACATCTTATACAGTAAATGACTTTTTAAATGAATCTAAATGTGTCACCCTGCTTACATTTGTCCACATTTTATTATAAAAGAACAAACCAGTCCTCTCAGGTGGATGCATCCTGTTGGTGACAGGAGTTTTTGTGGGGACAAAATATTTCTGAGTGTTTATGTGTCCATGTTGTCCATCAGCTGTTGATGGAGCAGGGAGGGACTCCGTATGTGAAGGATGATGTCAGCTCGCTGCTCCTGTGAACAGCAGCTCTATCTCAGCAGGAATCTGTGGAAATTGGAGAGAAGAAGGAGGTAGGAGTCCCAGGAGCAAACGGGGACACTGGAAGGATTGTTCCTCTGAGTGACAGTCCTTTTAGTCTTATCTCTCCTCGTCCCTCCTATAGCACACCAGACAGGGGGGTGGGGGTGGGGTGTAGCTTTTTACTCCTTGTCTTTTCAATTTCTCTTTCTTCCTACAGCTCTTCTTTCATTCTTCATCCATTATGAATTTATAGAAGCCCCAGTTTCTCTCCCTCAACTGGTGGAAATTAGAGGTATTTCTCTTGTGATTTAAGGTTTTGCTGCAGTATAAAAAACGTGTAAAAATGACCATGACCAAGTGACGTGTGATTATAAATAAATAATCTGATTTGAGTCATTTATCATAGCAAGAGGAAACAGCTGCGCTCACCTCGAAACGCCGGGCAGAAGTTACACAACATCCAAACCTAGTCGGCTCCCATTCACAACTCTAATTTCCCATTACACCGCTCCATCTTCATCTCCCCTCGTCCCCACGCTAAGATAAGACACAGA